GTGGAGTCAGTGGGATCAGCGGACCCCCTGAGTCGCGGGCCCCCTCTCCACCGACCCCCACTGGGTCCCCTCGACACCCCAGTTCCGCCCCGTCCGCGCTGCTCACCGAAAGTCGCTTCTTGAGGATGGAACGAGGGAGTCCTGCAGCGAGGGGGTCCCTAGTGAGGTGGTCTTGAAGGGACCCTCTGCGACCTTGGGTCCCGGAGACCCCGTCCAGCAGGTGGAAGGTAACGCGGGACCTCCTTTGCGCGCGCGTTTTGGGTCCCGTCTCTTCACAGGGGTCTCCACAGGGGTGTGCCCGGACCCCGAGGCTGGGCAGGCGCCGAGGCGGACAGGGGCAGCGTGGGGGGTGGCTGAGACCTCTTTGGTCCCATAGGCTGCGGGGTCCTCGGGGGTAGAGATGCGCGAGCCCAATAGAGGAGTGGAGAGCGAGGTCATCCCCCCGCGCCGACATGTCTCTCTCCGTCCCCTGTATGTCCGTGCGTCTCCCTGTGTCTCTCTCTCTAACACTACCTCTTTGTGTCTCTCGGTCACCCTGTACGTGTCTATCTCTGTGTCTCACTGTGTGTGTCTTGCTGTATCTCAATGTCTGTCTGTCTGTGTCTCTCTTCTTGTCTCCCCGTGCCTCTCTGTCTCCCTGTGTATCTCCCGGTCTCCAGGATCGTCTCTGTTCACCTGCACAGGTGAAGCGTCTCTACTCACAGGTACTCTCAGAAGGGGGGTCTAAAATAAGGTCTCGGAGTGGGGTATTTGCTGAGTTCCTCTCACCACCCATTTATACCAAAGCGCCCCCCCTCCCCTCGGAGCGCCCACTCTCCCCCAGCCCCACCTCCCCCCAGGCAATAATCCCTCGTGTTCCAGAGCTATTTGCGAGCACCTATTACGACATACACGAGAACGTGGGTGTTGGTGGTTATGCAACTAAACGTCAGACCACCTCCGCATCTCCCCGTTGCTTGTGTGTATGTTGGACTTCGTCCCGCTGCTTGTATGTGCGTTGAACTTCTTTCGCATCGTACGTAGCCAGCCGTGCTCATCGGAACAAAGTAGCCATTCAAGGCCGAGTCGACCTTGGGGGTGGATATTCGTCACTGACGTTGGCCCTGAACGTGATTTGAACCAGGGACGCCGGGTTCGTAGCGCAGTGCGCTAACCACTGAGCCACCGCTCCCGACATATACACAGGTGCTGGTGGATACACACAAAGACAAAGATCCCCCGTGTAGCCGAGACAGACTGCTGGGGCAAGTGCTTTGAGCAAGCTCCCGTTAAACCAGATGCATGGCACATGACGGGTGGTGTGATCGGAACCACGCCCGGTCGCCTTTGTCTCCCCGCTAACTTGATGCTCATTATAAAGCACCGCACTGGCTTCTCAGTTATGTCCGAGTCGACTTAGGGGAGATACGCGTAGAGGTGCCGGTGAAGAGGGGGAGGTGCAAGGCGGCGGGGAGGGGGTGGGGTTACACAACCACTGGGACCCCCCCCAACCTCACGCTGAACCCTTATCAGACCCCCTGCAGAGAGCTTTGATCCCCCCCTCCCTCTCAACCCCCCACTCACACCCCCTTCACCCCCACCCTCTCAACCCCCCTCCCACACCCCCCTCACCCCCACCCTCTCAACCCCCCTCCCACACCCCCCTCACCCCCACCCTCTCAACCCCCCTCCCACACCCCCTTCACCCCCACCCTCTCAACCCCCCACCCACACCCCCTTCACCCCCACCCTCTCAACCCCCCACCCACACCCCCTTCACCCCCACCCTCTCAACCCCCCACCCACACCCCCTTCACCCCCACCCTCTCAACCCCCCACCCACACCCCCTTCACCCCCACCCTCTCAACCCCCCACCCACACCCCCTTCACCCCCACCCTCTCAACCCCCCACCCACACCCCCTTCACCCCCACCCTCTCAACCCCCCACCCACACCCCTTTCACCCCCACCCTCTCAACCCCCCACCCTCTACCCCCCCCCTCCTCTTCCTTCGAAGTTTGACTTCTGATCCCGTAGGGGGTCCCGTGTGAATTATGTGGGGGTCATCCAGGAGGCAAGAGAGGGGACCCCGTGGGGGGGCCCTGATAAAATAGGGGTCCCAGAAGGAGGGCGAAGATTGGGGCTGAATCACTGCTCAAGACACTTATCGCAACTTTATGGGTCTCTAAGTTCGATATTAATGTGTTTGCCTCTCAACAAGATATGGCTTCTACAAGCACACGCATGTTTTATAATCACATATATTTTGAAAAAAAAAAACAAGAATATCTTACAAAGCAAGAACAGATCTCTCAAATACTTTGTCTTAGTCGATTTTAGAGTTGTATTTTTGTGTACAACATATGTAACATTTTCCAGCCAATATTGCTCTCATATTATGTTTTTCACTGCCTGTTTGTCGATTCGCGTGTGTTTTTTTTATCCCTGTTGGACCAAACTATGGAGTTTACTTGTACTTACACCGCTTTGTCTGAGGCTTATTCTAAATCTGTGCACTTTTTATCGATTCGCGTGTGTTTCGTTGTTATTTGTGAAATGTTCCTTAAAGCAATCTGCACACTCGTGCTCTGCGATATCGACGTCTTGTTTTCTGCTGTTACCTGCTGTGCTCACGCACCACGAATCACCCGTATAAAATAGCCGGGAAACTGGTTAACGGAATCATCCGTGTAGCATATCAAATACTGTCATCTCAAAACACGGGACAAAAGTCATCGGAGTGGCAAGCTACAGTATGTTGAACTTATTTTGCACCGTACGTAGCTAACCGTGATAATCAAGAGTTCCGGTGGCGGGAAGGACAATAAACTGAACACAGAACGCGGTTCTAAATAGATAAGTTTTCAATCTAGATCTAAAAATGCATAGCTCTAATGTCGAAAGGAAGAGCGTGTTTTGTTGGGTAACGTCAGTGTGGTTACACACACACTTTTATTTGGTTTCTATAAATGTCCACATGGGAAGCCGCCACATCGTTGAGTTACTATTTGTGCTATGGGGACCTCATTTGCCAGTAAAAATATGATAATTGGTTCTTTACCCTTCTATCTGGCAACAAAACTGACACCTTTTTGCAAGGAGTCATGTTTGCATAGACCGCAATACCTGCAGTCATAAATACAAACAAAAGACATAACTCTGATAATGTGCACTGTCCTTGAAGTTGATTGGTCCACACCCGAGACAGCTTTCCTGTCTCGGGTGTGGACCAATCAACTTCAAGGACAGTGCACATTATCAGAGTTATGTCTTTTGTTTGTATTTATGACTGCAGGTATTGCGGTCTATGCAAACATGACTCCTTGCAAAAAGGTGTCAGTTTTGTTGCCAGATAGAAGGGTAAAGAACCAATTATCTTACTATTTGTGGTCAAGTCGCTTCTGAAAAATAAGCTAATACGCTCAGTTTTGCTATCTGTTAAGATAAAAAAATTTGTTTCGTTTGATTCGTACTTTTGTGTAAACGTTCTGACCTGTTGTAAACGTCTTGACCTGCCCCCTTACTGGACATACGTGAAAAAGAGCTTTGGGGCCGTCCATAAATGACGTCACGCACCTAGAGGGGGGGGGGTCAGACATCTGTGACGATGTGTGACGATGGGGGGAGGGGGGGGGTAAGAAATGTGGCGTCACGTCAAAATGCGCAACTTTAAATAAATATAGACAACACGTTCTACTTAATTAAATAGACTTTTTAATTAATGTTTTCTCCTACAACATCAGAGTGCAGCGCCACATTTAATACGCACTACAATGCCAATCGTTCAAAGCGATTTGACGCATGTTTTATTTTTGGGGGGGGGGGCAGAGTTTTGTGACGCCATATTTGAGGGGGGGGTCTGACTTTTTGTGACGCCGTGTGACAAAGGGGGGTAAAAAAATCATCCAAAATCGCGTGACGTCATTTATGGACGGCCCCTTTATAGCTCATCGGATTCCTCCTTCAGTATATGAATAACGTTTCTGATTTCAACCGAAGGTGGCAGCTAAGGGAGCCAAGGACGCGCCTGATACATTTTTCTTGTCGTCCACCGCGGAGACGGAGCGGTGAAATCGTCTCCGCGTGCAGTCGCCGGCTGGATTGTCGGGATCGTGACTCAGGGTGAGAGCAAGGGTGGCACAATCGGGTTTTTTTACAATCGGGTTTAATTGTCTTTTTATATTAAACCCGATCATCTGAGATTGGGAGAAATCCGGTTTAATTGGTTCTAATTGCAGAACCGCACTTCTCAACGATGGGCTTCATCCATTCCAAGCTAAGGAACTCACTGGCGCCCACGATTGTGGAGAAGCTCGTGTTCATCAAGACCAACCTGCCCGCCGCATTCTACGACTACCCCGTGCCCCACGCCCCCCCCCCCCCCGAGTACGATAGCAGCACCGACGAGGCAGCAGCCTAAGCCTTGGACCAGAGTTTCGTATTCATTAAACCAGGTTTTAATTCCCCGAAATCTGGTTTAATTATATTAAAGAAAAAACCCGATGCCTGCCGCTGGAAAAATCGGGTTTTTTCCACCCATGGGTGAGAGTGGCCTTCACCCAGCAGTGGACTGATCATGACTGCTGCCTGACCGACTTCGAGTGACCAACCACGTGGACACACCGAGGCGAGTGGGGGGTGAAGTCACGTGGGACCGGGGGAGGGTGTCGGGAGAGGCTTTAGGGGGGGGGGAGTCACGTGGGTACTGAGGGGGGCGTCACGTGGGACCGGCGAGGGGCTGTGGTGGAAGTGGTCACGTGGGACTGGGAAGGGGGTGTTAGAGGGATGGGCTGGGGGGGGGGTCACGTGGTACCAGACAGGCGGGTGGGGGGTGTGGAGGGGTGTGTCACGTGGGACCAGACAGGCGGGTGGGGGGTGTGGTGGAGGGGCGTGTCACGTGGGACCAGACAGGCGGGTGGGGGGGAAAGATGTGGGGCGGGGATCACGTGGTCGCGGGTGAAACCTGAGAATCTCAAGCCCCGCCCCAAAACGGGTCACGTGACGCGGAAGCGCTCACCCCCCCCGCCCCCACCCACCGCGCGGTGACGTCACGTGACGTCTCGGCCCCGTGACCCGCGCCGCCATCTCTGCCCCAGCGAGACGCGGCCCGGACCCACACAGGTAGCGCTCCCTCCGCGGGCCCCCCTCGGGACCCCCTCGGACCCCCCTCGGGCTCCCCTCGGACCCCCCTCGAACCCCCCTCGGAGCCCCCCTCGGACCCCCTTTGTCTCCTACACGTAGCGCCTCTAGAGTTTCCGCCCACGATCCAGCTCGATCCTGTGTAGTCACCCCCTCGGTAACCCTTTAAAGCCACCACCAAGGACCCCTTTTCTCTCGGCACCGCCTCGATCCCCTCGCTCGCCATACATGGATCCCCTTGATCTCCTTCGTAGGTGCCTTTGACCCCCCCCTCGCTGCCCCTTTATCCCTCCTACAGGCACCGCCTCTAAAGGTTACCCCCCTCGAGCACCCGACGTGTACCCATCTCGGCCCCCCTTTTATCCCGCCCACACATCGATTTCTCCTTTATACAGGTCCCCTGACCCCCTTGTCGGGACCCCCCGTTTATCCTGCTCGTACGGTGTACCTCAATCCCCATTGAGCCTCGTCTCGTGACTACTCCTTGAGACACTGGGAACTTTTCACTCGACTGCCAGTTCCGCTTTTGCTGGTGCAGGTACAGTGCGGATTGTCACGGCGACGCTGCCGATGGACGGCACCCTCCTCGCTGCCGGCTTCGTGGCCGTCCCCATCTCTCTTCACTCCCTCCCTGACCCTCCCTTTTCCAGCTCTCCCTACGTCTCTCCCAGCCTCTCTCTGCGTCTCCCTGCGTCTCCCTACGTCTCTCCCAGCCTCTCTCTGCGTCTCCCTGCGTCTCCCTACGTCTCTCCCAGCCTCTCACTACGTCTTTCCCAGCCTCTTCTCGTCTCTCCCAGCCTCTCACTACGTCTCTCCCAGCCTCTCACTACGTCTTTCCCAGCCTCTCACTACGTCTTTCCCAGCCTCTCACTACGTCTTTCCCAGCCTCTTCTCGTCTCTCCCAGCCTCTCCCTACGTCTCTCCCAGCCTCTCACTACGTCTCTCCCAGCCTCTCACTACGTCTTTCCCAGCCTCTTCTCGTCTCTCCCAGCCTCTCACTACGTCTTTCCCAGCCTCTCCTCGTCTCTCCCAGCCTCTCACTACGTCTTTCCCAGCCTCTCCTAGTCTCTCCCAGCCTCTCCCTGCGTCTCTCCCAGCCTCTCCTAGTCTCTCCCAGCCTCTCCCTGCGTCTCTCCCAGCCTGTCCTCGTCTCTCCCAGCCTCTCCCTGCGCCTCTCTCTGCGTCTCTCCCAGCCTCTCACTACGTCTCTCCCAGCCTCTCCCAACGTCTCTCCCAGCCTCTCACTACGTCTTTCCCAGCCTCTCCTCGTCTCTCCCAGCCTCTCACTACGTCTTTCCCAGCCTCTCCTAGTCTCTCCCAGCCTCTCCCTGCGTCTCTCCCAGCCTCTCCTAGTCTCTCCCAGCCTCTCCCTGCGTCTCTCCCAGCCTGTCCTCGTCTCTCCCAGCCTCTCCCTGCGTCTCTCCCAGCCTCCCCTAGTCTCTCCCAGCCTCTCCCTGCGTCTCTCCCAGCCTCTCTCCCTGCGTCTCTCCCAGCCTGTCCTCGTCTCACCCAGCCTCTCCTCGTCTCTCCCAGCCTCTCCTCGTCTCTCCCAGCCTCTCCTCGTCTCTCCCAGCCTCTCCCTGCGTCTCTCCCAGCCTCTCCCTGCGTCTCTCCCAGCCTCTCCCTACGTCTCTCCCAGCCTCTCCTTCCCCGCTTGTCTCCCTATCCCAGATGTCCCCCCCCCCCCATCTTGTCTCCCCCTCTCTCTGCTGCCCCTCGTCTCCCTCCACCCCCCTCTCACCTTCTGTCGATCCTTCCGGTGTCCGGTTCGGGTGTCGTGGAAGGATCTGGTTGATGCTATGGATGTTGAATTGTGGTCCCGAAAACTGGACGTATTACGAGTAGTAAGTGTGTGAGTGGTCTGTAGTGGCAGTATTAGGGGTAGTGGTAGGCATAGTGTGAGTGGTCGGGGTAGTTGTAGAATTAATGTGGTTGGGGTCGTGTTAATGGTAGGGAGTGTGGTAGGGGTAGTGTGAATGGTATGGGTAGTGTAAATGGTAGGCATAGTGGTAGTGTTAGTGTGTGGTAGGGATAGTGTTAATGGTAGGGGTAGTGATCAGGTCCGTTGACCGTGTGACTCAGATGGAAACTGAATTGCGTCTCAAGATTATTTTATTCAAAGAAGTCATGGGGGCTTAGACGAGCACCGCTTCTTGATTCTTAGATTCGCTCTTGCCTCAAGTACCATGCTTTTCCACGCTGCTCTCTCTACTCCCTCTCTGCTTCTCCGTCCTTTTCTCTCGGTTACTCTCCCTGATGCTGCTGCTCCCTCCTCCCAGTGTCCTTGTTCCCTCGTGATTCTGGATCCACGTGGCTCCTCGTGGCTCAGTAGATCGTGGGTGCTGGTGGTTGTGGTGTTTGTAATGGTTGTTGGTGTTCGTGGTTGTGGTGTTAGTAGTGGTTGTGTTGGTGTTAGTGGTTGTGGTGTTAGTAGTTGTGTTGGTGTTAGTGGTGTTAGTAGTGGTTGTGTTGGTGTTAGTGGTTGTGGTGTTAGTAGTGGTGTGTTGGTGTTAGTGGTTGTGTTGGTGTTAGTAGTGGTTGTGTTGGTGTTCGTGGTGTTAGTGGTTGTGTTGGTGTTAATGGTTGTGGTGTTAGTAGTGGTTGTGTTGGTGTTAGTGGTTGTGGTGTTAGTAGTGGTTGTGTTAGTGGTTGTGGTGTATGATTGCCAAAGTGCACCTAGCCTGGCACAAGCGCCTTGGTAACGTCACCGCCACTCAGTGGCGAACGCCTGTGGTTGTGGGGTCCGTGGTTGTGGGTGTTGGTGGTGGAGCAGTGTTGTGTCGTGGTTAGCGCGCTCCTCTATCCACCCGGCGACCAACATCAGTGACGATTATCTGAAGCAATCTTGGGCCTCCCTTAGGTCGACTCAGCCTCAAATGGGTATCTAGTGTGTGTGTGAGATGTTCATGGTGGTGTTAGTGGTTGTGTTAATGGTGGTGTTAGTGGTTGTGGTGTTGGCGGTGGTGGTGGTGGTGGTATTTATGATAATGATGTTCGATGAAGGTTGTAGTATGAGTTGTGATGGTGTTGTGTCCATGGCATTGCCTTGTTTATGATAGACTGTTGATGGTGGTGATGTTGTTGGTATTGATGGTGGCGATGTAGTGATGGTATTCATGTAAATAATGTTGATTTAGTAAGTGACGTAGTGATAATGTTGGTATTGATGTAGTGATGGTGTTCATATAGTAATCTTGTTGTAGTAAGTAACGTAGTGATGTGTTCATGTAGTGAGTGACGTAGTGATGTGTTGATGTAGTGAGTGACGTAGTGACTTGTTGATGTAGTGATGTGGTGTAGTGAGTGACGTAGTGATGTGTTGATGTAGTGAGTGACGTAGTGATGTGTTGATGTAGTGATGTGGTGTAGTGAGTGACGTAGTGATGTGTTGATGTAGTGAGTGACGTAGTGACGTGTTGATGTAGTGATGTGGTGTAGTGAGTGACGTAGTGATGTGTTCATGTAGTGAGTGACGTAGTGATGTGTTGATGTAGTGAGTGACGTAGTGAGTGACGTAGTGACGTGTTGATGTAGTGAGTGACGTAGTGATTGATGATGGTGGTGACTTCCCTGTCGATCTGCCTCTCCCATTACGCGCTCTTGCTCTGGGGCAAAGTGAGTTATCCTGGTGGCGCGATGTGTTGATGTTCGGGTAGTGGTGATGTTACGTATGGACCTAGTGATTTTGTATAATGCATTTTGATGTTAGAATCGTGGGTAGTGTTGTGAAGTTCTTAGTGCAGTGAGTAACAGTGTCGTTCGTGGTGATGTGGCGTGAAATTAGTGAAGGAGTGATGATAATGTTGTGAGTAGTGGGATGTTATTCTATCGACAAGTGTTGTTAGTAATGATGTGAAGTTATCTTCTTGGTTCTTTCGGTAAAGTCACGTAGAAGGGAAGTAATAAAATAATACAAATAAAACATAATAAAACAATTCCCACGACGTTTCGGCCACAACGCAAGCAGCCGTCCTCAGGTGAAAACCAGGTCCGTCGAGGCGACAGAGTCTGAGGACGGCTGCTTGCGTTGTGGCCGAAACGTCGTGGGAATTGTTTTATTATGTTTTATTTTTATTATTTTATTACTTCCCTTCTACGTGACTTTACCGAAAGAACCAAGAAGATGAATCCCTGCAGTCACGAAAGCTTTAAATCGAGATGTGAAGTTAGTAGGATTGATGTAATGATAGTAAGTGATGTGATGTTGTTGTTGTGAAGGTAGTATATTGAGTAGTGATAGTGTATTGAGTAGTGTGGTCGTAATGTTAGTGATGTGGCTAATAAGCCGACGTGTTAAACTGGTTAATACTGTAGTGACAAATGTTCTGCAAGTCTGATCATGTGTATATGGTCATGTGCTCTGGGGGTGGTGATGGTGGTGATGATGATAATGAGTAATGTCAGTCGCCTGGTAGTGTTGTCATGGTAAAATAACAATAATTGACATCGCTTTGTGAATCCATTGCTGGATGAAGGCATTCATACTTAATGTCAGTCCAGATCGGGGTTTAAAGTAGTGATGATGATGTGAGGAATGTTAGTTACATTGAGTAGTGTTCTGCTGCTACTGTGATGTTGAGTGCATTGTGTTGTGAATGTGTGGGTCTGCGTGTCTTTGTGTGTCAGTGTCTCTGTGTGAATCTGTGTGTGAGTCTGCGTGTCTCTGTGTGAGTGCGTGTGGTTCTGTATGGGGCTATGGGTCTCCGAGTCAGTCATAGGCAGAGGGGAAGAGGCAGATGTTGAGCCGAGACTGGGGCAGGGGGTCGACAGCACGGATGGCTGGAGGAAAAGTGTTCTAGACAATAGGGGCAGCAGAGGAGAATGAGCGACCTCCCACCGAGCGAAGGAGTGGAGGGGAGAGGTAGGATAGTTCCTGGAAGGAGTACAGTGATATGAGAGGGGAGAAATTGGAGAGTTCGTGGAAGTAAGGGGAGAGGTAGACAGGGTCGAGAGCCCAGTGGTGTTGTGATGACGTGGTGATGTTTGTGTGGTGAGTAGTGGTGTTGTGGTGATGTTGGTGTGGTGAGTAGTGGAGCTGTGGTGATGTTTGTGTGGTGAGTAGTGGTGTTGTGGAGATGTTGGTGTGGTGCGTAGTGGAGTTGTGGTGATGTTGGTGTGGTGAGTAGTGGAGTTGTGGTGATGTTTGTGTGGTGAGTAGTGGTGTTGTGGTGATGTTGGTGTGGTGAGTAGTGGAGTTGTGGTGATGTTTGCGTGGTGAGCAGTGGTGTTGTGATGACGTGGTGATGTTTGTGTGGTGAGCAGTGGTGTTGTGGTGATGTTTGTGTGGTGAGTAGTGGTGTTGTGGTGATGTTGGTGTGGTGAGCAGTGGTGTTGTGATGACGTGGTGATGTTTGTGTGGTGAGTAGTGGTGTTGTGGTGATGTTGATGTGGTGAGTAGTGGTGTTGTGGTGATGTTTGTGTGGTGAGTAGTGGTGTTGTGGTGATGTTGGTGTGGTGAGCAGTGGTGTTGTGATGACGTGGTGATGTTTGTGTGGTGAGTAGTGGTGTTGTGGTGATGTTGGTGTGGTGAGCAGTGGTGTTGTGGTGATGTTGGTGTGGTGAGCAGTGGTGTTGTGGTGATGTTTGTGTGGTGAGTAGTGGTGTTGTGGTGATGTTGGTTTGGTGAGCAGTGGTGTTGTGATGACGTGGTGATGTTTGTGTGGTGAGTAGTGGTGTTGTGGTGATGTTGGTGTGGTGAGCAGTGGTGTTGTGGTGATGTTTGTGTGGTGAGTAGTGGAGTTGTGGTGATGTTTGTGTGGTGAGCAGTGGTGTTGTGGTGATGTTTGTGTGGTGAGCAGTGGTGTTGTGGTGATGTTGGTGTGGTGAGTAGTGGTGTTGTGGTGATGTTTGTGTGGTGAGTAGTGGTGTTGTGGTGATGTTTGTGTGGTAGGTAGTGGTGTTGTGGTGATGTTTGTGTGGTAGGTAGTGGTGTTGTGGTGATGTTGGTGTGGTGAGCAGTGGTGTTGTGGTGATGTTGGTGTGGTGAGTAGTGGTGTTGTGGCGATGTTTGTGTGGTGAGTAGTGGTGTTTTGGTGATGTTTGTGTGGTGACCCAGTGGTGATGTTTGTGTGGTGAGTAGTGGTGTTGTGGTGATGTTTGTGTGGTGAGTAGTGGTGTTGTGGTGATGTTTGTGTGGTGAGTAGTGGTGTTGTGAGCTTGCTGTGATGTCGTGTGTGGAGTGATGTCAGGTCTATTAGCAATGCTGGATCACGTGCGCTGTGTGGTGAGAGGTCACTGATGGGTTGCTTGGTTGTTGTCGTGGTGTTGGACGACCGTTTTGTTGTGTTATGTCATGTGTTGTGCTAGTTATGTGGTGTTGTGTTGCTTGTGTAGTGTTATACGTTTTGCTGGCTGTGTAGTGTTGTGGTGTGTTGTGCTGGTTGTGTAGTGGTGTGTTGTGCTGGTTGTGTAGTGGTGTGTTGTGCTGTTTGTGTATTGTTATGGTGTGTTGTGCGTGCCGATGGTGTTGCGGTGTGTCGTGCTGGTTGTGTTGTGTGGTGTTGTACTCTTTGTGTAGCGGTGTGTTGTGCTGGTTGTGTTGTGTGGTGTTGTGCTGTTTGTGTAGCTTTGTGGTGTGTGGTGCTGTTGTGCCGCAGTAGTGGGGAGAGGCTGCGCACTGCCTTGGCTCGGCGCCCTGTGACCTCAGCCTCCTTCCCCCCTCCCCTCACACTTGAGCCTCTTGGGTCCTCTTTCAACTCCAGTTCATGATCCCTGACCCCTCGACCCTGACCGCTCACCCTTGACCTGCTTAGTCGTAGGCGGCTCAGCTCTGCTGATGAGTGCGGCTGACACCGAAACCTTCCATGCACAAAGCTCACCAAAACTCACTCTCACGTTGGCGCTCACCCATGACCTGCCGTAGTCAACAACCTCACTCTCAATCGCCCCGACTCACCCCCGACTCACCCCCGACTCACCCCCGACTCACCCGTGTTTCTGTCTGTGCCGGCAGACTCCGCCATGACTTCCCGCAAGAAGGTTTTGCTCAAGGTGATCATTCTCGGAGACTCTGGGTACGTGCACACGTGCACGCACGTAAACGCACTTACACGCACTTACACGCACAGAGATTCCCCGTATAGCCTTAACAGACTGTTGGGGCAAGTGCTGTTAGTGAGCACCTATGAAGGCTGGAACGGCGCATGAGGAGGTGGGTGGCCAGCACTATGCTTGGCCGCCGTTGTTTCCCCAGTGGCGATGTTTACACACCATACCAGGTACTCATTTCAGGATGAATCGGCCTCGGGGAGGCCCAGGACCGGTTCAAATAATCGTCACTGGCATTGGCCGTGGACGAGAGTAGAACTCGGGTTGCTGAGTTTGTAGTGCAACGTGCTAACCACTGCGCCACTGGCCCCCCACGCAGGTATACAGGGATCCCCCATGTAGCCTCAAACAGACAGTTGGGGCATGTGCTGTTGGGGGACTTGCACGCTCTGTTAAATGTAGCCCGTAGCTTCTGAATGGGGCTTTGTAGTTGATGGCTGTAGGGCTGTGCGCGTGCGTGTGTTTGTGTGTCTGCACGCGTGTGTGCAGACTTGTGTGTGTGCGTAGCTGTGTGTGTGTCACCCCTACAAGTCTTTAAGGCAAAATGTGGGGAGCGGCAGTGTCGCGGTTAGCGCACTTCGCTATAAACATCACCACTGGGGAGACAAATGCAGCCATGTGTGGCTCTTAGCCACACCGCCCTCTCGTGTACCCTGCCGGCCTTCATAAGTGCAAACTCGCTAACAGCCCTTGCCCCAACATCCTGTTAATGGCTACACGGGACATCTTGGGCATAGGCCCTTGGTGACAGCATTTGGCCCGGCAGTGTATAGAACTACACGGGGGACCTGTGCCTGTGTGTGCGAGCGCAGGGTGGGGAAGACGTCGCTCATGAACCAGTACGTGAACAAGAAATTCAGCAACCAGTACAAAGCGACCATCGGCGCGGACTTCCTCACCAAGGAAGTGATGGTGGATGACCGGCTCGTCACCATGCAGGTGTCGCCCGCCCCCCACGCTCACCCACGCTCACCTCTACTCACCCACGCTCAACTCTTCTCACAGATACTCATCCGTGCTCGCACTCTCACCCACGCTCGCCCTCACTTATCCTGAGCCGCGCTCGTTCACCCGCCCTCGCCTCAAGCCCATGCTCTCACCCACAGTGAGACCGCCCACTCGCTCCTGCTAACCCCAACCCACTCCTCACCCTAGGCCCACTCACCCCCGGCTCCTCGCCAGTGAGCGTTCTCGGTGTACTTTGAGAGACGTTTCTACGTGTCGCAGATTCTGGGACCCCGCGGGGTCAGGAGCGGCACCAGTCTATGAGAGTTGCCTTCTGTCCCACGTCTCGGTGTGTTTCAACATCTGCGTGTGGGTGTGTGTACTGTGTCTGCCTGTGTCCTGTCGATGACACGTCCCTGCCTTCAAGTGTCCTTGTGTCCTTTGTAGCCGAAACGGCGTGAGAATTATTTTATTATGTTTTATTTTTATTATTTTATTATTTCCCTTCTACGTGACTTTACCGAAAGAACCAACAAGATGTCCTTGTGTTTCGAACTGGGACACGGTGGGACAGGAGCGATTCCACTCCCTGGGCGTCTCTCTCGCTGTCTCATGTCCCCACGTCTCCCCCCCCCCCCCCCCCGTGTGTTGTCCCCCTGCGTCTAGATCTGGGACACGGCAGGGCAGGAGCGGTTCCAGTCGCTGGGCGTGGCGTTCTACCGCGGCGCCGACTGTTGTGTGCTGGTGTTCGACGTGACGCAGCCCGGCACGTTCAAGACGCTGGACAGCTGGCGCGACGAGTTCCTCATCCAGGCGTCGCCACGCGACCCTGAGAACTTCCCCTTCGTGGTGCTCGGCAACAAGATCGACATGGAGAACAGACAGGTGGGAGAGAGATGAAGAGGGAGACACGGGAAAGAGACTGGAGAGAGAGTGGTAGCATTATATTTCGATTTAAAGCTTTCGTGACTGCAGGGATTCATCTTATTGGTTCTTTCGGTAAAGTCACGTAGAAGGGAAGTAATAAAATAATAAAAATAAAACACAATAAAATAATTCTCACGACGTTTCGGCCACAACGCAAGCAGCCGTCCTCAGGTGAAAACCAGGTCCGACTCTGTCGCCTCGACGGACCTGGTTTTCACCTGAGGACGGCTGCTTGCGTTGTGGCCGAAACGTCGTGAGAATTATTTTAATGTGTTTTATTTTTATTATTTTATTACTTCCCTTCTACGTGACTTTACCGAAAGAACCAAGAAGATGGTAGCATTATAGTTAGCACTACATTACAAAATCCCGCGACCCAAGATAAATTACCCACTTACGGCCAACATCAGTGTCGAAATTAATGTACCAGCCTTTGGGACTCCCCTAGCTCTACTCGGTCTGAATGAGTACCCTGTGCGGTGCATAAACATCTGCACTGGGGAGACAAAGGCGGCCGGGCACGGTCCTGGTCACGACACACTCCTCGTGTGCCGTTCGGGCAGTCGCAGGTACTCGCTTGACACTTTCCCGTTCCGTGATGACTGCAAGTTGCAGGGTGGGGTCCCGCTCACCGCTGAAACTCAGAATGTGCAAGCAGTTAGCGTACATTTTATTGAGAGGCATAGCGCCGTTGTTTTTAAAGACATTGTACTCACCGCAGAGAACTGTAGCGACACAACCGCACGCTATGATAGCTGGCGCCAATCGTTGCCACGCCCTCCCGTATGGCCTTGTGGGAGCCTCGGCACCGAAAAAGGTTTTTCATTTCAGTTTTTCTTCCGGTCCCGTTCCGATGACAGGCCATCAGAATGACAAATGGTGAACAGCTCTTGGCCCCTGCAGCCTGAGTGTGCTACCCAGGGGACCTTTGGCTTTATCTGTGAGTCCCTGTGGTCCCCAGGTCCCGACGAAGCGCGCCCAGACCTGGTGTCAGAACAAGAACGACGTCCCCTACTTTGAGACGAGCGCCAAGGAGGCAATCAACGTGGAGCAGGCCTTCCAGACCATCGCTCGCAACGCGCTCAAACAGGTACCACCATCATCAACACCATCACCACCATCAACGCCAACTTCAACAACGTCGAATACAACCAATGTCAATAACATCTTGATTTGAAGCTTTCGTGACTGCAAGGATTCATATTCTTAGGTTTTTTCGGTAAAGTCACGTAGGTATTTTACTTTTATTAATTTTAATTTTTTACCTACGTGACTTTACCGAAAAAACCTAAGAATATGTCAATAACATCATCGTCATCGCCATCACTAACATTTCCATCAACATAAATATCACCACCAGCTTCACTACCACCATCACCACCACCATTAACATCAACACCACCATCACCACCAACATCAGTAACATAGATTAGAACCGACATCAATAATGTCACCATCACCATTCACGAACATCACCGCCATTGCCACCATGCTCATCATAAACATCACCATGAGTACCATTAATGCCTCTCGCATCACCAATATCACAACCAGCATGCAACTTCAAACAACATCATCAACATCGTATGTCTGAGTATTTGTGTATGTATGTATGCATAGTGTAGTGGAGAGCGATAGTGTAGTTGTTAGGCAAAGCTGCGCTATGAACCAACCATGATCTAAATTCAATCCCCGCTCTCAGCCAACACAAGTGACGAATATCTGAACTGGTGCTGGGTTTCCCCTAGGTTGACTTGGCCTCAAATGAGTACCTGGTGCGGTGTGTAAACATCGCCACTGGGGAGACAAAAGTGTTTGAGCGTGGTGCTGGCCACCCATCCCCTCTTGGACTGTGCCTGCATTCATAGGCGCTCGCAAACAGCACTTCCCCCAAAAGTCTGTTAAGGCTACACGGGGGGGGGAATATTTGTCTTTCTATTTGCATATCTGTGTGTATATGAGTATCTGTGTTTGTCTTTGTGCACCCAGCCTGGCACGAGCGCCGTAGTGACACCACCACCACTTAATGGCCAATGGCGGTTGTTGAATCTTTGTGTATATTTATGTTAGGTGGCGTGTGTACAGAGGTGGATCTCTATATTGGTATGTATATATCTCCATGTATCTCACATATCTATCTGTGTGTGTGTTTCCCTGTGTGTGTGTATTAGGAGACGGAGGTGGAGCTGTATAACGAGTTTCCCGATCAGATCAAGTTGACCAACAACGACAAACCAAAATCCAGCAGCTGCTGCTAGAGTGGGGCTTGCTGCTCACGGTTCACTCGCCGATAACGCACCGCTCACTCACCGCTCACTCACGACTCACTCACGACTCACCGCTCACTCACGACTCACGGCTCACTCACGGCTCACTCACGGCTCACTCACGGCTCACTCACGGCTCACTCACGGCTCACTCAGCCCTCACGCAAGGCTCACTCACCGCTCACTCAGCCCTCACGCACGACTCACTCAGCGCTCACGGCTCGCTCACGGCTCGCTCACGGCTCGCTCACGGCTCGCTCACGGCTCGCTCACGGCTCACTCACGGCTCACTCAGCGCTCAGGCACGGCTCGCACACATCCACCCAGCCTTCGTCGCACCTCTCACTCACATCGCACCGAGCTCTCACTCAAAGCTCCATCACCACAGCTCTAAGAACACCGACTCACACCCATCTCCTCCACCTCGTACACACAAAGAGCTCACACACACACGCCTAGCATCACGCACACACAGTACACAGACACTAGTGCACAAGCCTCGTCGCCTGTCAATTCACACACCCTGCTAACACACGCTTGGTAGCATGCTCTCACACACATCCTTGTTAACATTCACACGCTCGCACACGCCGCGTCGCAGGGTGTAACGCACACGCACTTGGCGCTTGCACATCTCCCCCCTCACCCCCCACGTGGGGGGAGGTGGGGGGCAAGGGGAGTTTGAATAACATTATAAATACAATACTAACGTCGCCCCTCGCGTAGTCCCCCGTGTCGCCCCGCATAATTCCCTATGTTATCCTTCGAGTCCCCCCCCGTGTCGCCCCACCAAGAGTCGGTCCCTGTCGTTCCTCGCATAGCCCCCTGTTGGCACCCCACCAAATCATCCCTGTGTTTAGCCTTTAGTCCCTTGTGTCAACCCACCAAGAGGCGGTCCCTGTTGCCTCGCGCAGAGCCCCTTTGTGTCACCCTACCAAATCGATCCTTGTGTTGCCCCTTGCATAGTCTCCTGCGTCGCCCACACCCACCTTACCAATATTCACGGAGTTATGGGGGGCAGAAGTTGAAACGGATAATTGGAGGACAAGTTTGCTTGTAGAGTTATAGAACTGCCTTTGCTTTGCTCTCCCCTAACTCTCCCACCTTGCCTCTCTTCACCCTCTTTTCCCCCTTGCTCTCATCTCTCCCTGCCCCCCACCACCCACTCCCGGGGGCTGTGGTGTCGGGATCACAAGGGGGGGTCTTAATTTAGGACCCCTTGGCACCCCCTGTAAGACCCCAAGCTCCTTGTGTTATGTCTATCCCCAGTACCCCAGATTTCCTGGTTCTCCGAAGTTCGGCCGGACAGATTCTCTTGGTGATGACCGCCTCTCACTGGAACCACAGACAATTAGACAACATTGGTGTATGGGTCATGAGCCCTGAAAGAGCAGAGAGGGGGGGTAAAGAGGGAACCGAAGGTTGGGGGCGGGGAGTTAGTGGTTATCCCTTTGATCCCGTCTCCCACCCCTGTTCCCTATGACGCTGCACTGCCCTGACCCCCTTTGCTGCACCGCTGCCCCCCTCCTGTGCCTGTATCCCCCGCTACACCCCACCCTCTCCGCCGTTACCACCCCCTGGGTCTCGGTCTGTCTCTCAACATCTCTCCTCTTCTCGCTCGGTTTCCCTTCCTGCCCCTCTTCTTCCTCTTCGTCTCTCCTCCTCCTCCCTCCGTCACCACCACCGGTGTCTGGACATACGTTTCTCTTTCAAATGATGAGTCAAAATCCAGGGGAGGAATTTCAATTATGATGGTGGTGGAGTTGGTGGTGGTGGAGTTGGTGGTGGAGCAGGTTGTGGTAATTTTTTGTTATTTTAAATTTCTTGTTTTCTTTGCAAGCTATTACCTGTGGCATGACTATGATGATGATGACGATGATGATTATTGTTGTAAAAAAAAAACCCCAATATATCCCGTATAGAGATGACCGATTCCTCCGCGTGTCTTTTCTCTGAGGGGTCGGCATGACGGTCAGGGTTAGCTTGAAGGGGTCATGGTAGGGGTCACCCACCCCCCTTGGGGTTCTCTGTGAACGGAGAGTAAGGGGTGGGGGGGTGAGGGATGACAGCTTGATTGGGGGTTCGGGCACCCACTTAGCGGGGGCGACCCAGTCCACTCTGCATGGCGAGACGGGTCTGGTTTGGCCCTGTGACCTCCAAAGGGGATGCTGCCGAGTTCATCTCACGTGATCATGAGCGCTGCGAGGAGGTGGTGGTGGACGATGTGGTTAACGAGGTGATGGTGGCGAAGGGACTCGCTGATAATTGAGGAAATGGTTATTGAGGTGATGGAGGTGGTGGCGATTGAGTGGGGAAGTAGGTGATTCGGGAGATGATTTAGGGAGGGAGATGTGGAATATGGTGGTGACAGGAGCTGATGGTGAGTGTCATAATTATGATCATGGTGGGGGGGGGGGGGGGGTCGCGTTGCATCTTGGGAGGATGTTCAATTCACCCACGGAGCTGGGCAGCACAGCGTGTTTGCGGTCACGTGATGCGTGTGAGGGGTGGGGGGGGAACCTGCCTGGAGGCCACGTTCTATGATCTTCGACCGGGACACGTGGGTGGCAGCCGCTCCCTCGCTCCGTCGGCAAGAAGTGGACAAAAGGACCCCTCGTATATCAACATCATTGAGGGCCTCGAACTTTCTGCCATTAAATAAGCGGACAATGTCGTCTCCTTCACAATCTATCTCTTCACCTATTTTTACACGTCCCATCAGCCCCGCGGGCTTCTGGGAGTGCACAATTGCAGCAGCGTTTTCAACGCAAGCGAAAACAACGCGTGAGCCGGTGTCGACATTCAATGTCTCGAGCAGCAGCAGCAGTAGTCAGTTGTTTTGCTTGAACCAGTGCTGCCAAGCTGCCCCAGGTGTCTTATCGACAAGGTCGCTCCGTGCCAGACGCGGGGGGGTCCCCAGTTCGATTCGAAACCTCGAGGCAGTTCACAGAACGGAGTCGCTCGCGAACGCGTCTCAATGTTGGCCCCGCTCACGGCTCCGAAACCACGCTCACGGCCATATTAGGAGTTAAAATGTAAAAAATAATAGGTTTGGGGACGTACATAAATGACGTCACGCACCGGGGGGGGGGGGGGTCAGACATTTGTGATGTGCAACGAGGGAGGGGGAGAGTGAGACATGTGACGTCACATCAAAATGCGCAATTTTAAATAAATATAGAATTGTTATAACACTAAAATCGATTTAAAGCTTTCGTGACTGCAGGGATTCATCTTCTTGGTTCTTTCGGTTCTTATTATTAAGAACCAAGAAGATAACACTAATTGTTATAACAACACTCCTACAACATCAGAGTGCAGCGCCACATTAAATACGCACCACAATGACAATAGTTTAAAGCGATTTGAAGCAGTTTTATTTTCAAAATGGAAATATGGTTTTGGGGGGGGGGGGGGGGGCAAAGCTTTGTGACGTCATATTTGAGGGGGGAGGTCTGACTTTTTGTGACGTCGTGTGACGAGGGGGGGGGGGTCAAATCGTCCAAAAACGCGTGACGTCATTTATGGACGGCCCCTATTACCCTTTCTGGCAATAAAACAGGCGGCGTGAAGATGTTCAAACACCAAATAGAAACCCTTTTCAAGGAATCAAGCCTGCATGAAACCACACGTACACACTCTGGTGAGACTAGGCCCGAAAGAATGCTGTTCTGTTTGGTGTAGGCCATTCAGTTTAAAAGGCAATGCAAATATTATCGGAGCATATTTGTTTGCATGTTCACCACAAGTACCGTGTGTGTTTAATGCAGTACTTGATTCCTTGCAAAATTCGAGATTTGAAGTTTTGGTCACTGCAAGGATTCATACTACATTAAATCACGACGTTTCAGGCGCAACACAAGCGTCCTTCAGTTTTCATTTATTTATTTTTTACCTACGTGACTTTACCGAAAAAACCAAAGAGTATGAATCCTTGCAAAATGTTTCTATTTGGTGTTTGAACATCTTCACACCTCTTGGTTTATTGCCAGAAGGGGTAAAACCTATTTATATTTTTTCATATTTAGATACCTGGCAAAAAAGGTCCCATTTAGGAGTCCAATTGTTTCGAAACATCGTGATATGTTATTTTTCTACATATGTGACTTTACCGAAAGAACCAAAGAGAATGGATCCCTTTAGTCACGAAAGCTTCAAATCAAAAACACATTCCTGCGGAGGGAGCTGGTAGAAACGTTGGGTTGCTCGGTCAATGGCCAGGGTCAACGGCGGCGTGGTGTATTCCGCAAATATGCCCGACTGTGAGGGCGGGCACAAGCCGGCGTGAGTAGGTTAAACGTTGAGTTTTATAAAAGGCACCACGGGGTGACCAGCCCCTCCCCACCCAGCCCCACCCTCCCCTCCCCACCCAGCCCTCCCATTTTTGGATGCACGACGGACAGACACAATAATCCCCTGTGGCACTTATCATCTGGTGGAACCAGGTGGTTCCTACCAGTAATATACGTTTCGAGTATTTGGCTGCTAGACATTGTCCACACGATAAGCCACTTCGTTGAGCTATCATTTAAAACCGCAACACTCCCGTCAATGTTATAATTTCACGTGCTACGAAGGAGGGCCGCTACCCCGAAACGTCGCCAAAATAAATTTAGATTTAAAGCTTTCGTGACTGCAGGGATTCATCTTCTTGGTTCTTTCGGTAAAGTCACGTAGAATGGAAATAATGAAATAATAAAATAATATAATAATAGTTGTCCCCCTCTAAGGCCCCACACAGCAACGGTGTTGTTATTGACACTCGGGACGTGTTGAGTTGTCTCTGCTCGCGCACCACTTGCGACGCAGCAGCAGCAGCATCGCCAGGTAATTCGTGGAATGTTAATGACATCACCGCAGTCAATTAAGCCTCATCGCTGCTGATTGCTTAATTAGGCAGACGCCTGCACATGCCGTCGGGTGTGCTTGGGACGGTGATGGGCTCGTCGTAATCAGCCATGGTCAATCCACTGCTGGATGAGTATCCTGCGATGTAGCGATCCACCCGAGGAAACTTACTGCTCTGCTGCGTGGTCCAGATATCTTGTGACCCCCCCCCCCCCATTTAATTACTGTATCTAAAACTTAATCTTTTCAGCAAGGGTTTATTTATTTAATTAACACATGCATAATGCAAAGGAAAACTGTTAGGGGTCATTTGGTGGGGGTCACAAGACATCTGGAGCACCCTCTGCACCGCGAGGAGCTGATTTCATCTCTTCTCCTTATCATCATGAGTCCATTGGGAGGCGTGGCTAACGTGGCGTTAATGAGCTGGGGCGTGGCTACTACGGGGGGGGGGGGGGCTAGGATCACGTGACAAGGTTAATTGGCTGCCGCGCGGGGAGAAGCGGGATTTGAATCCGGGGTGCTCACGGGGACTTGCGCGTACACACACGGGATAGACACGTGTACACACACACACACGTAGAGCTCCACACAAACTCACACGTGTACACACGGAAAGTTACACACACGGATAGACACGTGTACACACACACGTAAAGCTACACACACACACACGCACGTGTACACACGGAAAGTTACACACACGGATAGACACGTGTACACACACACGTAGAGCTACACACACACACGCACGTGTACACACGGAAAGTTACACACACGGATAGACACGTGTACACACAGGTAGCTACACACACACGTACACACACACACACGTACACACAGGGAAAGCTACACACACACACGCGCGCGTACACACAGGTAGCTACACACACACACGTGTACACACAGGTAGCTACACACACACACGTGTACACACAGGGAAAGCTCCACACACGCGTAGCTGCACAAACACGTGTACACACAGGTAGCTTTACACACACACACACACGTGTACACACAGGTAGCTTACACACACACACGTGACCAGCACCCTTTCTCACCCCCCCCCCCTCGTGCTGATGTTTACCACACCGCACCAGGTTCTCCTTGAAGGCTGGGAACGGGAATTGAGCTCGGGTTGATAGCGCAGTGCGCTAACGGCCGCGCCACCGCTCCTCACGTGTCCCCTCGAATCCCTCCCCAGCTCTCCTCATCCCAAGACCGCGTGCAAATGGCCTCGCGTCTCCCCCTCCTCGCCATTTCTCTCCACCACTTCGTCATCCGGCTCCTCGTCCTCCTGCTCCTCCTCGCATCTCTCTCGCAATGCGAAAGCCACAGTTCCTCGACACCGACCAGGGACCCTCCTACCAGCGGTGATCCACCCAAGGACCCTCCGAGCGAGGTCCCATCCAGGGATACTCCTCCTAGCGGGGTTCCATCTTCCGAACGGGGGCCTCCGGTCGGAGGAGGGGACCCCCCTCCCAGCGCGGAGCGGAGTAGAGGAGGAGGAGGTGGTGGAGGCGGCCACGGGGCGATGGCGAGAGTGGCGATGATGATGGAGATGCAGGCGGAGTCGAAGCCACGTCTGGGTCTCTGCTGGAGCCGAGCCCTGGCCGAGCTGCGCGCGGGCTGCGAGCGGCTGGGCGAGGAGGCCCAGCGGCGCGTGGCCCTCGCGTTCACGAGGTGCCACCTGAGGGCTGCGGGCAGGGCGCTGCCCTCGTGCCCGCAGAGACCGCGTGACCCCCGCGCGTGCACGCGGAGTATGGACCCCGTGGCGTTCAGCGCCTACACGGAGTTCTACACGCACGCTCACAGCGTGTGCCACCACCTGCGTGCACAGGTGTGGCCTGGGACTGGGTTTTTTTTTGTTGGGGGGGTATTTTTTTGTTGCTGCCTTGCTTGCCCAAATGCTTGAAAAATGGGAATCGCGTTGTTTGTAGATTTGAAGCTTTCGTTACTGCAAGGATTCACATGCTCTTAGGTTTTTTTTCGGTAAAGTCACGTAGGTAAAAATAAATAATAAAGATAATAGAAATAATGAAATAAATAAAATACACGTAGGTAAAAATAAATAATAAAAATTATAGAAATAATGAAAGAAATAAAATAAAATACACGTAGGTTAAAATAAATAATACAAATAATAGAACTAATAAAATAATTAAAAGCAAAAATCGCTCTTTATTATTTATTCTTTTATTTTATTTCTTTTATTATTTATTTTTACCTACGTAACTTTACCGGAAACAACCTAAGAGTATGAGTCGCATTATTGTTTCGTGCGACCCGCTTGCGCTTTTCTCGATTTCGCACTCCTATCGTTTTTTGTTGTTGTTGCATTGTTGGCCCTTGTAACTTGCTGACCCGCCCATACTGGACATCGTAGCAACTCCGCTTCTCTACGGGACGTCTGCCAAAAAAAAACATTACCAGCGTGCACGACATTCTCTCTGGCACGTGGTCGTGACGGGAACTGCAAGATCCGACCGTGTCCGTCCAGTGCTCGCTGAGCTGCATTGACTTGCGTTTGCCGAACGATTTCCATTGTCGGGTCGCGATTCATGACACACACACAAAGCGCCTGCCAATAAATGAACCACGAGACCTCGCTGACCTCGTCGATGAGCATACACCGCCACGTGAACTCCGCTCGTCGTCGTCGGCGTAGCAGCAGCAGCGGCTTTTTTGGCTGCTGGCCATCGAACAAAGACGGCGGTGACCACATCGCGTGGCGCTTTCAGATGCGCTGCTTTGCGGCCGTCTGGAACGCTCTCTCTTCCTGTCGATGTTAGGAAGCCGCTGGAGCTACGCTGCACTTGTAACGCTAGATTTAAAACTCATTTCTTTAGCACTGCTTTCTGTGTTTAGTTCGTCGTCTTTTCCCCCGCACCTCCGATTAGTAGGATTGGTGCAAAAAATGTTCGACATACACAGTGCCTCCGTGATTCCCTCTGACAAGCCCCCGCCTTCATTCCCCCTCAATGCTGTCTGCCATGCCCTTTCGTTTCCCCCATCTTCATCTCTTGGAGTGCCCTCTCAACCCCTGCCCCTGGCATTTCTCCCGCGTCCCTCGTGACTCCTTCATGCTCTCAATTTCCTCGCCCCCCCCCCCGCTCCTGCCCTTCTCATACGTCCTGCCCCCGTGGCCTCTTGCCCTCTGCTGTGCCGCCGTACCCCCTGTAACCCGTGCCCCCTTGCCCCATGTCCCCTGTCCCCATGCGCCATGTCCCCGAGCCCCATGTAACCCCTGTCCCCATGTCCCCGTCCCCCCTGTCCCTGTGACCCATGTCCCCGTCCCCCCTGTCCCCATGCCTCATGTGACCCGTGTCCCCATGCGCCATGTCCCTGTGCTCCATGTCCCCGTGCCCCCTGTAACCCGTACCCTCTGTAACCCGTGACCCCTGTAACCCGTGCCCCCTGTCACCCGTGCCGCCCTCTGTAACCCGTGACCCCTGTAACCCGTGCCCCCTTGCCCCATGCGCCATGTCCCCGAGCCCCATGTAACCCCTGTCCCCGTCCCCCCTGTCCCCGTGACCCATGTCCCCGTCCCCCCTGTCCCCATGCCTCATGTGACCCGTGTCCCCATGCCCCATGTTCCTGTGCTCCATGTCCCCGTACCCTCTGTAACCCGTGCCCCCTGTAACCCGTGCCCTCTGTAACCCGTGACCCCTGTAACCCGTGACCCCTGCAACCCGTGACCTGTCACCCGTGCCCCCTGTCACCCGTGCTGCCCTCTGTAACCCGTGACCCCTGTAACCCGTGCCCCTTGTCCCCATACGCCATGTCCCCATGCCCTCTGTCCCCCGTGCCCTGTCCCCCGTGCCCCCTGTCACCCGTACCCCATGTCCCCGTGCCCCCTGTCCCCTGTCACCCGTGCCCTCTGTAACCCGTGCCCCCTGTTTCCGTGCTCCCTATCCCCATGCCATCTGTCCCCATGCCCCATGTAACCCGTGTCCCCGTGCCCCATGTCCCCGTGTCCCCGTGCCCCGTGTCCCAGGCGTGGCGCGACGACGCGGAGTCGCTGCTCTCTGTGCTCGCCCGCGGCTCCTCGCGCTTCTCCCGGCAGTTGCGGCGCAGCGCGGAGCTCGGGGAGAGCATCCTCACCTCGCAGGGGGAGTTCGCGAGGGCGCAGCACAGAGCCGCGCGCAGCGGGGAGAGCCTCAGGAGAGCGCTGGCGCAGTCGCAGAAGGGTGAGCGGGCAAGGGCGCGCGAGGTGGGGGGGAGAGTGGTCACGGGAGAGAGTCAGAGGGGTGGAGGGGTAGTGTGAGGGAGGTGTTAAGGAGGGTATAGATTGGATGTGGTGTGAGCAAGTTGGTGAGTTACGGGTGAGTGGAGTGAGGGTGCGAGCGAGTGGCGCTGGTGTGAGCATTGTGTGCATAATGTTAGTGAGCTGCAACCAGGCGCACAGCTCCCTGTCCCGGTGTCTTCCTGCCTCCCCGTGTCTCTATCTACCCGTGCATCTTCCCCGTGCATCTCCTTGATCTTCCCGCGCGTCTCCACCCCCCCCCCCCCACGCCAGGAGTCCGCGTGGCCTTCTCGGAGCTGCGGGGGAGCGCGCTGGAGAGCCGCGCGCTCTTCGCCGAGTCGCTGCGCCGCCTCTCGGCGCTGCACGCGCTCCTCGCCGGCGATCTGGGGGGTCTCCACGCGGCACTCCTCTACGCCCTCTGCTGCCCCCTCGCCTGGATCCTCACCACGGCCACATCGACCGCCAGAGCCAGGCGAGGGGGGGGGGGGAGATCGTAGGGGATTGGGGAGAGCTGTCGGCTGTGGTTGGGTGGAGTTCTGGGGGCGATGGTTGTCGTGGTCGCGGTGGTAGTTCGAGGCGTGGGTGTAGTTGCTGATTTGTGTGGGTGTATAATTCTGGTTATGGGGGTGCAGTTCTGGTAGTGGCTGCTTAAAGGCCTGGTTGTGGCGGTAGTTGTGGTGGTAGTTCTGGTTGTGTGGTGGTGGTGGTTCTGGTAGTGGCTGCTTAAAGGTCTGGTTGTGGCGGTAGTTGTGGTGGTAGTTCTGGTTGTGTGGTGGTAGTGGTGGTAGTTCTGGTTGTGTGGTGGTGGTGGTTCTGGTTGTGGTTGCCGCAGGCCGTGGTTGTTCGTGCTCCTCACGGCGCAGCTGCTGCTGGAGCGAGGGGTCACGACCCTCATCACTTGGGGGGCTCCCGCGGGGCCCAACGTGCAGGTGAGGAGGGGAGAGCTCACCTGGTAAGAGGGGGGGGGGCTCACCTGGTAAGGGTGGAGGGGGTGGTGACGAGGTGAGAGTGTAAGAGTGTGAGGGGAGGTGAGCGACGATCATTGCAACACGGTGGTGAGGACAGATGTTGAGGGGTGTGACTGGATTGGTGTAATGAGGTGTGGGGGGGGGGGGGGTGAAAGGGTGTGATGATGTATGACGAGGTGAAGGGGCAGGGTGATGTGGTTACGAGGTGAGTGACGATGTAGTAAACCAGGCGAAGGGTTGAGAATGATAGGTGAACGTGAAGAGGTGAGGGTTGTGGTATATTTGACGAGGTTGTGCGAGGCACGGCATGCCATGAGATTGTCTTTATTGCATTGTGACGAGGTGTGTTAACGAAGTGATCATTCTGTATGCTGACAAGGTACGTTCATGTGAGCTGTGGTGGGTACGTGTGCGTGATGACGAGGTGTAGCGATGGTTTGGTCTCTTGACGAGATGTGGTCGTGCTGAAGTGAGGAACGTTGGTGACGATGTGAGGCTATTGACGAGGAGTGACGAGGTGGGGTTGTTGGTGAGTGACGAGGTTGGAGTTGTTGTTGGTGAGTGATGAGGTGGGATTGTTGTTGGTGATGGTGGGGTTGTTGTTGGTGATGAGGTGGGGTTGTTGTTGGTGAGTGATGAGGTGGGATTGTTGTTGGTGACGAGGTGGGATTGTTGTTGGTGATGAGGTGGGGTTGTTGTTGGTGGGTGACGAGGTTGGGTTGTTGTTGTTGGTGACGAGGTTGGGGTTGTTGTTGGTGAGTGACGAGGTGGGGTTGTTGTTGGTGACGAGGTGGGGTTGTTGTTGTTGGTGACGAGGTGGGGTTGTTGTTGGTGGGTGACAAGGTGGGGTTGTTGGTGAGTGACGAGGTTGGAGTTGTTGTTGGTGAGTGATGAGGTGGGATTGTTGTTGGTGATGGTGGGGTTGTTGTTGGTGATGAGGTGGGGTTGTTGTTGGTGAGTGATGAGGTGGGATTGTTGTTGGTGACGAGGTGGGATTGTTGGTGATGAGGTGGGGTTGTTGTTGGTGGGTGACGAGGTTGGGTTGTTGTTGTTGGTGACGAGGTTGGGGTTGTTGTTGGTGAGTGACGAGGTGGGGTTGTTGTTGGTGACGAGGTGGGGTTGTTGTTGGTGACGAGGTGGGGTTGTTGTTGTTGGTGACGAGGTGGGGTTGTTGTTGGTGGGTGACAAGGTGGGGTTGTTGTTGTTGGTGACGAGGTGGGGTTGTTGTTGGTGGGTGACGAGGTGGGGTTGTTGTTGGTGACGAGGTGGGGTTGTTGTTGGTGACGAGGTGGGGTTGTTGTTGTTGGTGACGAGGTGGGGTTGTTGTTGTTGGTGACGAGGTGGGGTTGTTGTTGTTGGTGACGAGGTGGGGTTGTTGTTGGTGGGTGACGAGGTTGGGTTGTTGTTGTTGGTGACGAGGTTGGGGTTGTTGGTGAGTGACGAGGTGGGGTTGTTGTTGGTGACGAGGTGGGGTTGTTGTTGTTGGTGACGAGGTGGGGTTGTTGTTGTTGGTGACGAGGTGGGGTTGTTGTTGTTGGTGACGAGGTGAGGTTGTTGTTGGTGGGTGACAAGGTGGGGTTGTTGTTGTTGGTGACGAGGTGGGGTTGTTGTTGTTGGTGACGAGGTGGGGTTGTTGGTGGGTGACGAGGTGGGGTTGTTGTTGTTGGTAACGAGGTGGGGTTGTTGTTGTTGGTGACAAGGTGGGGTTGTTGTTGTTGGTGACGAGGTGGGGTTGTTGTTGTTGGTGACGAGGTGGGGTTGTTGTTGTTGGTGACGAGGTGGGGTTGTTGTTGTTGGTGACGAGGTGGGGTTGTTGTTGTTGGTGACGAGGTGGGGTTGTTGTTGTTGGTGACGAGGTGGGGTTGTTGTTGTTGGTGACGAGGTGGGGTTGTTGTTGTTGGTGACGAGGTGGGGTTGTTGTTGTTGGTGACGAGGTGGGGTTGTTGTTGTTGGTGACGAGGTGGGGTTGTTGTTGTTGGTGACGAGGTGGGGTTGTTGGCACAGGACGAGGTGGGGTTGTTGGCACAGGACGAGGTGGGGTTGTTGTTGGTGAGTGACGAGGTGGGGGTTGTTGGTGAGTGACGAGGCGGGGTTGTTGTTGGTGACGAGGTGGGGTTGTTGGCACAGGACGAGGTGGGGTTGTTGTTGGTGAGTGACGAGGTGGGGGTTGTTGGTGAGTGACGAGGCGGGGTTGTTGTTGGTGACGAGGTGGGGTTGTTGGCACAGGACGAGGTGTGGCTGTTCTCGTGGTGGTCTCGCCGCGTGGCGCTCCTCGTAGCGCTCCTCCTCCTCCTCTTCGCTCACCACTCATTCCGCGACCTCCCGGCGCTCAACCACCGCCTCCTGGTCACCCTCGTCGCGCAGCAGAGACAGCTCACTCGACACCTCCTCGTCGCCCGTGAGACGCTCCCCGTCGGCCTCGCGCCCTCCCCCTCTCTTTTTTTTTTACGATCAGTGGAAACAAGAAGATGCTCGGTGTATTCGGCACTTTGCTTCGTTCATCATTTCGTAAAAAATTTTTTTTTACATTTTTTAACTTGGCTTTATGTAAAACCCCCACCTTTCGCTCACTTTGTCGCTCACTCTCTCGCTCTCTCTCGTTCTGCACGCAGCCCCTTCTCGCATTCGGACGGCCTCCGACGGGTAGCTCATATCCGCATGCAGAGCTCCCCGTCATCTGCCACCGAGCACACGGCCTCCTCCATCGCCCTCCCCCCCTCTCGTCCCCCTTGCCCTTCTCTCACTCTCTACTTCAGAGACCCCCCCCCCCCCCCCTCTGTGCAGGGCAGAAGCCCCCTGGGAAGGGAGATGCGGATGCTGGGACCCCCGCGACTGAGCTAAGCATCCTGAGCGGGGCCCCCGACGTAGAGGGCGAGAGGGGGAGCGGAGGAATGCAGCTCAGCATAAGACGGGGTGAGAGCGTGAGCGACCGAGATGGTGAGCGTGAGGATGAGAGGGTGAGCGTGTGAGCGAGCGAGATGGTGAGCGTGAGGATGAGAGGGTGAGCGTGTGAGCGAGCGAGATGGTGAGCGTGAGGATGAGAGGGTGAGCGAGCGAGATGGTGAGCGTGAGGATGAGAGGGTGAGTGTGTGAGCGAGCGGGATGGTGAGCGTGAGGATGAGAGGGTGAGAGCGTGAGCGAGCGGGATGGTGAGCGTCAGGATGAGAGGGTGAGCGTGTGAGCGAGCATGAGGGGAGTGAGTGGATTGTGTCTCCTCGCACCCCCCAGATTCCTCCCTCCAGCTGTGGAGCCCCGCACGTGGCCCCCGTCCCTTCAGGTCCCCGGGAGGTGTGCGGAGGGAGGTGCAAGTGGAAAGGAGGGGCCTCCATGACTCCATCTTCATCGCAAACATCTCCAGTTCGGTGAGCCAACCACCACCACAATTCGCCACTAAGTGGTGGTGACGTCATCACGGCGCTTATGCCAGGCTAGGTGCATCTTAAGGCCACGTGAAGTGTCGAACACCCACTGACAGGTCACAGGACAGACCCAGGTGCCATGGGTTGACTGAGATGACTGGCCGATGGACCACCTGTGCCATCCCTACTGTGCCAACTTGCGATGTTTTAGCCGGCCGGCGTTCCGCTCATTGTTGTGAGATCACTCCTCTGCCCTCTGTTGTTGCTGGAGCGCGTCTGCCTCCAATTGCCAAGTAGCGTCCTTCAAGAGCTGGCACCAGTTATGAGCAAATGTACTTGGCTCCATATCGGCTCATACCACATCATTCCATCTTTTCTCTAGCCCGTGCAGTGCTTGTTTAGCCTCCTATCTGGCTGAACAAAATCTGTTTAGGCATGCAGTGCTGGGCATGCGGGCTCCATGACCCAGCCAATGCAGCCTTGCCTGCTGGAGGAGCTCACTGAAGGGACTGTGTCCAGATCTTTTCCAGGATTTGTGAGCTCCTAACACAATCCAGCCTAGTTAAACCTAGGATGGATCGTAGGCAAGCCAGCCTGGATGTTTCTAACTGGCGATGATGTTCCATTAGTGGGGTCCACATTTTGCAAGCATAAAGAAGGGAGTGCATGACCGTGGCTGAGAAGACCCGAAGCTTTGTGTGGAAAAACAGACCGGGTAGCGTCCACACCGCGTTACGCAGATGATGAAAAGATGCTGCTCGGCTGATTTGGGAGACCTATGCTGTCAAACCAGATCTGGTCATAAGCACACTGCCCAGGTATGGAAACCTCTCCACTCGCTCCACAACTTACCCCACCAATGAGGAGTTGTTGATGGGGTGGAGTGTTTGATGACACAAAATACCCAGCGAGGTGCTTCGTCTTGGAGGGGCTGTAGCACACTTCAGGTTCAGCAGCAGCGCCTCCTACTCCTCTTCAGATTGAGCTGCAATCACCAGTCCATGAGCGAACGTAACATGGTTGACCAATAGGGAGCCATCACTCGACCGCACCCGAGCATCGATCAGCCTCCCACTGTATCTGTACCAACTGGAAATTCTTCCTGTACAGCCATGGAAAGTTTCTCGAACTATGTGGTAAAAAAGATATTAATTAATGTAGGTGCCAGAGGGCCATACCTTTCGCACCCCAAGGTAAACAGGGAATGGCTCTGACTCCTGGTCACGTAGCTTTACCCGGGCCCGCCCATCATCATGAAGAGGTCCTTAATGATTGTGAACAGAGAGTTAGGAACAATAAGGCTGGGCTCTGGGTTGATGGACAACCTAGAGCCCAGGTTTATTGATGGTATCATAGGCCTCGACCGGGTCAATAAAGCAGAGATGTAGGTCCTCTTGGACTTCCCTAAACCTCTGCTTTAGCAGACGGACAGAAAATATGGCATCTGTGCAGGACCACCCTGGCCTGAAACCACATTGGGGCTCCACAAGCCTCTCCTCAGCCATCATCACCACTCCCACCATGATCAATCACCTCCATCACCATCATTACTACCACCACAACCAATCACCACCACCATCCCTCCTTATATCAGCACGACCATTATCCTCATGACCATAATCACCACTGCCGTCACCTTCACCACCCCTCCGCATCCCGTGCTCACCCTCCCCGTGCCCCCCCCACCCGCCGTGCCCCCCAGGTTCTGCGTTGCCGCCTACGTGAGCGAGGCCCGGGGTCCCCGCCGTCCCCCTGCATGCCGCACCATGACGCCCAGCGCAGGGTGCGGCGTGGGGTGTCACCAGATGGAGCGTTCCCACGCCGGGTGCAGGATATGGAGCCTCCCGCGAGGGCATCTTCAGGCGGGGCGTTCACAAGGAGTAGGTTGCAGGACCAGTCCTCAGGCAGGGTGCAGGACCAGTCCTCAGGCAGTGTGCAGGGCCGGTCCTCAGGCAGGGTGCAGGACCAGGCCTCAGGCAGGGTGCAAGATAAGTCACCAGGGAGGGTGCAGGACCAGACCTCAGGGAGGGTGCAGGACCAGTCCTCAGGCAGGGTGCAGGATAAGTCACCAGGGAGGGTGCAGGACCGGTCCTCAGGGAGGGTGCAGGATAAGTCACCAGGCAGGGTGCAGGGCCGGTCTTCAGGCAGGGTGCAGGATAAGTCACCAGGCAGGGTGCAGGGCCGGTCGTCAGGCAGGGTGCAGGATAAGTCACCAGGCAGGGTGCAGGGCCGGTCTTCAGGCAGGGTGCAAGATAAGTCCTCAGAGAGGGTGCAGGATAAGTCACCAGGCAGGGTGCAAGATAAGTCACCAGGCAGGGTGCAGGGCCGGTCTTCAGGCAGGGTGCAGGATAAGTCACCAGGCAGGGTGCGGGGCCGGTCCCCAGGCAGGGTGCAGGGCAGGGCAAGCAAAGGTGAACAGTCCTGATCGTGACCAACTTGTGTTGAGGGACGGGGATGAGTAGGGGGGGGGGGGGGGGTGCAGTGAGGAGGGGAGCCCACAGGGAGGTGGTGTGTGCCCCTGAGAGTGAGAGCCGTTTTAATCGCGTTCCTGATGTCGTAATAAAGGAGTTTTTCTCAAGATCATGGGAAGTCGTGGACCTTGTAGTGGAGACGTTCCTCGTCGCGCGTCGCGCTCATCGGCAGAGTAGCGGAAAATGGCAATCTGCAGAGAGCAGTTTGCGGCAGAGGTCGCAAACGGGTACGGGTACCCGTTTGCGACCCTGGTGCGTGAGTCACTGGTGAGTAACTGTTTGTCACTCATTTCCCAACGTCTCGTCTCTTCTCACAATTCAAGTTCCTAGAATCAACCCACCCGCGCCTGCAACATGGCTTCCTCCCAGAGGTCGCAATCAGGTACCCGATACCTGTACCCTACCCGTACTTGGCCGGGTACGGGTAAGGAATCAAAACCCGTTTGCGACCTCTGGTTTGCGGTGGGGGGGGGGGGGGCTTAGTGATCCCACCACGGCAGCAGCAGTGCCTCGAGTGACTGCCGGGCGACGCGTGCACAGCGCTACTTGACCCACGAGGTTCACGCACGGGTCGCGACGACAGCGACAACGCGCTTGTGATGTCGCGCCCTCCTGTACGCCACGCGTTTTGAAATGGCACCCCCCCAGTGACAGCTCAGTTTGTGCTGTGTGACCAATTGAGAATGCAGGAGGCCGGGATGAGTCTCGTTTGCAAGGGTGACTTGAGTCTGCTGCCAGTAGGGGGCGATGATCCTTGCTCTGTGTGATTCCTAATTGAGTAATTTGCAATGTCATTTTTCATAATTGGACCGTGACGCCGGGACACATTGGCCCACTCCTGCGAATGGCGTCACGGGGATCTTTAACGTCCACTGTGAGTGAAGCACACAACGCGTGGGTAGTGGTATTGCCACGGTTACTACAAGCCCCGTAGTGATAACCAGGGCAGCCGCTGGGATCCGAACCGAACGAACCTCTTGCAACAATTACACGCGCGACTTTTGCTGCCGCCGCGTGTGTAATCGTTATCCCGGCCCTGGGGCCACGGCGCGGGAGGAAGCGACCGACTCGCAGCCAAACACACATCGGGCACCGTCTCCTACAAAAGCACGTTTATTATTTCTCGCCAACTCATCGCGTGATACCGGCGAGTCATCGATTGCTCGTCCGCTACCTCGGCGGTCAGGAATCGGCAGTCGCAGCGCAAGGTGGCAGGATGTTCGCGGGGGTCGTAGTTTTGAGGATCGGGGAGTCAGGGGCCAATGTCCATCATCTCTTCGAAAAACTTGAGCCTCCATATTTTCTCACCGAATTCCCTGAACCGTGCCTCCCCCAGCAGCTCGATGAGCTTCTCCTGGGTCGTGGGAGCGGGTGAGGTGGGGGCGGTTGGGGTCACACAGTGGGCAACAGTTAGGCGGGAGGTCATTCGTACAAAATATAACGAGGTCAAAGGAGTTTGTGGGCTCGCACGTTAAGTTCATGGGGTCAAGCAGGGGATCGCGCGATTACGCAAGAGGTTGTGGGTCATGCCATGCAAGAGGTTGCTGAGAATTGCGGCGTCACCGGAGGGGATTAAGGGGTCCTAGAAGTTCATGGTTCACAAGGTAAGAGGGATACACATGGGACTCAGGGGGGTCACACGGATCATTCCAGAGATTGTAGTAGGTTGTGAGGCGTCATGGGGTCAGAGGAGGTCACAGGAGGTTGTGGGTCACGAAGTCGGAGATCATGGGTCACACGGGGGTCACACGGGGATGGTTGGGGGGGGGGGGGTTGCTGGTGGTGTGGCACCTGCTGCTGGTGCTCCGAGTCGAGGATGGCGTACGCTGCCTCCAGCGTCTCCCAGTGCAGCGCCGGCAGCAGCTCCTTGCGCAGGCACAGCAGCTGCTGCTGCACACGGCCCGACCTCGCGCCGCTCTCTACAACGGCAACATCACCAACGAGATCAATACCACCAACAACAACAACAACGCCAGCAGCACGAACACCAACGCAATGGTCGCCTGTTCACCACAAAGAATCAATCAGAATATTTATGCTGGAGGAATCCGATGAGCTATAAAGTAATTTTTCACAGATGTCTAGTAGTTCACAGATGTCCTAAGTGACAGTGCCACGAGAGGGAGTGACACAAGGTTGGTTACTGGGAAGATAGAGATGGTTACCGGGAGACAGGGTGAGGAGGAAGGTAGAGGGATCTGGTGCTTTGCCCTTGAGCACCAGCGTGTCCTGGAACTTCCTGTGGAACCCCCGCATGGCATTCTGGGAGGCCGCCAGCGGCGTGTGGCCATTGGTGATGGGCGGAGCGCCGCGAGGCTCCATCTTCAGCGTAAGCGTCATGGCCTCCATGAGATCCTGCACGTCACAGGACCCCGCACTGCTCTGCCTGCACACGCACATTCACGCATGGGGTGTGGTCGACGCTCGCACGGCGAATCCCGGGTCTACCGCAACAGCACAATCGCCACAACACCACCTCTCTACCACAAGAACACAACTGGTACTGCCACGCCAACCGCACCACCACTACCACCATCCTCGCTGTCACATCCACACCCTCACCACCCTCAACACAACCGACACCACCACCGCCGCTCCCACCACCCCTACCGGCCACAGCTGTCCTTTGATCCTGCCACACTGCCTCTTGAGGCAGATGCCTCGTCGTCATCATCCTCATCGGAGACGAGGGAGCCAAGGCCACTCTCCCTCTACACATAAGCACATACACAAGCAGAAACATACACAAACAGACATAAATAGACCCAGACATCCATAAGCATGCAAAGATATGCATTCAGACACACAAGAACATGCAGCTATGCACACAACAGCCGTCATTTTATACTAGGTGGCGGTGACATCACCACGGTGCTTGTGCTAGGCTAGGTCAGCCTTGAGGCCACGTGAATTGTCGTTGGCTGGCAGGAGATCACGGCAAAGACTGCCTAAGATGATCATGATCAGCAAATATACTACCTATGCTCCCTGCTGCGTTTTAGCCGCCTGGCGCTCCGCGCATTGTTGCGAGCATCGCCCCTCTGCCCTGTACTATTGTTGGAGGAAAACTGCCTCCAACTGCCCAGTAACTTCCTTCACGAGCTTTCTCTACAGAGGCCAATCTTAACACGGCTGGCACCAGTCATCCGCAAGTCAAATCGGCTCCACAGACTTGTGTACCACATCAGTCCATCTCTTCTCTAGCCCGTGCAGTGCTGGTTTAGCCATCTCTATCCGGCCGAACAGAAGCTACTTGGGCATGCAGTCTACATGACCCAATCAATGCACCCTCGCTGCTGCAGGAGCTCACTGATGGAAACGTGTCCAGATCCTTCAAAGATCTGTGAACTCCTCGCACAATCCAGTCTGGTTAAATCCAGGATGGATTGTAGGCAGGTCAGCCTGAATGTTTGAAACCGGTGCAGATATTCCTTCGGGGGGGGGGGGGTCTTTGTTTTCCTAGCATAGAGAAGGGATGATAATACTATAGAGCGACAGGCCAGGTAGCTTCCACACATGCCCACTCCTTCACGCACATCACCGTTTCGGTGCTTCCTCTCACCTGGCTCTCGCTCACCACGGCCGCCGGGACTCTGGGTTGAGTGGTGGGGTGGGCTGCGGGGGCTGGGGGAGCTGCGGGGGCTGGGCCAAGCGACACGAGTGGGCGGTGCTGGACAACTGCACACGCGAACGAGTGAGGGTCAACGCTCGTACTCGCAACCGACAATGCAATCAACATCCTTGCCACCGCTCACCACTGCTGCTCACCAATGATACCATTAACACTCCACCAGCTACCCTGAAGCTGGCACACCAAGACAGAAACCCCCCCCCCCCCCCCCCCCAGTACAGCCTTAATTCACTTTTGGGGTTCCTGGTCCGGAATTGGATCAGGAACCCCAAGGTGGGTGGGTGGGTGGGGTACAGTCTCCTGGCTCCGCCAAATGGGGTTTGGCCAGGAGGTGTCATGGGGGCCTGTTCCTCCGGGGGCCTCCGGCACAAGCTAGTTTTGATCTTTAATTCGTAGTCTTCTGGTAAATTAGTTGAAGTTGGAAGGGTTACCAGACCCTCGCTCCCATCTAGAGCCCCTATTGGTCACTGTAGCAGCTGCAAACACACTGTAGGGATAACAGCTGATTAGTATCGGCCTTCACCGAAATGACTTTGCTCACAGCCATCTCAGTGTTACCGGCTGGCAACTGCCGAGGAGGTGGGGGTTGTTTTTGCCAGCACACACAGGCACTCGGACACAAAAACCACACACGTCACAGGCGCTCGCACAGACATAAGAACCACACATCACACATCACACACCCCCCACACCAGCCCCCTCACCCAGTGGCACGTGTTGCTGCTCCTCCTGCAGTTTCCTCTGCCGCCTCCTCTCCCTCGCCACACTCTGCCGCACAACCACAGGGTGACACGCAACCATGCGGTGAGACAACCACGACACAAGAACCGTGGTGTCACTACCATGGCACAAGCCCATGGGGTGGTGGAAGTGGTGGTTGATGGTGGCGGTGGTGTTGGTGGACAGAGCCGCACCCTGTGGCTCGGTGCAGGCACGCCCTGGGATGGCACGGCAGGCGGTGTCGCGACAGGCGGTGTCGCGACAGGAGGTGTTGCGACAGGAGGGGTCGCGACAGGAGGTGTCGCGGCAGGAGGTGTCGCGACAGGAGGGGTGACGGGGTCACTGGTGCAACAGCCCGAGGCCTAAAACACAACACAATCACTGGATGCACACAGTGTACACACACTTAGTGTACACGCGCTTATTGTACACACACTCACACTGTACACACACCTCAGATTAGAACAGGTTGGCTACGTACAGTGCAAAAGAAGTTAAACATACATACACTGTACACACGGTGTAGTCACACTCGCAGTGTACACAAACTACACACTCAAGTACAATACTGCTACACACTCGTGACATTCACAACATATTGACATCTGACTCCACACTTGCACAATTGGGCACGCTGGCCTCACCAGTTGTTAACACGTGCATAAGCACATACACACACATGCACGCACCACACTCTCCCGTGTGTGTGTGTGTGTGCACGTGAGTGTGACACGGTGACACCGCTACCTCTGTGCGCGTAGAGTGAGGTCGTTGCCCGGTGTTAGGAGTTGGCCGAGGTTTGGGGTCGAGGTCGGGGTCGGGGTCACGGGTCGGGTTGGGGGTTGCGGTGGCTGTGGGGAGGAGGGGATTGGCGACCTTTGGTGTGGGGGTCGGGTTCCGCTTCGCAACAGGGTTTGAGCTGGTTTCAGGGTTGGGGTTAGGTTTGGGTTTACGGTTTGGGTTCATTTTGGAGTTGGGGTCAGATATGGGGTGAATCGCGGAATCGCTGCTGGGGCTGCTCCCCCTCCTCCTCCCCTTCTGCTTATCCAGGGGGGGTCCCCCTTTGTCCTCCTTGTCACCCCATGGCCCATTCCCCAGGGACCCCAACTGCAGCTCCACGTTGGAGATGGTTGCTATGGGGACACACGAGTCTCCCGTCTCCATGGAGACCTTGACGCTGGGCTGCGATTGCGATGGAGCCTTTTCCGCTCGCTCCCGGGGTTTCCTAGCGGCGCTGCGTCCGCCACGCTTGTGCTCAGCCTCCATCCTGTAAGGTATACGAAGACAAAGCACACACAGCTCACCCACACAGCACTGGATCCTCGCTACGTTTGCCACATGCCGTCAGCACTGGTGATATGGGTGATAATGGCCAGGGTAATGATGATAGAGGCGATGATGCTAGTAATGCTGATGTTCATGATGCAGTGCTGATTATGCTGGAAGTGATGAAGACAATGTTGGTGACTGCTGATAAGTTACTATTATTATAATGCTGGTAATGCTGCTGATATGGTTTATAGTGATAGTGAAAATTCTGATCCTGATGATGATACTGGTAGTGCTGAAGATGATAATGCTAATACTGACAATGTTCATACTCTTTGGTTTTTTCGGCAAAGTCACATAGGTAAAAAAATCAATAATATAAAATAAATGAAAACAACTAAATTACGTGACTTTACCGAAAAAAAAACAAAGAGTATGAATCCTTGCAGTCACGACAGCTTCAAATCTAGAACTGACAATGTTCTTTATGCTGTAGTGATGATGTTGTAGCAATGATGATGCTGATTGTGCTGATGGTGATCATGCTTTTGTGATATTATAATGATAGTTGATGAAGATTATGCTGGTGGTGATGGCAGGGTGGATGATGCAGACAAGCGGGACGAGGTGGACTAACTTTTGGAGGAAGTCACTGATGTGCTTGCGGATGAACTGCCGCTTGAGGATGTGTTGGAGACCAGGTCGCTCATCGGGGGAGCGGCTCAGCATCGACACGATTAGTTCGCCCAGCTCACGGCTGTACTGCGGTGGTAGTGTGGGAATCTAGAGACACGGGGGGACGCGCGGACGCACACATTTATGTACGGTGAAATTATTTTGCACAGTACGTAGCCAACCGCGCTAATGGGAGGTCCAAATGGGTACAGAGACACAAGTGCTGGGCATGCATGGGTAAGGTACGGTGGGGACGAGGTTGGGGAGGGGCCTGGGGAAGGACTGCTCACCTTGCCCTTGACCACTTTGAGCACGAGGGCGTTCATGTCGCGCGCGTTGAACGCATGTCTCAGCGTGGCCATCTCCACCGCACAGCAGCCCAGCGCCCACACATCCGACTGTGGGTGAGAACCGCACACTCACCACTTACTCAATAACCACCACCTACTACTCACAACTCACTAACTGCTATTCACTCCTCACCCACGGTGAAAATTGCCACTCACCCCCACAACACTCCCCCACACGCCACTAATCTCCATTCCTCTCACACCCACAACACTCGCCTCTATGAAAGCCGGCACGGCAGACAAGGGGGTGAGTGACCAACACCACACATGGCCAAATGTGTCTCTCTAGTGCTGATGTTGACAAACTGCACCAGGTACTCATTTAAGGCTGAGTCGACCTAGGAGAGGCCGAGGACAAGTTAAAATATTCATCACTGCTATTGGTCGTGAGCAGGAACTGAACTCGGGTCGCCGAATTCGTAGCGCAATGCACTACCTACTACTGCACCACCGCTCCCCACCACTCGGCACAAGCCACTTATTACTGCCTCATTCAGCACCGCCCTACCCAGCACCAGCCTAGCCCGCGTGGACCCACGTGCCTTGTAGTTGTACGGCTGGTTCTGGAAGAGCTCGGGGCTCATGTAGTACGGCGTGCCGATCAGCGTGTTCGCCATGGCCGCCGGCTCGTCCAGCACACGTGCGATGCCCAGGTCGCCCACCTTAATCACATCCCCGCGTGTCAGGAAGATGTTCTGCGTCTTTAGGTCCCGGTGCAGGATGCTGTTGTCGTGCAGGTACTGGGGGAGGGTGGGGGGTGGGGAGTTAACTATGGTTAAGCATGGGGGGTAGTGTAGAGATTTAGGGTCAGGATTGATGTTGGTGTTGGGTGAAGTTGGGTGTCAAGAGTAAAGTTTATCAGTGAGATTTGGGTAAGGGTTAGAATTGCGGTAAGAATTAGGGTTGGGGTAAAAGTTAGTATGAATGTTAGAGCTAGTGTTAGGTATAGTATTAGGGTTAGGTGTTGGTATTAGCGTGAGAGCTCGTGTTAGTGTTAGGTAGAGTTACTGTTGTAGAAGATATCAGAAAGTGAGTTTCATTCAGGAAAGGTCCATTGAGCTCCGAACCTCTTTGACCCGACCAGCAGCGGGTATGTGTAACGGTTAGTGTCAGTCCCTCCAACTGCCTACACACCTACCTTGAGTCCACACACAAAGACAAAGATCCCCCATATAGCCTGAACAGACTGTTGAGGAAAGTGCTGTTAGTGAGCACCTATGAAGGTGGACAAAGCACACAACTGGGTGGGCAGCCAGCACAACGTCTGGCCGCCTTTATCTCCCTAGTGGCGATGTTTACACACCGCACCTGGTACTCATTTCAGGCTGAGTCGACCTAGGAGAGGCCCAGGACCAGTTCAGATAATCGTCACAGGTGTTGGCTGTGAGCAGTAATCAAACTCTGGTGACTGTGAGGGGGAATGGTACGCGCATCACCTGATTCGTAGTGCAGCAACTACTGCACTACCGCTCCCCACATGTAGACACACACGCATGCTCGCTCGCTCGCCCACCTTCAGCGCCATGGCGATTTGCACGAACCACTGCACGATCTGCGGCTCGGGCAGCAGCTGGCCGTTCTGCTGGCGCAGGCGATGATAGAGGTCGCCGCCCTCGCAGAAACCCATGACAATGTGGAGGCAGCCGCCCTCCTCCCACGATTCGCGGTATGTGACGATGTTGGGATGGCGCAGAGACGAGAGGAGATTCGCCTCCTGCTCAGCAGCCTTGCGTTCTCGCGCCGACGCAGAAGCCAGGCTCAGGTGCTTGATGACAAACTGAAGGGAAAAGGGACACAAAGCGCAGCATGAATGCATGGGTGATGGCTGTGCTGCACGTGGTCTTTAATCCAGCACTATGGAGGCAGCAGCAAGGGTTGGTGAAGCACCGCACAAATGTTTTACAACTCCTGTGCGCGTAGAGAAAGAACCGTACCCTGGCTCGCGTGGAGAAGGCGGTACAGCTAAAATGTGGAATATTATCTGTCCCATCTATATGGGATGGAGTGTTTCCCCCCTCACATGCGTAGGTTTTCCTTCGAGTGCTCTGGTTTCCTTCCGATTACGCCTGAAAATAAAGACCGCAGAGGTTGTGCAATTGTTGGTGCTGGCTCCTTGCGTGGTTGTCTGTCTTCCCGCTCGTCTGTGGTTCTCTCTCTACAAGAGTGAGCGAATACTGTGTGATGCATTACAATTTGAAATGATTACCAACACACGACATCACTTTACATGCAGGCTTTTGTAGCCAGTATCACGATTCATGCTCGTTTTCAAAGGAAAGACTTGTTTAGCAGGGCCTTGACAAGTTTTAACAGTAGGGGGCGATGATCGCTACCATAATTTACGGGTACTATTTAAAATACTGTACTGTATTTGGCAAATTTGGGTCATTACGCAGGCACACGAGTGTTACACGGCGTCACAAAAAGTCAGACCCCCCCCCTCAAATATGACGTCACAAAGCTCTGCCCCCCCCCCAAATAAAACATGCTTCAAATCGCTTTAAACTATTGTCATTGTAGTGCGTATTTAATGTGGCGCTGTACTCTGATATTGGAGAAAACATTTATAAAAATAGTCTATTTAATTAATTAGAACGTGTTGTCTATATTTATTTAAAGTTGCGCATTTTGATGTGACGTCACATTTCTCAAACCCCCTCCCCTCGTCACACATCGTCACGAATGTCTGACCCCCCCCCCCCCAGGTGCGTGACGTCATTTATGGACGGCCCCTGTGTACGCGTGACCATTTTTTTCTGCGGCGGGTGGTGGAGGGCCTTAACGACACAAACATGGGCAGATCATTACGTGCACACAACACACACATCATATAATCCACCAGAGACCTCGTACTCACCACACAGACACCCCACGCCTGGGAGATGAGCCCCACATAAGAGTCATGGGTAGAATCATGGCGACTATCTGGGTGACTACAGCATAACCATGGGGCGCCACGGTGGCGAGATGTTAACTCCCTCGCCCGGTATACAGGAGGTCGTGGGTTCGATCCCAACCCTGACGCCTGCAGCTGTATATTTGGAGTTTGCGTGTTCTCGCCTGTGGCTGCTGCGTGGATTTTTCTCCGGGTCCTCCGGTGTTTCCCTCCACATTTAGAACACATTCCTGCGGAGGGAGCTGGTAGGAACGTTGGGTTTGCTCGGTCAATGGCCAGGGTCAATGGCCAGGGTCAATGGCGGCGTGGTGTATTCCGCAAATATGCCCGACTGTGAGGGCGGGCACAAGCCGGCGTGAGTAGGTTAAACGTTGAGTTTTACAAGGGCACCACGGGGTGACCAGCCCCTCCCCTCTCCATCCAGCCCCACCCCTCCCATGTTTTGGATGCACGACGGACGGACACAATAATCCCCTGTGGGCTGGTGGAACCAGGTGGTTCCTACCAGTAATATACGTTTCGAGTATTTGGCTGCTAGACATTGTCCACACGATAAGCCACTTCGTTGAGCTATCAATTGTGGACCAGGTCGCCTCTCAAATAGGGCAATGTAGCTCACTGGGCCTTACCTGGTAAAATAAAAAAAAGTCAAGACCTGGGTGCCTCACCGTAATGAGGACGAATAATTGGGTGGCTTTGGGTGATTGAGGTTGATTTTCGGAGTAACTGGATTTTATTTATACTGTCATTTTATTGGGTATTTTATTTTATCAAAATTTTTAGTGCAATTATTATCAGTTTTTATTCATTTAGTTTGAAATGTATTTATACTTGGCAATTTTATTTATTGTTTGTGCAACACTTTGAGACTTATGAAAGGCGCTTTATAAAATGACCACTGTTATCTTCTGGACGAATGACTGCGTAAATAAAGGATGATTGGGTAACTATGAGTGACTATCTGGGTGGATATATGTTTAATAATATCTGTGACTCACCCTGCTTGAGCGTATGTGGGTGACGTTCTGCTTTGCTAAGAGGTTGTCGATTTGAGAACTGTGGATGACTATAACGTTAACAATTTTATTGATTTTGACTATGGGGGGGGGGGGTGACTATTTGGGCAACTATCTGGTTGATTATCTGGTTTACCGTGCAACTAGTTTACCATGTGGTTGACTATTTCATCGATCTGGCCGACGATTTGATCGATCTGGCCGACGATTTGATCCAACTATCTCGCTCATCGTCTGGTCAACGAGGCCTTGACGAGGGGAGATGGGACATCGGTCTCGCCAGACGGGGCGGCCCAGTTAGCGGGCACCTCCTCCCAGCACCTCCCAAAACCGTTCACCACCCCGGCCGCCTTACGCCTCCTCACCCTCCTCCTGCACCACCTCACCCTCCTCCACCTCACCCTCCACCTCACCTGCTTCTTGCTGCGTTCCTCCAGGCACTGCACGAGGTAGACCTCCCCGTAGCTGCCCTTCCCCACGAGCCGAATGCGCCGGTATCTCTCCATGGCTGGCTGCCGTTCCAACCTCCGCCACCCCCGCCGCGTCTCTATGGGGATCAGTGGGGGAAGGAGGGGAAATGAACATTTTGATTCTTAAAAATTTTGTTCAAGCGACGCCGGTGCGGCCATATTGGGTAAGGGTTACATCGTCAGCGCGAACCAATCGAGGGACGTTTCGTCTATCACGTGATGCATCGCGTCACGTGGTGAGTGGGTATTCGCCCCCGCACTCCTTGCCAAAGATGGCGGCCCGGACTTCACAACGTACGGCGGTCGACGGGCAGCTTTCTCGGTACGCCATTGGACAGGCCAGATCACGTGCGCGACTCCGCCAATCGAGAGCCGTGTTTACGTCGAGGCGCGCGCCGCAATGAGATACGCAGCGCGTCCCCCACCCCTCCCTCCGCGTCGCCATGGTAACGCGGATTCTTGGGTTTCAAGCAAATGTTTAAGTCCATAATAGGGGTTCTAGGATTAGATCTCGTAAATATATAAATGTGTCGTTAACACCCGCCACCACCCGACACAGCCAACTTGCAAGGGTTGTCACGTAGACAGAACGTGGCCAATTCGTCACTAGTACAGCACTAGTGTGTAGTGTATAGTGTAGTGTAGAGTGTAGTATACTAGTACAGCACACCGGTGTGTAGTGTATAGTGTAGTGTATAGTAGTGGTGTATAGTGTAGTGTATAGTGTAGTATACTAGAACAGTACACCGGTGTGTAGTGTATAGTGTAGTAGTGTAGTGTATAGTAGTGGTGTATAGTGGAGTAGTGTAGTGTATAGTGTAGTATACTAGTACAGCACACCGGTGTGTAGTGTATAGTGTAGTGTATAGTTGTGGTGTATAGTTGTGTATAGTGTAGTGTATAGTGTAGTATACTAGAACAGTACACCGGTGTGTAGTGTATAGTGTAGTGTATAGTAGTGGTGTATAGTGGAGTAGTGTAGTGTATAGTGTAGTATACTAGTACAGCACACCGGTGTGTAGTGTATAGTGGTGTATAGTGTAGTGTATAGTGGAGTATACTAGTACAGCACACCGGTGTGTATAGTAGTGGTGTATAGTGTAGTGTAGTAGTGAATAGTAGTGGTGTATAACGTAGTGTATAGTAGTGGTGTATAGTGTAGTGTATAGTGTAGCATACTAGTACGGCACACCGGTGTGTTGGAGAGCCAAGCCACGACATTTACAGAGTACGACGTTTCGCCAGTAATTACAACCAGCTTCATCAGGCGACAGCCAGATGTGTGGAGTACACCGGTTTCGTTCCTTATATAGAGTTCAGGCTTCTGTAATATGATCGTTGTTTGCTTCTCGTGGCGAATGCAAGCAGAATAAACAAGTAGACAATTTGCTTCCACGTGTCCCTCCTAAATAAAACGTTACTTTGCACATCCTGTCAGCCTCCTGCGAGTGCATTGCAGCAGAATTAGTTGAGTTTCGACCGCGTCTCATTGACAGCAGCCAGGCTTTGCTTGAACCAATCAATACTCGTGTGCGATGTTTATAAGCAAGGTATAATTTTGACATTGTGTCCGATCAGTAGGGTTGGGCTTGCTTGAAACGGTAATGGTGAACTTCCAAAAGAGAAATAAACGCGCTAAGTAGTCCCACCCGTCGCAGATGTGGAGCAAAATAAATTTCGATGGCTTCAGGAAGGCGTGCATCCAACAGTGGATTGATAATGGCTGCTGATGGAATGCTGAGTTTGTACCCATTTCTATACACTCCTGGGGTTTTAATACCAGCCAGTACTTCTTGGGGTTCATCCTCAGACTCTGGTGATTGTCGCCAATACCCGTTTTCTTCTGGAACATGCGAGCCATCACGGGGCCATCACAGCCCTGGGAGATTTCCACTGCGAGGGGGTGCGTGTGCATGACTGCGTCATTTATAAGCGTCTCTACTCAGTCAATCCGCATGACGTCAGCGGCACGGCCCGGCTTGTGCAGTGGAAAAAAACCTGGTGCCTGCTAAGCCACACTGGGTTGGCTCGACTCGGCTCTGGCACGGTCCAGATGCGCCAGTAGAAAAGCGGGTATCATGCACGGTGTAGGACACACACACACACAATGCGGTACAGCAAACCACAAACTCGCGATGGGTAAAGCAGACAATGTAGACACAGTTCTCTTCCACGCGCTCCATCCTTTATTGAACCAGGGTTCTCTGTCGGGGGAGGCCCGACAGAGCCTTTTGACGGCTGCAACAACGGAGGGAGGCTGGCATCCGGGAGTCGAGGTCGGGGGTCAGCGTCCCTCGCGCTGTGCCAGCGGCCTGCACGGTTTTACACGCTTGTTAGCATGGCTGCGCCGTTCACAGCAGCTCATTTAGTAATCAAAATGAATTAGTTCATACAACAAGAACACAGCAATGGAGAGGAAATGCACGCCGTCATCTCTGGATTGTAAGATGAACTTATACTCTTTGGGTCTTTCAGTAAAGTATTTTATTTTATTTTTTTATCTACGGGACTTTACCGAAAGACCCAAAGAGTATGAATTCCTGCAGTCACGAAAACTTTAAGTCAAAATTGAAGATGAACTTGTTTTCCCGACTTTGAAAAAAACTTGAAAGTTTGTCTAATGCTGAGAATACATCGTCTTCCAGAAGACGTGTTTTAATCTTGTTCAAAATCATCTCAAGATCTCTTTTTTTGTTTGAAAGAGGACCCCTAAATTTTTGGGTGCGTCTTGTAATCCAGAGAATGAGGTAATAATCTAGATTTGATCTGAAACACGGCAGAACCAATACATCCGTTGTGGCTGACCATTGCTATAACGCTGTGGGGGCTCTCATATTGTTTTTTTCCGAGACCACGGTACTCTGCAAACCTTGGGGCTACTATCAAAGCTTTGTTCATGAAGCCATCCAGATATATAAACAGACATAACTTCAACCGAGAAGATGGATACAAATTGAGCAATCATTGGAAGTATGTTATTAACCAGGTAGAACCTTAACTGCTTTATGGTGTTGCCTTCATTTCCGCATCTCCAGCTTCTTCAGCCTCCCACTCCCAGCCCCGCTCACTTCGCCCCCCCCCCCCCCCCGGCATTCTGCCGTGCTTGCTCGCCCTTTAATCCCTCCAGCAGCGCCCCACTTCCCCTACCCCACGGCATTTTGTCTGCTCGTCCTCTTAAACGTTCTCGCAGCACTCCCCCTACCCCACACCCCCCCCCTCTCCAACTCTCCCCCCTTGCTCCTCCCCCCTCTCTTACCTATATAGCCCTCTTGTTACAGCAGCCCTTTTGCCCACTTCAGCAATTGTTTCTTGCTGTGGTTGTCCCACCTGATGACGGACGCTTGTGTTGCGCCCGAACCGTCGATATTTAATTTATTTTATACCTACGTGACTTTACCGAAAGAACCAACGAGAAGGAGGTAATAGGCTCCGTTTTGGGCAACGGCCCTTCATAGCAGAAAGATCAGCAGAGGGTTGGTCTCTGTGCTGTGAAGAAGGGCCACACTGAAACACCGCCAACATGGGCGTCTAATCTTGGTCTGTTCCATATTCATCTGGGACTCGTGACGCCGCGGCAGGGGTGGAGGCGAGTACTGTTCTAGTCACCGATCAAATTCCCTCTAGAGTTCGCTCTGGAAAAGGCACTTCCGCCAGCATTGGCGTGAGTGAGCAATTGCAGGGCTGGGCCTTTACCTTTTATATGCGACGGTGGCCCAGTGGTAGCGAGTTTGCCACTCGCTGCAGAGGTTTACAATCCTGATTATCATTGTGGTTTGTATTGCCGTAAAAATGCTACGGGCCATCTGCTTCATTCACAGTGGACTTTAAAGATCCCGAGACGTAATTCGCAAGAGTAGGCCACTGTGTGCTAGCGTCATGGTCAATATCTGTACAAATCTAAAAAATGACTTGCAAATTACAATTATGAATTATACACAGCAATTGTTGCCTCCTATGGTAAAAACTTGACAGGACCCTCCTGAAAAAGAGTCCTGGGACGCCGTGAGCTTTTCCAGTGTAAAAAAATCCGAATAACCAAATTAAACAAGTACTGTAATACAGCAGGCTGAGTGACACATTGAGCTGGGCTACCACAGACCGCATGCTCTCACTTTTTCTTGCTCTTCCTGCCGGGGTCTGGCGCTCGTGGGGGTTCCCCGGGGTCGCGGGGGGGCTGCCACGGTAGGGGGCTGCGCCGGTAGAATGGCCACGGCGGCAGAGTGAGCTGAGTGGTGGAAGACATTGGGGGGGGGGGGGGGAGCGGATCACAGAAAACTGAGGGGCGAGTTGCGCTGATAATGAGCACGGGGTAAGATGAACACATGGGTAGCGACACAGATGGCGCATACTAAGACAATACACAGTGAATACACAAACTGCATACACAGTGAACATATGCAGACAGCATACACACAGTGAACACATGCAGACAGCATTCATACTGAAATTATGCACGTATAGTGACATAGCACCGACTGCTCTCCAGCAGCGGCAACTGCGTGGACAGTTAGTGCACACGCCGTCGAGCATATACACGACTGTGTGCCGGCCGGGCAGAGGAACTGGGGCAAGGGTCACGGAAGACCTCATCGGGAAGCCCCTGGAACCCGCTAGTGGGTTCGAGAAGGGAGGCGCGGCCAGGGCGGAGCCAGGCCGCGCTGAGTAGAATAAAAGCAGCGGAGAGCTCCGGGCTGCTGGTTCTGCGAGTGGACTTGTCTTGCCGTCGTCTTCAGCGCCTTCATTCGATAATTGCGCGGCCGGACAGTTGTTGGCTGTCTTGGTCGACGCCGTCGGTGCAACGCAGTTAGGGTTGTGTCTAGGCTGGGCTGTACGGCAACGGGAGCGAGGAGGCGATCCTGTGTGTGAACGGCCGAAAGGTGTTACAATAAAGATGCCTCCTGCAACTACCTCGTCTCCGACTTGTGCTACACTACACACGTACAAAGTGACAAGATGGCATACAGACAGTATACACCCAGAGCACATAGTCTTCAGGCACTAAGACTTCATTTAAACATACACCACACAAAGTACTTGCATAATACAGTACATACACCATATACACAATGCAGATACTGTATGTATGCATCACAATGCACGATCACGCACACAGGTAAACCAGCACAAACAGCACACCGTCACATGTTGAGCACACTACAGAGTACACACACAGCCCACATACTACAAACCGCAGTGGACGCTGACCACAGTGGACATTCATCAGTGTTTACTCACCACCGTGCACACCCTAGTACTTCACCAGTGGACACTAAATCACAGTGGAAACTCACCACAGTACCACACCAGTGGCCACTCGGTGAACATACCACAGTGAACATACCACAGTGGACACTCACCACAGCCCACATACTACAAACCGCAGTGGACACTGACCACAGTGGACATTCATCAGTGTTTACTCACCACCGTGCACACCATAGTACTTCACCAGTGGACACTAAATCACAGTGGAAACTCACCACAGTATCACACCAGTGGCCACTCAGTGAACATACCACAGTGAACATACCACAGTGGACACTCACCACGCACGAGAGGAAGAAGCCGGCAAGCACCACGTAGACCGTCTGCCCAAACTCCTCCACCATGTAGCCCCACACAAAGCCGGCGATCTGCTCACGACAAACAACAGCAGCAGCACTCAACTACTCACCAATACTCACCATCACCTCCACCAAACTCTTTACCAACAACTGAATCGTTATACTCACTACCCTATGCTCATCACGACAAACTCACGACACATTGTCGCCTTCATCAGAACTCACCACCTATACACTCACCATTTTAATCACCAAACTCACCACCTGAACTCAAACCAACTCACCACGCGTGCACGTGGCTGGTATATAGAGCAAGCCATTGGTGGTATGTGTGTACTGTGGTGGCTGTCGTAAACAACAATCGGATAAAAAAAAACACACTATCACATGAGAGGTGGATAGGTGAGGATGTGAGGCGAGCGAGGTGAGGAGGTGAAGATTTACCGCAAACACTCCCGTCACCGTCTGGAAGATCTGCTCAGCCAGGCGCTGTCCCTTGTAATCCTGCAGATGGTTGGGGGAGAGACAGCGCCAACATCAGCACCAGCACGACAATCATCATCAGCACTGTACCAGTATTATTCGCTGTGACAAAAAAGATATTCATTGCCCATCGTATTCCTCCAAATCTTAAGTAAAGATTCCGATCACCAGCATCACCGACGCGATCTAGCATCAGCGACATCAGCACTCCCATCGCCACACCATTCGCATTATGACAAAGCATTAGCAACAACACCATCACCACGAACACCCAGAGCCGGTGGTGATCCTCACACCATCCACCAAACACCATCGCCAGTCACAAACCCAGCACCAAAATCGCTGCCAACATCCCTCCCCCCCTCCCCATCCCATCCCATATGTTGACATAACTACAGCGCTCGGGCTCGTCTCGCCACGGGGACCCGGGCACTCCGGTTGACTGCAGAGGGGCCGCGTGCGCTGTGAGCGTGGGGAGCGGCGCTCGGCCCAGCACGGCTCGGCTCGGGTACCATGTCAGTGGGAATGGCCCTGAACCGCGCCAACACCGACTCCATCTTGAAAGCCGTGCTGCCGGAAGCGGGCGTGGGGGACGAGGGGAGGGGGGGGGTCTGTGACGTCACTTCCCGTCTCGCGCTGTGACGTGTACGCGGCGATATTGTTGGAAGGGCCGTTGCCCGAAACGTCGCCGGTTATAAATGCGTTTCCCCCCCCCCCCACCCTGCTTTTTAAGTGTTCTTGATTGTTTATATGGTTGTTGGAGACGTCATTTTGTTGCAAGTCCGTGACGTTAGTTCCTTTAGTATGGTCGTGTGTTAAACGTCCCTCTGTGTTTGAGTGACGTCATTGTGTAGAAGTCCCTGACGTCACTTACCCAACATGTAGTGACGTCATGTCCCCCCCTCCGCCACAGTAATAAAAAAAAACCACATACACTATGAGACCTCCTTTACCAGTGGCAAAATATAGTAATAGGTTTTTACCCTTTCAACTGCTTGTGTTGTGGTTATTTCAAAACATGATGCCTTGTATAAAGGCGTCAGTTTTTGTACCAGTTGAAAGGGTAAAAACCCATTACTAAAATCACATACGTCAATAGCACTGTGGCTATGCGACAGGCGACGTTTCGGTCATTGACCCTTGTTCATTGCACAATGTCAGGCCACTAACGGGCAACGATTGTGGCGAGATGGGGAGAGGCCGATAACTCACCACGTGTTCCGGTTTAAACCTCAAAGAACATGCGCTAGCTTTATTGATACAAGGGGCCGTTCGTTATACGGTAGAGTGTTGTATAAAGTACTTTTTTTTCCTTATGTCAGTTTGGTGACCCAGATCACGCTTGCAAAATGAGACTCATCCCGGTTCTTTTGAGTTGTCGCCTCGTGAAATAAAACCAAATTGACTTATAAACTTTCCGGAAAAGTGCGGTGACTGATCACCGATAACAATTGAACATACTGTATAATAATAGAATAATAAAAATTAAACATAATAAAATACAATTCTCAGACGCTGTCTTTCCGACAGACCTGTTCTTCACCTGAGGACGGCTGCTTGTGTTGTGGCCGAAACGTCGTGAGAATTGTATTTTATTATGTCAAAAATTAATTATTTTATTATTTCCCTTCTACGTGACTTTACCGAAAGAACCAAGAAGATGAATCTCACGAAAGCTTTAAATCGAAAAATACTGTATAATACTCTTTGGTTCTTTCGGTAAAGTCACGTAGGTATAAAGGTAGGTATAACATTTTATACCTACGTGACTTTACCGAAAGAACCAAAGAGTATGGATTCCTGCAGTCACGAAAGCTTCAAATCAAGATCGATACTTCTTCTTGGTTCTTTCGGTAAAGTCACGTAGAAGGTAAGTAATAAAATAATAATAAAAATTATTTTATTATGTTTTATTTGTATTATTTTATTATTTCTCTTCTACGTGACTTTACCGAAAGATTTTTTTATTATTATTTTATTATTTCCCTTCTACGTGACTTTACCGAAAGAACCAAGAAGATGAATCCCTGCAGTCACGAAAGCTTTAAATCGAAAAGATCGATACTGTATAATAACGACTCAATGCCCGATTGACAAGAGGGGGGGGGCTTCATCGCCATACAGCTGCTACTTTTGCCGCAATTATCCGGCTCATGTAAATTACAGCTGCTGCTCTCCATCAACATCAACCACACGAAGAACTAGTACCTCGGGTGGTGCCGTGGTGGGTGGTGGTGGTGCCCCTGATTGACCACCCATCCATGGTGGATTCCGTGGAAATCTAAAATTCGCACGAGGTGGCCCTCGTGCGGCAACAATGAGGTTTCTCATGGCCCCGCCCCTTTTACTCGTGGCCCCGCCCCCTTCACTCGCCACCCCGCCCCCTTTACTAGTGGCCCGCCCCCTTTACTCATGGCTCGCCCCTTTACTTGAGACCCCGCCCCCTTTACTCGTGGGCCCGCCCCCTTTACTCGCGGCCCGCCCCCTTTACTTGTGGCCCGCCTTCTTTACTCATGGCCCCGCCCCTTTACTTGAGGCCCCGCCCCCTTTACTCGCCACCCCGCCCCCTTTACTAGTGACCCGCCTTCTTTACTCATGGCCCCTCCCCCTTTACTTGAGGCCCCGCCCCCTTTACTCGTGGGCCCACCCCTTTACTCGCGGCCCGCCCCCTTTACTTGTGGCCCGCCCCCTTTACTCGTGGCCCCGCCCCCTTTACTCGCCACCCCGCCCCCTTTACTTGTGGCTCCGCCCCTTTACTTGTGGCCCCGCCTCCTTTACTTGTGGCCCCGCCTCTTAATTTGAACCCGCCTTATGAAGACCGCTTGTGTTGCGATCGAAACGTCGTGGGTTTTTTGCTTTTATTATTTAAAATTTGAGAATGGCAGAAAAAAGGGGAACACCTATTCTCATATTTTGGTACTGGCAAAGGAGGCCGCATGATATTATTAATTTTTTGTAAATTAAATTAGAATTTTTTTTGCTTTTATTATTAAACACTTATTATTTTATTTTAATTCTTTTAAAAAAATTATATCTACGTGACTTTACCGAAAGAACCAAGAATATTAATTCCTGCAGTCACGAAAGTTTTAAGTCTAAATGGAACCCGTCCCTTTCACCCCCCCCCCCCTTCACTCGTGGCCCCGCCCCTTTACCCGCGGCTCCGCCCCGTAACCGTGGCCCCACCCCACCTCATGAGCTTGACCACCGGGTGCAAACCCGGTGGGCACAGAAGTGACAAGGAAAAGTGCCCTTGGGGCGCGTAATCGGCTTGCGAGGGTGACGCCCCTTACGTTCGTTGTGACGCCCGCAAGGCGTTTTAAGAATCGTGAGCTTGGTCAGAGTGTCACGTGCTCGCCGACGCGCGCGAGGCTTCTTAGGCAAGAGCGGCGCGGGGTTCCCGCCAGTAGCGCGAGGCGGAGGTGAGAAGCGTTCATCTCATCATCACCATCATCACCACCTCATCACCACCACCCCACACCACCTCACACCACCACCTCACGCCACCAACCTCGTCTTTACCTCGTCTACAACCCCGTCCACATCTTATCAGCGACGTAATTCTATTACCTCATCGCTAACATCGTCTTGAGCTCGTCGCCAACCTCATTCGCACCTCTTAACCGAACCTCGTTACTACATCACCAACGTCCTCGTCAACGTTGCTATATCCTCAACATTATGCTCTACGTATTCAGCTTCGCCTCGACATTATCAACTCATTTGTCAACTCGGGAACATCAGTCAGTACCTTACCTTATCATGTACAAGAACATCATAAAACTAACTAGCGTGTCAATAGTCAGAATCACGTAGTCGTCAACACAACATCATCAATATTTTTCGATTTAAAGATTTCGTGACTGCAGGGATTCATCTTCTCGGTTCTTTCGGTAAAGTCACGTAGAAGGGAAGTAATAAAATAATAAAAATGAAACAAAATTCTCACGACGTTTCGATCGCAACACAAGCAATCATCATCAGATGTGCAATCCACAGCAAGAAACGTCGTGAGAATTAGTTTTATTTGTATTGTTTTATTATTTCCCTTCTACGTGACTTTACCGAAAGAACCAAGAATATCTTCACACACCTCTTCACTCGATCCCCCCCTCACGTTCCCCGCATCTCTCTCGTCTCAACTTCCCCGTAAACTCCCCACCGCACACACTCGCCACGCAACTCCCATCAACTAAGAACATCACTCGGCTCCACTGACCTCTCCACCACACCTCGTCCACCCTCCTCTGCTCCTCATCCCCCCCCCCCCATTCTCTCACTCACCACATGCTCTTAACTCTCTCTTCGTACATCTCTTAACGTGGCTTCATTGAGAACATTTCCCGGAGCTCAGCACCGGACATCTCCGCCTGGAATTAATCGCTGTTGCTGCTGCTGATGATGTTTACAGACCCCAGTTGCATCCGGGCCCCCTGTCACCATCGACAACACAACAGGGCTCGCTGATCCTGAGTAGGACCCACCAGGACCTACAGACGCCTTTACAGGAGAGCCACAGAGGAGCCACAGAGAGCCACAGAGAGCCACAGGGAGCCACAGAGAGCCACAGGGGAGCCATGCCCCCCACGGGAGAAGCACGGGAGGCGGCCCGAACGCGGGTTCAAGGTCTTGTGGAGCGAGTCCCAGTGGTCTTGTTCAGCAAGAGCTTCTGTCCGTTCTGCGAAAAGGTGAGAGAGCTGTGAGGGTGAGTGAGTGAGTGGTAGTTGGTACAGTAGGAAGCACAGGTGGTGCATCTACCAGTCATCTCGGTCATCTCAGTCAGTCGACCCGTGGCACCTGCTGGGTCTGCCCCGTGACCTCCTGCCAGCGGGCGTTCGACAACTTCACGTGGTAGCCTCAAGGTGCACATGGCCTGGCACAAGGACGCACCGCCACTTAGTGGCGAATGGCGCTTGTTGTTGAGGGGTTTGAGGGTGAATGTGAGGGGTGAGCGGTGGGGTGTTCTAGCGGCTGGTGTGTGAGGCGGTCGATCTGGCTTTCTCTCGAGTCGGTGTCGTACTCGACTTCGTGGTGAAAGCTGTGTCACTGTCCGGTTCAGGGAGAGGGTTGAAGGATGGTAAACTCGCGCCGTGTGTGGGTGTGTGGGTGGTTCGCCTTCCGGATGTAATGGTTGCGAGGATTCGGGGCCTCTGGGCGCGGTTGTGCTCGGCATGCGGAGTCTTGACTTGCCGGGGTGAATTCCTCGCCGTGTTTTCTCTCGTGACACGCGAGACGAGGCGTCATCACTCACGCCACGGCCGTGATTTAAACCCGGGTACGGCAGGAGCTGGGCAACGTCGGCCAGACACGACGAACCACAACTACTGAGTTTCACGCGATCCACAACTTAATTATGTACGGCCCACAATTGATGTACATCTCAATTGCATTACGCTCCGCGGCATCGTTTCATTACGGCCGCACGAGGACCCATCATCACTCTGCAATGGGGGGCACAGCGATGGTTATTTTTTTCCGTCCGTCATTGTGATGTAGCATCTTAGCCTCTCGAATCGGGTAACTGTAGGGATTGATTATGTTATTGGCCACCTTGCAACAACGTTTGGTTTAATTACATCCTGGAAATGCTTGCAAACGAAATATTCCGTATCAAAACATTCCAAAATGAAATGTTTGAATAAAAAATATAGCGCTGTGCACAGTAAACTTATGTCACCGCGGGGGACTTTTCATAGTCAGACGACCACTCGTTATTTTCCACTCGACTGCAGTGGAACAACTCTTCAGCAGTGTTTAATCGTACTGGAATGAGAGCAAAGCATGAAAACAATCCGATAAAAACGCGAACTACAAAATTTTGGGGAAATTCTATCACGATCATTACCTTACCGTCAACGTTAATATCGTACGATATTACAGTGTGAAAAATTATAACACTGCAAGAAGCCGAGTCTGGCCGATGTTGGGAGGGGGGGGCTCTGTGGTCAGGATTTGCATATCCTCACCATAGTCTCAACCACGCTCGCCTCGTGAGCCCAGAGGCCTGTGGCAGCAGGCAGCGTTATCTTACAACACCGTCGTAAAATCGCAATGCTTGTAAAGTTAATGACGCCACGTTCCAGGGCAGCGGCAGCCTTACTCGAAAGAGTCGAGGCTGCTGCAGATAAAGATTGTGTGTTCAATATCATCATCATAATCGTAACCACTTAATTCGAGATTCAAACATCGCACCTTCTGGATTTGACACCAACCTCGAAGACACTGGGGTAACCATCAACCGCATTAGACCGTCAGCAGGCCGATGCGCACAGCTCCTTCATGAATGGAAAATTAATGACAATCCACACTACGATTGTGGCCGTGTAAACCAAAAAATGGTGCACATCGTTAACGACCTACGCTGTGCTCCTTTAACGGAGGAGAAAACCCAAAACTACACGAACTCTGTCCTAAAGAGTCCTCTCGTCATGGCTATGTGTGTTTGTTGAACTCTCTTCGCCACCGTACGTAGCCAACCGTGCTAATGGCTCGCAGACTTTGATATTGGCGTTGAGCTTCTGAACATATTGCCATCATGGGGGGGCGGGAGGAGGGGTCTGCAATGCAGGTCTCCATGGGGGGGGGGTGTGTTAAAAAGGAGGCTGATTGATACTGATGAGTGTGCCGCCATAAAGCACGTGTAATTTCTGGCCACTAATTAGCGTGGGAGCATTCCCCCCTGGGCTTGCGCCTCTGATCACTAGTTAGGGATAATTGCCACCTACATGCTGGGCGTGGAGATAAGTGTACCTGTTAATATTTTTTTTTTATAGTTTATGAGCAAAGGCCCCCAAACGTCTAACGGCCAGCAACACGCAGCACTATCAAACGGATAGCCACCCCCCCCCCCTCTCGCAAACAACACTTTCCCCAACAACCAGTTAAGGCCATAAGTATTGGGGGAATCTTTATCTTTTTATTTGTGCATGTGTGCCAAGTGCAGACCTAGATAGCTAAAACGTCAAGCAGTCAGCAATGGTACCGATTGCTTGTAGTGAGCGATCCAGAGTTGCAGTGTTTATTTGGGTTTATTGCTTCGTTATTGAGGGTTTTCACCTGAACAATCCATCGAGATGGAAAAATCTCATTTGCTAGGGTGTCCTGGGTGTTGATTTACACACGGATAGCAAACACGTAATGATGCGTGTACAAACAATATACATTTACACAAAGACAAAGATTCCCCATATAGCCTGAACAAATTGTTGGGGCAAGTGCTGTTCGTGAGCAGCACTTATGAAGGCCGACACTGTGGCACACGAGGGGGTGGATGGCCAGCTCCACGCCCGACCACCTTTGTCTTTCCAGTAGCGATGTTTACGCACCTCACCAGGTACTCATTTGAAGCCGAGTTAACCTAGGAGAGGCCCAGGACCGATTCAAATAATCGTCACTGGTATTGATCATGATCCGGAATCGAACTCGGGCTGTCGGGTTCATAGCGCAGTGTGCTAATCGTTCACTACCACGCCCTACTTACACATACATACAAAGACATAGATCCTCTGTATAGCCTTTAACAGACTGTGGGGGCAAGTAGTGGTAGCGAGCGCCATTGAAGACCGATACGGGGCGCGTAAGGGGGTGAGGTGGCCATCACCAAGCCTGGCCACCTTTATATCCCCAGTGCAGATTGTTTACATGCTGCACCAGGTACTTATGTAAGGTTGAGTTAACCAAGGGTAGGGTCAGAACTGGTTCAAATATGACACCAATGTTCAGATATACGCAAAAACAAAGATCCCCGCCTATAGCATTCAAGTGCTGTTATCTGGCACCAATACACATGCATACACTCGTATAATTGCATATATACACATACATAAACACATATCAAACATGTAATTACACATGCACGCACACCCATCCATCGCAAACAATGGAATAGGTATCCAATTATTTTAAATATATAACTGACACAGTATGCATTCATGCAATTAATATCGCACCTAGGATAAACACAATGTTGGTGCAGAATGTTAATGAGTTCATTCCCATCTCTGGTCGGCAGGTGAAGGGGCTCTTCACAGAACTGAAGGTCTCTTACGAAGCCCTGGAGCTGGACCTCATAGGTACAAGACCCGGTCACGCACTGCTGCCTCGCAGCACACCCAACCACTCCACTGCCAATGCAAGCCCTTTGATCTAGGGGTCTGCAACCAAAATAACAAGAAGAGTCATTTTATTCGAATTTGGTAAAAAAATATATATATTTCAAGAGCCGCAATCCATGTTAATATGAGAATTTCCTTCATAAATAACGTCACGAAGCAGTCCTTCGAGAGCTGCATGCGGCTCCGGTGCTGCAGATTGCCGAGTCCTGCTCTAGCCGGGCGCTAACTGGCACGCACGGTGCTACCAGAAATGTTGTTGTGTGCAGCAGGCCTCGGGTGAAGGTGATGGTAACCGTGTCATCTGTTTTTAATTGCAATAATCCCTATAATTGTAATTTCAAATAACATTGCTGTGGTATAGCATATTATTATTCTTGAAAATATAATTGCCGTTGTGGAGACTGATATAATGGCAGCAACATTTTCAGAAGCTTAATGCCAAAGTCGAGGCCCGCTTGCCACAAGATGGCTTCAGGAGAGAGTTCGTGTAGTGTTGCTATTCCTCCTCCATTGAAGGAGCTAAGACGAGAGTGGTTGACTATACGCTACATAATTTGGGTTGCATGGCAACAATCGCACTACTGTGGTGGCTTTTGTTCTTAATTTCCCATTTATGCAGGAGATGTGCGCATCAGCCTGTTGATGTTCTGATGCGATTGATGATTACACCAGTGTCTCCGAGCAATGGCAAATCCAGGAGATGCGATGTTTGGGTCAAAATAAAATAAGCAGACAAATGCGCCTCCTTCATAGTATGCATTCCCAGAAGGCTGCGTGGTTGTTGGGATATGTGAAAAATATATAATGTGAAGGAGGAAGGCGGATTGTAATTTCTACGCATTGACTCGATTGGATATTTTTCATGAGAGTAGAGAAATTGCTACTCGTACGATTTATTATTTAGAGGGGTTAATAGTTGCATTGAAGATGTGGTCTTAGTCATTGTTTTCAGAAGTATGATTGGCATGTGTTTGTAATTGTTTGTTCAGCCCTACAGTAAGCTATGTCATGCTGCTTTGCAACACAGTGTTACACTCCTACACTACACATCATGCTAAACTACACCATTGTTGTATTACAACACAATACACCGCACTGTACAGCATGCCAAACTACATCATGCTACATTACAACACGCCATGCCACACGACACAGATGCCTGATTGTTTTATGCCACCACCTTGTCAGACGCATAGAGTAGTATAGTAATAATAATAATAACAACGACCACTGTATGTTGCTTTCAAAGCCTCATGAACTCCTCCTTTAGACTTTGCCACATGTTTCACCTTTAAAAGGATTACTCATGGGTGTGGATTTTGTAGTTGTGCGAGTACAGTAGTAATGCACAGAGAAGTCAGGACTGTAAGGATGTGGTATTGATGTGTGGGTATGTGGCATTCATGTACTAAACCCACACACAGATGAACTGGTATTGGCCAAACATCCCACTGGTGAAAAATTACCGGCAGATTACTTATTGGATTTCACATAACAGCAACATCGCTCTCTACTGCAGCCACTTGACAGGGCCCTCCTGAAAAAGTGAATTTAGATTCGGTGAGGCTTTCCTGGGTAAACAAGCATACTAAAATACAAAATATGATAAATGTGACAACTGTGTTTGAGTGTGAAATTAATTTATCAGTGTAGTATTAATAGGTAAGGATGTGTATGAGAAAATTAGTAGTGTATAAGTCTGGCTGTGGGAGTGTTAGGCTTGCTCCACCTCTCTCACTCTCCAGTGTCTCTCCTCAGACGATGGGCCTCTCATCCAGGAGGTTTTGCTGGAGATGACGGGACAGAAAACAGTGCCCAACGTGTTTGTCAACAAGACTCACGTGGGAGGCTGTGACAAGACGATGCAGGTAAGGCACAGCCGTCACCCCAGTTTGACATTGCCCAACATTAGCGCGATCATGGCTTGTTGTGTTCATTTTTGCAGGTGCTCGCTAACAGCACTGCCCCAGCAGTCTGTGTGGCCATGTGGATAGTCTTTGTGCACAGGTGTGTGTGTGTACAAGTGTGTAGGTGTATATGGGTGGGAAGCGGTAATGTAGTGGTGAGTGCACTACACTATAAACCCGGCAAGTGCGATTCCCACTCACATCGGTGACTAATATATGAACCTGCTGTTTGCTCCCCTAGATTGACTCGGCCTTAAATGAGTATCTGGTGTGGTGTGTAACCATCGAAATTGGAAAGACAAAGGTGACAGGGCATGGTGCTGGTCACACCACCACCTTGTGCTCCGTTGCTGACTTTCATAGGTGCTCGCTAACAGCACTTGCCCCAAAATTATGTTGAAGCTCTACTGGGGGTCTTTGTGTATGTGAGACATCCGGAACAATTATTTAATTTGAGTAGACATTGCATTTTCATCTCGCACAGAAACCCCTAAAATATGCAACGTCGCTGGAAATAGACGGTCTGAAGGAGATGTTAATTGGTGATAATTGGCTCCGGGTTCCTCGGATGGAAATGTGTGAGGTCTTTGTGATCTTTTCACATGTACAGCTCATTATTTACAAGGGGGGTTGTGCGTATGTGTCTGTCTGTATAGCCGTTAACAATCTGTTAAATGCTATACAGGGGATCTTTGTCTTTTGTGTGTGCGCGTGTGTACATGTGTGCGTGGTGCTGGCCACCTACCCCCTCGTGTGCCTCTCCGGCCTTCGTAGGTGCACGCTAACAGCACTTTCCCCAAACCTGTATGGCTATAGAGGGAATATTTGTCTTGGGTATGTGTACAAGTGGGTGTATATACACACATGCCATGTGCCTGAGTGTTGTGAGAGGATGTGGTGTGAGCTATTGGGTGGTTCTGCTCGTCTCTGTCTGTTGGCCCTGGTGGTGATGCAGGCGTATCAGAGCGGGCGACTCCAGCAACTGCTGGCGGTCTCCACGGCCCCCTCACCCGCACCACCGGTGGAGGACACGGACTCAGTGCACCACTCCTACGAATACGACCTCATTGTCATCGGGGGGGGCTCCGGGGGGCTCGCTGCCTCCAAGGCAAGAGGGGGGACCGCTTTGCTCGCTCACTCGGTCACCCACTCATCGACTTGCTCACCCACTCGCTCATCTACTTGCTCACTCGCTATCAAACTCTCCTTCTCATTTACGCAGCCAATTCCACTCGCCGGCACGCTCATTTAATAGCTCAATAGCTCACACAATTGCTCACTCGCCCACTTTCCTACTCATTTGATAGCTTGCGCAACTGCCTGCTCAACGGCGCGCTCACCCACCAACCCACCCACGTGCTCATCCACGCTGTGGTGGGGGAGTTTGTGGTCTGCATTTTTACCCCTTTTACCACGACTGCTGCAGCAGGAATCGTATTAGCTTTGAAGCGAGCGTCATTAGCACTAAAAAGCAGTACGGCCGTACCTTGTGCTTACACAATGAGTTACTGGCCATGGGTGCCTCCTACCCCCACCACCTCTTAGTGGTGGTGGGGGTAGGAGCAGAAATGCTGTGCGGAGTGGTGCTGGTGCCGTTCCACACCGGCCCCTTGTGCTTTACAGCAATCGTCCCACCCCTAACCGGAAAACTGCCGAGTCATGGTGCATGCATGCGTGTGTGTTTGCCTCTGGCACAGTTGGGCTGAGATTACTGCCAAACTAACTTTAGGAGTTTAGTTTTAGCCGTGACCGGCTTAAGTGGGTGGGTGCAGTGAGTAGAAATAACCTCACTCAATTATTTTACTACTTCACATATCCACTCAGCCACACATTCACTCGCTTGTTCACTCCCTCATTCACCCACTCATTTACCTACACACTCACCCACTTGCCCACTAACTCACTAATTCAATCATCGTCCACACTCAACCACTCACCACACTGCAGAACCATGACACTTCTATTTCTAATCCTTCTCTCGCTTTGCTCCCATTGGTGATTCCTTCCCATTCGTGTCTCTTTTCCAAAGCTCTTACAATGGCCTTGCTCAATTTATAAAACATGTAAACTCTTACCGATTATAACTTTGATAGTGCTCTTTGTTGCTAGCCGTTTGAAGTTTTTGTCCTTTGTGCCTGTACTCAGAAACTGTAAAAATGTGTAGGGTAGTGAAGCGAGGCTGTGTGAAGACTCTGGGTGGCTTGTGAGTGATGTTGGGTGATGGTAGATGGTTGGTGATGGTGGATAGTTGATGGTGGATAATATGTTATTGTTGATGGTGGGTTGTGACTAATGGCAGGTGATGGTGGCTGATTGGTGGTAGTTGGTGGTAGGTGATCAATGATGGTGGTTGATGGGTGACCGTGGGTTGTAGATGATGGTAGATGATGGGTAATGGTGGGTGATGGACAATGGTGGTTTATGAGTGATGGTATCGAATGACCAGGAACATAGTTGCCTGCACTATCATCGCATTTTCATCGCATTTTCATCATCCATAAACTCCACTCGCCGCCACCACCAGAGGGCACGGCCCTAGCATCAGCTTGTGCCAATTTACGTTTCGATTGTCACAGTGTCTCGGTATAAATCTCAGAACTCAGGTGCCACCTCATGACCACGTGTCACCATCACCACTGCTAACACAAGCACCTTGTGTGTTATGAGGGGCGTTGTTTGCACCGCGTTGCAATTGTTTATTCATGGCGCATGTGATCCTTATGGCGATTCCCCGGGGTACCAAATAATACAAAATGGCTGAGGCAATTAAATATTTTATATCTGGGACACTTTTTTCCAGGGGTGTACTTAACTCTGCGACTGGGGTACCAATCAATCCGAAATCAGTGCTACTCCGAGATGTCGAAACGCAGCGAGGACGATTGCGCTGAAACCCTGAACGCTCGTATGCACCAAAGTGCTTCGTGTACAGCTCGTCGAGATGAGTTGATTGCCGCATCGCCGACCATCAGCAGACTAAAAATGGCTATCATGGACATTATGCGAGAGCCGGGGTACCACCATAAGGTTCATGTGTCATTGTGTTTTTGCCGCGAGAGTCATGAGAACAACTTGTAGAGGTTACGGCTTGGTGCCAAGCGTGGTGACCGTTTTTAAACCATGGCAGAACCGCACCTACATTTAGCCCTGAGGCCTTGGCATTTATCCCATTGTCACCTGCGCGTCCCTCTCTTTACTTTGTCACCACATGGCAAACAGTTTTGAAGGCTTCTGTACACATTGTAAGTGATGTCAGCAATTGCCTGGTGAGTCAGCATTTCCTCAGATAAAAAAACACATTGGTCGATAACAATGACTCGAAAGAGGAATATAAGTTTAATAGGTGAAGTTTAGAGTAATGACCCTTCGTCATATGACAGAGACCATCTCTCTTCTCAATACGTTGCCAATCATGATTATAACGCACTTTTTTAAATGACATTTTATTGCTCAAATTGTGGGTGCCTCTAAATATGGTAGGTGTATGTGAGATTAGATTCGTCACAACGCTCCACGGAGACTCTTCTATCCGGGTGATGGGAACCATGGGCAATCTGCAGCTGATGCTTTGAACTGCCTTCGTGCAGATGTGAGCTGCGACAGAGCAAGCCTTAGGAAAGTGGTGACCATCTTGAGCAGGCCCAGAACACACAACCTGCTGATCTGGTACGGCGTCGTAGGAGCCATGCATAGCCAATGATTTAAGCACCAATACTGGCCGTGCGAGGACCTCTGCTCACATTTGGGCGTCATCCGATCTAAGTTTGAGTGATGAACACGAAATTATGAAAGCCAGATCTGTGTAACTTTATTAACACCGGGAACAAGTTGATGGGGTGCGTCTTATTTTCCCAGGGTGTCTTATAATCTGGAGAATGCGGTAATAAACTTAGGGGCAATAGTTGTACTTTGATCTCTGTGTACATCCGTTTACACCTCTAAAGGTATGTACAGAGGTAGAGGTAGCCGCTTGAGTATTATTCACTTCTTCTTGGTTCTTTCGGTAAAGTCACGTAGAATGGGAATAATAAAATAATAAAAATGTAAATAATAAAATAATTCTCACGACATTTCGGCCACAATGCAAGCAGCCGTCCTCAGGTGAAGAACAGGTCTGTCGAAGACAGACAGTCTGATTATTATTTTATTATTTCCATTCTATGTGACTTTACCAAAAGAACCAAGAAGATGAATCCCTGCAGTCACGAAAGCTTTAAATCGAAATTTATTATTCACTTGTTTAGCCAGGAAAGTATGCACTCAGTCCCAAGTTTCTTGTATCCCGATGAGTAATTTGCAGGTTGTTTTTCAGTATTGGGATGTTTGGTCCATACCAGTTAAATTGTTTTTTAGCTGTGGGAGGAAACTGGAAACCCCATACCAAACAGAGGAAGAAACAAACTACACATAGAAAGTCACCTGAGTTGGGTATCTAACCCAGGCCCTGTTACTCTGAAGCTCAAGTGTTGCCACTGCGCCACCCTAGCTCTGACATTTTTTCTTTCTCCCATCCCCCCAACCTCTCACACGATTTCGTGAATTGTCGAGATTAGGAGTGAAGATTGGATTGAAGAATTATTCATTTTTGTGGCGAATGTTGTGCCGTTTGCTATTTAACCCCTACCATAGCGATGTAGAATTTTCGCCCTGGCTCAAAATCCCTCCACTAATTTTAAGGTTCGAGTTCTTCATCAGCTGGTGTCTCTGTGGTAGAGCGGCTTGGAATCAGATTGACTCAGCCCGTCATCCTTCCGGGGTAGATAAAACTAGTATTGCTCTGTGGGGAAGTCAACAGTGGTTGTCCTATGCATAGACTGGCCCTTGCCAGAGGAATACAGAATTTCCACCACTGGTTCAGGATTGTAAACAGGAGATGAGCACACATTCCTCAATGCTCAGTTGAGCAGGAAATCGCTTGACTTGCGTTTGGCTGCAGGGGTCATGTTGGCCCATGATCATCATCCATGAACATCCACTGCTGGATGAAGGCCGCTCCAAACCACCACCACATCTCACGAACCTGCAATGCAACAATCCAGCCAGCACCTGCTCACCATGAGCTGATCTCATCACTCCCTCTCCACTGGGAACGTCCTCTCCGATGCCTTCCATTCTTTGGCTGCCACTCCCTTATTATTCTTGACCACGCGCAGCTTCCCTTCTGGCGACATATCCTGCCCAAGCCCAGTTACTTCTCCAACACTGTAGATGATGTCTTTAATCTGTTTTCTTTTTATATCACACTACAATTCCAAACACGCATCTCTCCACGCTTCTTTGAGCACCTTTCTGTTTTTGTTAACCGCCGCGTTTTCTGAACTTGTAGCAGGTAACATCGATTTACGTGTGTTTTGGCGCTTGCATTGTGAGTGTAAAAATTTACGTCAAATAGTTGAGTCGACGCATCGCTACCCGCAGTACCAACGGCGCCGTTCTCTTCGCAGGAGGCGGCCAAGCTCGGCAAGAAGGTGATGGTGCTGGACTTTGTGCAGCCGACCCCGCTGGGCACATCATGGGGTGAGCCTCTCTCCTGCTCACCCACACACCTGCTCACTTAGATGCTCACCTGGCCTAACAGAGTAGGCCATTTTGTGCCGGCGTCATGCTCCTTATTAGAAAAATTACACCGCATATTGCTTAGTTGGGATTACAGCACACTTAGCAATCATCGCCCTCTACTGGGAAAACGTTGCAGGACCCTCCTGTAAGAGAGTTATGAGACTCGATGAGGCTTGTTTAAACAAGCCTACTGATAATTACAATATACTTTATTAATGAATAAAACATATTTCTCTCTGTTTTCGCCAGGCCTGGGTGGCACGTGTGTGAACGTGGGCTGCATCCCGAAGAAGCTGATGCACCAGGCGGCTTTGCTAGGCCACGCGCTCTCCGACTCGCGCAAGTTTGGCTGGGAGTACGACCTGCAAGGTGCGTTCCTCTGCCACTGCTACACTAGATGTGCCACTTTTACCGGCAGCCGTGTGACTGTTTCATCAGCTGTGCCACTTCTACACCAGCTGTGGCCCTACAGCACTTGCCAAGCCACATGAGTGGAGTGAGTTAGTGAATGGGTGATTAAGTTGCCGATTGAGTTTGTGTATGGCTTCACAAATAAGTGCGTTGCTCGCTTCCCACTGTAATTCATAACTGGGGCACGATGAGGGACCCCCATAGTGTGGCATTGAGAGTGAGTTGGTTAGTGAGTTGGTGATTATGTTGATAAGGAGTTTGTTGGTAAGTGAGTGGGTTTTGAGCGAGCATGGCAGTGAGTGAGTTTGTGTTGATAATTGAGTGAGTTTGTGAGTGGGTTGATTCATTAGTTGGTGAGTGAGTAAGTGGGCCCACTCCTGACCCACAGTGACTCACAACTGGAACACCATGAAGGAAGCCATCCAGAACTACATTGGCTCGCTCAACTGGGGCTACCGCGTGGCACTGCGCGACCATACCGTGAGCTACGTCAACGCATTCGGAACCTTCACCGACGCCCACACTATCAAGGTACGCATGGTGGGAGTGCGGGTCAAGTGAGAGGTGGTGATAGAGATTGTGATGGGGGACTGATGGAGTCTGTGATGAGGGTGGTGAGAGGCAGTCAGGGTTGTGGTGGCCGAGTGAGTTGGGAATGTAGTGGTAACGGGGATGGTGACAAATTATTCAATTGGTAAACAAATGCAAGTGCGAGTCGGGAGAGGCTTTCCTGGGTAAACGAGAAAAATAATAATACAACATCACCCCCCACTGGCAGCTTTATGTCCACTAGCAGGTCAGTGCTGCATCCACCTTGTGCTACACAGGGACAGCTGCCGCTGGGAGGCTTCTTGGCTAGACAGGGCAGTGGAATGATTGAGATGAGATGATACATTTACTCACCCTGTATATGCAAATCCTTGTTCTTACCAACTCAGTACTCTTGAAAGAGATACCTGTGACCTCTTTGTAAACAAATTATTGGTGACTGTGTGTGTGTGTTTGTACCTATGTGTGCGTGCGGCTGTACGTGTGTTTGCTGCGCTCCCTAGGCCACCAACAAGCGCGGCAAGGAAACCCAGCACACAGCCGAGACATTCATCCTCGCCATGGGGGAACGACCGCGGTACCTGGGCATCCCAGGAGACAAGGAGTTTTGCATCACCAGGTGTGGCCGGTGTACAGGAGAGAGTGTGAGAGTGCATGTACGCAATCAATCAATGCATTGCCCAAGCAGCTTGGCCGGAGAGAGAGGGCTCTTAACGGCCACAGCAGGATCTAGAGAAGAGGTGTGCCAGGTATTCTGGTACAGAAGGATGTGGTGCTAAGTGGACTTGCCGATGACTGGTAGCAGCAGTGTCAAAATCGACTTCTGGAGGAGGTTAATGAAGGATACTACTGGGCAGTGCCTGGCTAGGTGTACTTTGAGGCTACTGGGTATTTTGGAGGCTTTCGGCAATGCTCACAACAATGAGCGGAATGCCAGCTTGCTAAAATGCAGCAAGGTGGCACAGTGGGGAACACAAGAGGTGCTATTTTCCAGTCATCTCATTGAACCCGTAACATCTGCGTCTGTTCTGTGACTTCCTGCCAGCGAGGCTTTCGCACTTCCCATGGCCTCAAAATGCACCTAGCTTGGCACAAGTGCTGAGGGGGCTATTGTAATCTATGTGCATATGTAGTTTGGAGCGGTAGTACAGTGGTTAGCGCAATGCGCCACATATTCAATCAACAGAATTCAATTCCTGCTGTCGGCTAACAACTGTAAAGAATCATTTAACCATTTCTGGGCCTCCACTAGGTTGAATCGGTTCTAAATGAGTATGTGATATAGTGTAAACATCAGCACTGGGGGAGACAAAGGCGGTTGGGCGTGTTGCTTTGGCCTTCAAAGGTGCTCATTATGCACGTGGTTTTATAAAATTGAATTTATGTGCGAGTCTTTTAGGTTCCTATATGATTATCTAGGTCTCTGTGCGAGTCTATTGATCTCTCATGCAAGAAATATAGATCTGAAATATTTTGGAGGTTGCGCGTCTCGACATTGTCGTAGCAGCTTCAGGAACTGGCATGAGAACCTTACTCTGCAGTTTCAACCCGAGCGCACCGCGAGCACGGGAACGCCGAGTCAGGCGGTGGCACGTGCTGCCTCGCATTCATTCAACCCAGCGGAGTTCGCTCAGAGTCCAAAGCTCCGAGGATGCGGCGATTAATCATTGCAGAGGTCAACACTCAACCACACCACTGTTGAGTGTTTTAAACCTCCCGTCTGCGATGTGACCTTCCTTCTGGAAGCGTGTAATTTCGGCAGCATTCATTCAACACGCATGGTAAAACCAATGGACCGGTTTCGACATTCAGTGTCTCCTACTGTATATATTTCCCTTTAGTACATGTGTAATGAGCGACTTCCGCGACACGTCGTGTAGAGGGTACTTCTTTATTGCTCACACTGGACACAACACAGGCCAACACTTGTTCTTCCTCACACTGAGTATAACTCTAAGTATTAACACCTCTACTGGCTACACACACAGCCGATCACTCGGTGTGGTCCCATCGCCCTCACTCGACACACAGCCGATCACTCGGCGTGGTCCCATCGCCCTCACTCGGCTACGCCGCTGGCAGCGATGGAAACCACGCAGATCTTCCACGTGGCCGGACGACGGAGAGAGATGTCGGCGAGCAGCGACGCAGCCAGGACCCCACACGAGCCCCGAGCTCCGGGTCCGCTCCCCCTGATATCCCGCCAGGCGTGGCTAGGCCCCGCCTCCGGTCACACCCTCCTGTGGAACCTTCGAGCAAGTTCCCAGAGTATCTCGGCTAACCCCCCTGTCACCTTTGCCCCAGATACACCTCCTTCTCTAATTGATTGGTACTAACCGTGCCCGTACCCGTGATTCCCTTTCCAGGCCAGCAGGTGTCACCCAGTCATTACACATGTACAGCCCTTTTGTCAGTCCCTTGCTGGATGAGGGCCTCCCTATACCACGTGGGTTGTGGGGGTTTATTTGACCCATAACAGTAAGTGAAGGCGGGGACCATGGAAGCAGAGTGCAACATTGGGTTTTGCTGAACTGCTATCTGCTGCCAACAATGTAGCCAAATAACAACCTGTTATGCATAGTGGTCGCCCATCCAAGCACTATCCAGGGTAAATCCTGCTTAGCATTTGAGATCTAATGAGACGGGTGCATCCTGGGTGATATAATCGTTGGCGTTTCAGGTACAATAATAACAGACGCGGTGTTTTTGAGTTATGCTTTTTGCACCACTGCCAACTTGTTGTGTGGACTCCATTCGGCGTTGCAAGCACCATCAGGGTTGAAGTTGCATTGTTGAAGGTTAAGCGCTTGGGTCCAAAAAGGGGTCTGTGCGACTTCGGGCAGTGGTGAGGGACGTTATTTAGATCTTGGTTAATTCGCTGGACTCCCAGTGAAATTAGAGTTGTTGCTCTACAATTTACGTCAGCTGTACGAAGAAGACCTATCAATTCAGCCTCGTAATTCTGAAATTTAAACACGGAACAATAAGTTCTCAGTTTTGGGGAGCCGGGGGACATCGGGACACGGTTGCATAGGAGGAGGCTAAAACTACTACGCCATGGTAGATCGATGCTGCCGCTCATTAGCCGGGTCTCACGTCTCAAGTCGAGATGAGTTAACGAGCTGGAGAGGGTAACGAGTGCGGTTGGAGTGGACGCAGCTGCCCCCCCCCACCCCCGTAACAGCTCGATCCGAGTCACGCGCCAAATGAGGTTACCGGACCGTGTCAATAAGGACACGCATCTTATCAATGTCGTCATTGTCATAGTTTGTGGTGTTGGCATCACCAGTTATTGTGAAATCAAATCAGGAATCGAATGGCAGTGTTGCCCTTTGACAGACCTGCGTCTCAATTCGATAACAGGGGTCTGAAACAAAAATAACAAGAAGAGACATTTTGTCGAATTTGCTAAAAAACAACAACTATATTTCAAAAGCCGCGATGCATGTGAATAATGTCACGAAGCAGTCGAGCCGCATGCAGCTCCAGAGCAGCAAGTTGCCGACCCTTGGTCTATAATAACTTCAGTTCTGTTGGTTGCTGGCCACTTGACGTTTTGACCCTTGGGCTTGGTGCTCGCAACCGTAAGGTTAAAACAAGCAAAGGAGTTTCTAGTGTCGTATCGCTCCGTGTTTTCTTACCGCTTGTGTTATTATTACGATTGCACTTGTTTACCCAGGAAAGCCTCGCTAAGTCAATACAAGTTGGATTGTTGTTTGAGCTATGGGAGGAAACTGGAGAACCCGGAGGGAACCCATGCAATATATGAGGAGACCATATAAACCCCACACATTCTCTCACACAAAGACAAATATCCACCATGTAGATTTAACAGACTGTTGGGGCAAGTGCTGTTAACGAGCACTTTGAAGGTCAACACGGCACATGCGGGTGTGGGTGACCAGCACCGCGCCCAGCCGCCTTTATCTCCCTAGTGGTGATGTCGGAACATCGCATCGGGTATGGTACTAATTTTAGGTTGAGTCGACCTAGAGGAGGCCCAGGGCTGGTTCAGATAACGGTCATTAGTGTTGGCCATGAACGAGAATGGAACACGCACACACCCTCACTCACACACTCAAACTCTGCAGAACAGGGGGGGAATATGCAAAGCCCACATAGAAAGGCGGTCGAATCGGGAATTGAATCCAGACCGGGCTTGCTGCGAGAGGCACGAGTGTTACCACCACGCCGCCACCCTGTTGCTGATTGCGTTGCATTGCTGTACTCTCAGCGACGACGTCTTCTCGCTACCGTACTGCCCTGGCAAGACACTGGTGGTGGGCGCCAGCTACGTGGCGCTGGAGTGCGCCGGCTTCTTGGCGGGGCTGGGGCTGGACGTGACTGTGATGGTGCGCTCCATCCTGCTGCGAGGATTTGATCAGCAGATGGCCGAATTGGCCGGAGACTACATGGAGAAACACGGGGTCAAGTTCATCCGCCAGTTCGTGCCCACCAAGGTAGGGCCACTCCTGGGCCCCCACGGACCCCCATTGGTGCTCCCCATGGGCCCCCATTGGGGCCCCCCACTAGGCCCAACTGTCACGATTGCCCAACCCGGCGGTGGCGCTGCCGTGTGCCGTGGTATAAGATTATTCATGGTACAACACGACGAGGTGCGCGCTTGTGGCTACATTGAGAGACAGAAATGGGAGCACGTGTTTAACGAAGAGACTTGATTCACTTAATACCATAAGATACGAGACGACCTTTCACGATACAACCGTTATCACAACGTCGGTAGGGCCAACGGCGAGGAGGAGGGCAGCTGGGAGTCGCGGTGCAGTGGTTCACGTGTTACGCTACGAACCCGAAGTGTGATTACCGCTCGTGGCCAACGTCGGTGACGATTATCTGAACTGGTCCTGAGCCTCCACGTGATCGGCTTAGATTGAAATAAGTACCTGGTGCGGTGTGTAAACATCGCCACTGGCAAGTCAGAAGTGACCGGGCATGCTGTTGGCAACTCCACCCCCTTTATTATTGGCCTTCATAGGTGCTCGCTAACAAAAATTTAACAAACACTCTGTTAAAGGGGTATACGAGGGATATTTGGTATGGTGTATGTATACATGTTGAACTTCACCATACATAGCCAACCGTGCTAAACGTGCACATTTGTATAGGTAGAGCAATTGGAAGCCAGCACTCCGGTGGGTGTATATGGCTATGTATAGTATTTGTGTAGTAAGTAAGTAATGCAACCTGTGTGTGTGTAGGTTGAGCTCCTACAGTCTGCTAAGGCTATATGGGGGATTTTTGTCTGTGTAGGTTGAGCAACTTGAGGCCGGCACCCCCGGCCGCCTCAAGGTCCATGCGAAGGCCACGGAGGGCTCGGAGCTGTACGAGGGCGAGTTCAACACGGTGAGTCCTGCGCACCCCTCCCCACGTTATTTTATTTACGCTTGTTTACCCAGGATACTCTCACCGAGTCTCTTCGACTCTTTATTTTCAGGAGGGTCGTTTCAAGTTTGTCCCCGTAGGGGGCGATATTGAGTAATGGCCTATTCTGTTGTTAAGCGACGACGGTGATTGTCTCTTCTGGACGCCCGTTTAGGTGCTGATCGCCGTGGGGAGAGACGCCTGCACGTCCAACATCGGGCTGGACGTGGTTGGGGTGAAGGTGGATGAGAGGTAGCCCTCGGCCACACCACGACCACCACCACTCGTGCCGTGCCTAGGCCACCCCCAAACGCCACGATATGCCGGATGAGTCTTATGGACTTGTCACTGGCGACCGTTCAACAGTTTCCTTGTTTTTCTGTAGTAATTTTCTCCCAATTTTATCCCAATTGTGCAATCATCATGGTTAATGCCTTTGCCGTAATGATTGCCCCTGGCCTAGCACGACGCTAATGGTACGCTCTGGTGTGACGTTGGCAGGACGGGCAAGGTGCCGGTGAACGACGTGGAGCAGACGAACGTGCCGCACGTTTACGCAATCGGCGACATCCTGCAGGGCAAGCTGGAGCTCACGCCCATCGCCATCCAGGCTGGCCGGCTGCTGGCCCACCGGCTCTACGGGGGCGGCACCACCAAGGTACCCACTCACCAGCGGCACGCTCGCCACACGCACTCACCAGCGGCACGCTCGCCACACGCACTCACCAGCGGCACGCTAGCCACACGCACTCACCAGCGGCACATTTGCCACACTCACCAGCAGCACACGCACCACACACTCACCACACACCGGTGGCGAACTCGCTAGACATGCTCACCAGTGTTGGCACACTCAATGACAAAGATCCACCATGTAGCTTATAACAGGCTGTTGGGGCAGGTGCTGTTAGCGGGCGTCTATGCAGGCAGGCAATGGCGCACCTATGCGAGGGTGTGTGACCAGCACCACACCTTAGCTGCCTTTGTCTCCCCAGTGGTGATGTTTAAATATTGTACCATGTACTCATTTTAAGGCCGATTTGACCTAAAATAGACCTAGAATTGTTTCAAATGTTCCCCACTGTTATTGGTTGCAAGTGGGAATCGAACTTGGGTCTCCGGGTTCTTAGCGTGGTGCGCTCACCCCTGCACTACACTCGCCACACACGCTCACCAGCGGCACCACTCTCACCGGGACCGATATATTAAATGGAATGCTGATCTTGAGAACAAGCACACTATTCCTCACGTTCCTGCTGTGTGGGTCTGCACGTGCTGTGTGTCACCTTTGTCTTTTTTTGTGTGTATCAACTGCGCATGTTGCATGTGTGTACTGTGCGTGTTGCATTTGGATTATTGCATGTGTTCATGTGTCGCTTGCATGTTAACTAGTGCGCTGCGTATGTGTGTGTGTATACACGTGCGTATGTATATGCTTGTTTGCTGCGTGCTTTGTATGCTGTGTGTGTGTGTGCTGCGTGTGTGTGTGTGTGTGTATACGTGTCCTTGCGCCACGTGCGTGTGTGCTGCGCGTTGTGTTCGTAACATTGCGCGTGTTTACGTGTCGTGTGTGTGCTGCAGTGTGACTATGTGAACGTGTGCACCACCGTGTTCACACCCCTCGAGTACGGCTGCTGCGGCCTCTCAGAGGAGAGGGCCTTCGAATTGCTGGGAGAAGACAACATCGAGGTGACACAACCACCACCACCATTACTGCCCCCACCACCGTCATCACCATCGCCATCACCACCACCAACACTCTCACCTCCACCACCAAGACCACCACAGCTTCCACTGCTACCTCGCCACCACCACTGCCACTAGCACCACCGCCACAACCGTCATCAACACCACCATCACCACAAGCATCACTACCACCAACCACCAACCAGTGGGTGAGAACCTCCTGCCACACTGTGGGCACCAGCATGGGTTTGTGACCTCACATGGACCCCCCCCCCCCCCCACTCCACATAGGTCTTCCACAGCAACTTCTGGCCGCTGGAGTGGACTGTGGCCGGTGGTGATAACAACAGCTGCTACGCCAAGATCCTCTGTAACAAGGCTGACAAGGCACGTGTGCCCACACATTGTGTGACCGTGGTGTGCCTCCACTTGTCTGTGTTGTGCCTGCAGGTGTGGCTGGTGGTATTGGTGATTTGCCTATGGTTTTCGTTGTACATGTTGGTGTTGTGGTTGACCATGTTGGTGGTTTGTCTGTGATGTGGCTAATTATTGTTGGTGGTGTGGCTGATAGTATTGGTGGTATACCTGTGGTGTGGCTGGTGGTGTGGCTGACAGTATTGGTGGTTTCCCTATGCTGTGGTTGACATGTTGATGCTGTGTTCGAAAATGTTGGTGGTGTGGACAACCATATTGGTGGTTTCCCTATGCCGTGGTTGACATGTTGATGCTGTGGTTGAAAATGTTGGTGGTGTGGACAACCATATTGGTGGTTTGCTTGTGGTGTGGTTGACATGTTGATGCTGTGGTTGAAAATGTTGGTGGTGTGGACAACCATATTTGTGGTTTGCTTGTGGTGTGGTTGACATGTTGATGCTGTGGTTGAAAATGTTGGTGGTGTGGACAATCATATTGGTGATTTCCCTATGCTGTGGTTGACATGATGTTGTGGTTGAAAATGTTGGTGGTGTGGACAATCATATTGGTGGTTTGCTTGTGGTGTGGTTGACATGTTGATGTTGTGGTTGAAAATGTTGGTGGTGTGGACAATCATATTGGTGGTTTCCCTATGCTGTGGTTGACATGTTGATGCTGTGGTTGAAAATGTTGGTGGTGTGGACAACCATATTTGTGGTTTGCTTGTGGTGTGGTTGACATGTTGATGCTGTGGTTGAAAATGTTGGTGGAGTGGACAACCATATTTGTGGTTTGCTTGTGGTGTGGTTGACATGTTGATGCTGTGGTTGAAAATGTTGGTGGTGTGGACAACCATATTTGTGGTTTGCTTGTGGTGTGGTTGACATGTTGATGCTGTGGTTGAAAATGTTGGTGGAGTGGACAACCATATTTGTGGTTTGCTTGTGGTGTGGTTGACATGTTGATGCTGTGGTTGAAAATGTTGGTGGTGTGGACAACCATATTTGTGGTTTGCTTGTGGTGTGGTTGACATGTTGATGCTGTGGTTGAAAATGTTGGTGGAGTGGACAACCATATTTGTGGTTTGCTTGTGGTGTGGTTGACATGTTGATGCTGTGGTTGAAAATGTTGGTGGTGTGGACAATCCTATTGGTGATTTCCCTATGCTGTGGTTGACATGATGTTGTGGTTGAAAATGTTGGTGGTGTGGACAATCATATTGGTGGTTTGCTTGTGGTGTGGTTGACATGTTGATGTTGTGGTTGAAAATGTTGGTGGTGTGGACAATCATATTGGTGGTTTCCCTATGCTGTGGTTGACATGTTGATGCTGTGGTTGAAAATGTTGGTGGTGTGGACAACCATATTTGTGGTTTGCTTGTGGTGTGGTTGACATGTTGATGCTGTGGTTGAAAATGTTGGTGGAGTGGACAACCATATTTGTGGTTTGCTTGTGGTGTGGTTGACATGTTGATGCTGTGGTTGAAAATGTTGGTGGAGTGGACAACCATATTTGTGGTTTGCTTGTGGTGTGGTTGACATGTTGATGCTGTGGTTGAAAATGTTGGTGGAGTGGACAACCATATTTGTGGTTTGCTTGTGGTGTGGTTGACATGTTGATGCTGTGGTTGAAAATGTTGGTGGAGTGGACAACCATATTTGTGGTTTGCTTGTGGTGTGGCTCGGCAGGACCGGGTGGTGGGGTTCCACGTGCTTGGCCCCAACGCCGGTGAGATAACCCAGGGCTACGGTGTTGCCATGAAGTGCGGCCTCACAAAGGCCCAGCTGGACGACACCATCGGCATCCACCCGACCTGCGCCGAGGTCAGCCGGGCACGCAGCGCGACGCATCTCAGCACGGCACACCGCACCATAACACATAACGACAATACCGCATGCCGCACCATGTCATAATACTTTGTAGCATGTCCCTGGTGTGTGTTAGTGTGTCCCTGTGCGTGGGTATGTGTCCCTCACGGCCAGCACCTGTGACGATTATATGAATCGGTCCTGGGCCTCCCCTAGATCGATTCAAGCCTAAAATGAGTACCTAGTGCGGTGTGTAAACATTGCTACTAGGGAGAAGAAAGGCAGCCGGACATGGTCTTGACCACCCACCCTCTCGTGTGCCGTGCCAACCTTCATAGGTGCCCACTAACAGTGTTTTCTCCAACAATCTGTTAAGGCTTGTCTTTTACCCTGAGATCCTGTGCATTTGTGGGGAGCGGTAATGCAGCGGTTAGCTCACATCTCTACGAACCCTGTCGCCCAAGTTCGATTCCCGCTCACGGCCAACACCAGTCGGTGATGATTTGAACCGGTCCTGGGCCTCCCCTAGGTCAACTCTGTCTCAAATGAGTACCTGGTGCAGTGTGTAAACATCGCCACAAGGTGGCCGGGCGTTGTCCTGGCCACCCACCACCTCATGTGCACATGCCGGCTTTAATGAGTGCTCGCTAACAGAACTTGCCCCTACAATCTGTTAGAGACTACGGTGGGATCTTTGTATGTGCCTCCTGTGTGTGTGTCCCCTCTGTGTCTGCGTGTACAGATCTTCACCATGCTCGCGGTGACCAAGCGCTCAGGGGCCGACATTAAGCAGACCGGCTGCTGAGGTTAAGCCCGGCTGTCGTTACCGCTGCCCGGGCCCCTGCTCCACCACCGCAAGGCCACGCCGAAAGAAATCCGCGGAAGCACGAGAGCTCGTTAAGTAATTTACGAGCTCTGCAAGCGTTGCCGTGTGTCTGTGCATAGTCACAACCTCGGCGGCGCTTCCTTTCGTGAAATATTAGCTTCCGTAGATTTCTATTCGTCGTGCAAGCCACATTGTGGCCTCGATGCTTTGCGATCCGATCCGATTCCATCTCCCGGCACTGTAGTGAAACGCACCACTGCTCTGTAAAACACTGCTGCAAATAAGTGTATTTAGTTTAACCAGGTGAGAACTCAAGAGACCAGGATAGGAATCTTATTCGCAACCAAAGTAGTGAAAGCGATAGCGTAAAATGGAGTACAACGACGAAGGATATGGATATCGGGGCAAAGTCAATGACGGGTTCCACAGAAATGTATGGGAGGAAGGAGATCATGAGGGTTGGGATTAGAGTTGAGGTTAAGGATAGAGTTGGGGATAGTGTCGAGTGTAAGATTAGAGTTGGGGTACAGGATAGAGTTAGGGATAGTGTTGTGTAAGTTTATAGTTGGGGTACAGGATAGAGTTGGGGATAGTGTGTTGTGTAAGTTTAGAGTTGGGGTACAGGATAGAGTTAGGGATAGTGTTGTGTAAGTTTATAGTTGGGGTACAGGATAGAGTTAGGGGGATAGTGTTGTGTAAGTTTATAGTTGGGGTACAGGATAGAGTTGGGGATAGTGTGTTGTGTAAGTTTAGAGTTGGGGTACAGGATAGAGTTGGGATAGTTTGCGCCTATTGGCAGCGGCCGTATTTCTCAGAGCAGTGGGTGTTTTGCAACACAGCTCCCCGTTCCCTCTCTCTGCGTGATAAGCACCCCCAAGTTGGATGGTGCCACGTGGTAAGAGGGGAGGAGATAGGGAGAAGGATTGGGGAGGTAATGGAGCAGAGGAGCCCGGGCAGCGGGCGACAGCTGGGTCACCTTGACCTCTCACCCCTGACCTGCAACCTTGAGGGGCGTCGAAAATGCCCTCCATGACGCTTTGGCCGTTTAACCTCTGACCTGAGGCCGGCCAGTGCAGATGAAACTTAGGGAAGCGGGTCCATCCCACAACCCCCCCCACACCCCCTCCATGTCAGAAGGGTTGTCCTATATTTATTTTGGTGGTGTGATGATGTGGCATCACCGCAAGTTAACGCCCCCTCTGGCAGGCAGTGCGACCCTCGGCTGCCTCGTGCGTGTTTGCGCGCCCGTGTCTTTTGTGTGCAGTGGGTGTCGCACTGCGCTACGAACCCGGCCACTCAAGTTCGATTCGCACTCGCAGCCAATATCAGTGACGATTATTTGAGCCGGTCCTGCGCCTCATCTCGGTCGACTGCTTTAAATGAAAGACCTGGTTGCGGTGTGTAAATATCACCACCGGGGAGACGAAAGTGCCGAGCGTGGTTCTGGCCACAGCAGCACCCCCTGCGTGTCGCGTTGACCTTCATGGTTGCTACTCGCTAACTTTCCCCAGCCAGCCTGTGTGGGCTAAATGGCGGAGGGTGGTGCGGTGGTGAGCGGGATTTGTGTGATGAGCAATGAATGTGATGAACACGGGGGGCGGGCTCTGTCCCACCTCCCTGTGTCTGTCCCGTGTCGCTGGAGTCGCCACAATGCCACATCAGCCGTCCGATCTCATATCAGTGACTCCGTGTCCCTCTTGTGCCACGTGTCTGCTGTCCCAGGTTCCCCTCTGTTTTCTGTCTCTGCTCTCGTGAATCTCTGTCTCCATGTCTCCGTCTCCTCGCTATGCTCCCCTGTCTTTCGGTTTCCCATATTTTTGCTCCCCGTGTCTCTGTGCAGTGTCTACTCCCCACGTGTGTCTAGCTGCCGTCTCCATCTCCTGTCTGTACTCCCTCAACTCCTCCATCTCGCCTCCCTTCGCCCACCCCTCAAATGACTGTGACCTCACCCATCACTATTTCTGGTTCACAAATACACGGCCAGTGAAGTGAGCTGTGTCTTTTTCTCTACGGACCAACCTGGGTGAGACGTGCTTTTATTTAGCCGAACCATGAAGGAGCCTGTGGATGCGAGTGGCGGTGCTGTGTGACGTGTGTGACGTGTGTGACGTGCGCACGTGTGGCACCGCATCGAAAAATATCGCAGCAGACAATCGGAGTCGAGTACCGGTTTTGGCTGTTCGTGGTGCACGATGGGTGGGCGAGTGATGGATTTCTGCGTGACGTGAGCATGCGAGTGAACGAGAGAGCGGATTGCTTGATGTTGGGGATTGGTATGGGGATTGGTATAGGGTTTGGGCAGAGCATCATTTCATCCAGGTCTTTCTGGCACACCACGTCCAGTACACCGCTCGCTATGGCTGTGGATACTACTAGTTGGTGAGAAATGAATCCCTGTGGGAATAGGGTCGGGTCCATCACAGGATTGCGAGATGGCGGTGGCTTTGGGAGGCATCCATCCAGCAATTGGGAGTGTGACCATGGCTCATGATGATGATGATGGATTTATTGTATCGGTGTTTCTCGCGTTGAACCGCTGTCTGTACCCGACGTGAACAGAGACAAAATAAAGAGCGAGTGAAAAAGGACACGTCGTGTGAGGATCGGTGCTGCCGTGTGGGAGGATGGACCGGTTCGCTGCAGGCGCAGCCGGGTAGCTCGGCTGTGCAGCGAGTGGCTCGCAATGGAAGGTTGCGAGTTCAAATCCTGGTTGGGAGGTGGGTGGGGGGGGGATCAACTTCAGCTCATCATCTCCAGGGTTAATTAAAATAAGTACCACTTTGGGAGGAAGTCGGTAGTGATTGTCCTCTGGAGAGAATCGCACTCACCATAGGAATGTGGAATATCCATCACTGAGGAGATGAGTGCACCGATGCCTCTGCTCATTTGAGCAGGAAGTCACAGACGATTTCTAAGTGTGGGTTGACATCACTCACCGCCAGCGATGTTGACCGTGCCCCGGGTTTGTAGAACGCGCTCACTCCAGATGTTTGTAGTTCGATACCAGTGGGCTGCCCTGGTTAATACTGTGGTGTGTATTGACCATAACTGCTCCGTGCCGTCTGCTTCAAGGGTGGACGTTAAAGATCCCCTGACGTCATTCGCAAGAGTAGACCGTTGTGTGCCGGTGTCACGGTAAAAAAATTCCCAAACCAAGTGTTGAAAAATGTACGCCGCAAAATTACTCAATTGCGATTGCACACACAGCAGCCATCGTCTCCCTACTGAGAATGTGGCAGTACTCTCCCAACGCCGCCGCACCTTGTGTGAACAAGCGGAGTAAACAAATAACAGTGCGCTAACCACTGCGCCACCGCTCTGGGTTTATAGTTCACGTGTTTTGAATTCCGTTTGTTTGGGAGATCGATGGGCCCGATACAAACGTGGACTCTACCTCCCCCCACTGCTGCCAAAGGCCGACAGCTACCGTATTCTCTGGATTACAATACGCAGGTCCTTGAAATGAAAGGATGGGGGTACATCTTATAACCCGGTCGGTAGCGCAGAGGTTAGCACACTGCGCTACGAACCCGGCGGACTGAAGTCCGATTCCCGCTCACGGCCAGTAACGGTGACGATTATCTGAACCGGTTTTGGGCCTCCCCTCAGTCCATTCGGTTTCAAATGAAGTAACCAACACTGTCTGTTAAATGATATACGGTGGATCTTTTGTGTGCGAGACCCGATTAGTAGAACTTTGTTTGCACAGGGCACAGTTTTACTTGGATAAGTAGAGCTCTTACACTCAAGACGATGGGAGGTGAATGTGTGTGAGATATCCACCGGGCTCTCGAGGACGCTCGATAACAACAACCGCAGCCGCCTTTCGCCACTAAGTGGCGTTAACGTCACCACGGCGCTTGTGCCAGGCTATGTGCACGTCAAGGCCACGTGAAGTGTCGAACGCCCGCTAGCAGACCCAGGTGCCACGGGTCGACTGAGATGACTGCCTGATGCACCACCTATGCCCCCAACTGCCAACTTGCTGTGTTTTAGCTGCCCGGCGCTCCTCCGCCCTCCGTTGTTGCTGGAGGGTCACTACCTCAAACTGCCCAGCAGCGTCCTTCACGAGCCTCCTCCACAGAGCCCGATCTTCACACCACTGGTTCCAGTCATCGGCAAGTCCACTCGGCTCCACATCTTCTCGTACCACATCACTCCATCTCTTCTCTAACCCGTTCCGTGCCCGCTTAGCCCCCTCTATCCGTACGAACAAAAGCTGTTTAGGCATGCGGTGGCTGGGTTATGCGGGCTACATGACCCAGCCAACGCAACCTTGCCTGCCGGAGGAGTAACAAATGACAGAACACACAAAAACCATCTTGTCACATCGTTCGTCTTCATTTGAATCACAGTTGCTGAGCAAGCCCAAAAACATCGAGCGACCATCCACCAACAGTACTGTATAGTTGTAAAAGGTATACGTGGTCTATGTCTGCATTCACCACACGTACGTGATTCCTTGCAAAATGTGTCTATTTGGTGTTTGAACATCTCAACACAGCTGTTTTATTGTGAGAAAGGATAAAACCTATTTTTTTTAGTTAACAGGCTTCTTGAATTTAACGAAGTTATTTTGGTAATAGCCTGGGGGGGGGGGGGGGAAGAGACGATGGGAGGGAATTCCGTGAATGAGAAGTGTTGTGACTTGCAGTGTGGTGATTGGGTGTGGGAATGGGAGAGTTGTGATCTGCAGTGTGGTGAGTGGGTGAGGCAATGGGTGAGTTGTGACCTGCAGTGTGGTGAGTGGTGAGTGGGTGAGTGCGTTGTTGTGACCTGCAGTGTGGTGAGTGGGTGAGTTAATGGGTGTGTGAGTTGTGACCTGCAGTGTGGTGAGTGGGTGAGTGAATGGGTGTGTGAGTTGTGACCTGCAGTGTGGTGAGTGGTGAGTGGGTGAGTGCGTTTTTGTGACCTGCAGTGTGGTGAGTGGGTGAGTGAATGGGGGTGTGAGTTGTTGTGACCTGCAGTGTGGTGAGTGGGTGAGTGAATGGGTGTGTGAGTTGTGACCTGCAGTGTGGTGAGTGGCTGAGTGAATGGGTGTGTGAGTTGTGACCTGCAGTGTGGTGAGTGGCTGAGTGAATGGGTGTGTGAGTTGTGACCTGCAGTGTGGTGAGTGGTGAGTGAATGGGTGTGTGAGTTGTTGTGACCTGCAGTGTGGTGAGTGGGTGAGTGAATGGGTGTGTGAGTTGTTGTGACCTGCAGTGTGGCGATTGGGTGAGTGAGTTGTTGTGACCTGCAGTGTGCTCGTGGTGGTTGAACACCGCGTGATGGGACCGAGTCCGCAACATGAGTGGAGGAATCAATAAGTGAAGTTACGGTAACCATGGTACAATCGATAAAAGAGCGATAATGAGTATTCTATGGTTCTTTCGGTAAAGTCACGTAGATAGAAAAAATTATAATAAAAATGAAAATAATAAAAATATCACGTTTCGATCGCAACGTGATATGTTATTATTTATATACGTGACTTTACCGAAAGAACCAGAATATGAATTCCTGCAGTCACGAAAGTTTTAAGTAAAAATTTCGTGATAAGGAGGTGACGACATTTTGTTAATACGAGTGTCTTTGTACGTGCCCAAGTCGGAGTAACTTCCTGCTCAAACGAGTATTGTTGAGTCTGTGCTCATCGCCTGTGTACAGCCTTGAGCCAGCGGAGGAAACGTCACATTCCTATGATGGGGGTGAGTATATAGGACAACTACAGTCGACTGTGGAGTCCGCGCTATTCATTTTATATACCCCGGAGGGACGATGGGCTGAATCACACCCCAACTAACACCACACCCCAACCAGGATCTGAACTCGGAATGCGAGCTGCCCGCTGCACTGCAGAGCCACGTGATCGGTTGTTGAAGCCAATGAATGGGCGCAGTGGTGACACCGCAAGCCTCACGGCACAAAGCGTCTGGGTTCGAGTTCCGACGAGGGCGCCTTTCTCTGCGGAGTTTGTATGTACCACCGCCGCCTCCGGCTTGACTGATTGGCGGTCTGTGATTGACGCGGGCGACACGCATTCATCAGCCGGGAGCTGCTCGACAAGAATGGCCCGCCGGAGGAGCTGGGTGCGAGCGAAATAAGTATAACCCGTAAAAACAAAGTTTTTCACTCTAAATCCTTTATATGCGTGGCGGCTAGAGTCCTCTCGTCCTCTGGCTTGAGATGGCTGCCACCTATGGGTCAGATGATTGTCTGCAGTATTAAACAATTGGTAATTAAATATTTAATTTGTTTTCCCTAAACAGTGTACAATTTTTGAAAAAAAAATTCACGAACATTAATTGTCTCGCACAACGAGTCTGTGTGCAAAATGTCAGCTCGATTGGATCACGGGAAGTGGGTTAAAAACGACCGAAAGGTTTGCACGGTCGTAAGCAAGCAAGCAAGCAAGCGAACTTAATATAAAGGATTTTAAAAAAGGAAGTTACGTGCAGCAAATCAATCGTAACATTGCAGACGCTGAGTAGCGATGGGTTTCCTCGCACGGTTAAAACAAAACAACGTCACCGGTGACTGGTCTAACATTCTCAATGCTGCGCATTTTGTCCCTGAAAAATAAGCAACGAATTACTCAATTGGGATCAAATACAAATATCTGCCCCGATTTGCCTTGACCGGGCTGTTGGGGCAAGTGTCGTTAGCGAGCAGCACCTGTGAAGGCTGTCACACCATTAATTCTAGATTTGAAGTTTTCGTGACTGCAATGATTCATACTCTTTGGTTTTTTCGGTAAAGTCACGTAGGTGAAAAATGTAACTAAATTAAATCGCGAAAGCACAACCGCTTAAGTTGTCCCCACCTGAAGAAGGGCGCTTGTGTTGCGCCCGAAACGTCGTGATTTAATTTAGTTTAATGTTTTACCTACGTGACTTTACCGAAAAAACCAAAGCTGTCACCTCACACGAAGGGGAATGTGGGTGGCAAACTCCACTCCCGGCAGCCTTTGTCTTCCTCGCGGCGATGTTTACAGACCGCACCGGGTACTCGTTTGAGGCCCAGAACCGGTTCAAATAATCGTCGCTGATGTTGACCACGAACGAGCGCGATTTGAACTCGGGCCGCGAGATCACGCAACAGCAGCAGCAGCAGCAACATGACCAGGGCCAGATTCAGGCGTGTGGGGGCTTTAAGGGCTGTAGCCCAGGGGCCTCCACCAGCTGGAGGACCTCCAGAGCTTTAAGTGAAAAGATATTTAACTTGTGAATGCTGAATTTTATTTGTTAGCCTTGTAAACATACATTTTATTTTTCTTTAACTGTTTTCCTTTTCAAAATATTACCGGGGGCCTCGCAGTACCTGCAAGCCCAGGGGCCTACAAAATCTTAACCTGGCCCTGAACATGACCCACCCATTAGTGCCACAAGCTTGGCAGAGCCCCGCCTGTAATGGAGTGACGAGCCGTAATTGATTCTACTCGCACTTGCCCGTCTCGACTCGCTTTGCGCGTGAACTCGCTGTGAGCCGCGGGTAAAGGTCATCGCATTCGTGTGGCTGCCGCGGGTCCCTTCTTGTTCACGTCTCTCTCCCACCACGAAAACAAAATCCGGGGAGGTTCGCGCCCGTGCTGCGGGTGTGCGCGCGCGCGCCTGTGTGTGAGACCCCCCCCACACACACGCGTCTGTGCGTGAGACCCCCCCCCCCCACACACACACACGCCTGTGTTAGAGACACACACACGTCTGTGTTAGAGACACACACACGCACACGCGTCTGTGTTAGAGACACACACACATACACGCCTGTGTGTGAGACCCCCAGACACACACGCCTGTGTTACAGACACACACACATACACGCGCCTGTGTGTGAGACCCCCACACACGCGCGCCTGTGTGTGAGACCCACACACACACACGCCTGTGTGTGAGACCCCCACACACACACGCCTGTGTGTGAGCCCCCCCCCCACACACACGCCTGTGTGTGACCCCCCCCCCCACACACACGCCCCTGTGTGTGTGAGACCCCCACACACGCGCGCCTGTGTGTGACCCCCCCCCCCCCCCCACACACACGCCCCTGTGTGTGTGAGACCCCCACACACGCCTGTGTGTGAGACCCCCACACACGCCTGTGTGTGAGACCCACACACACGCCTGTGTGTGACCCCCCCCCCCCACACACACGCCCCTGTGTGTGTGAGACCCCCACACACGCGCACACAGAAGGGAGTAAAGTTTATGCGTCTCGTACAATGACTCCGTGGGGCCGTGACGGGGGAGCTCATTGTGCGAGTGGATTAGTGGGCATCGCGAGCCCTCTTTCATTTGCCCCGTGCCGGAACAATAGCCCTGGCTCTGAGCCAGCTAGGTTCAGGTGTCCGGTAGGCACTGGGCGCGCCACGGCAGCGAGATGTTAGCTGCCTCGCCTGGTATACAGGAGGTCGTGGGTTCGACCTGGACCCTGACTCCTGTATATTTGGAGTTCGCGTGCCTCTCTTCCCGTGGTCGCGTGGTTTTCCCCTCCACATTTATGAGCCATGCGTTTAGAATACTTGGCTGCTGTACATTCCCACGTGATGAGCCATTTCGTTGGGCTAACATTTGTGGCCAGGTCGCCTCTGAAAAAGAGTTACATAGCTCAGTGGGCCTTACCTGGTGAAATGTAAAACAATATATAGTTTCGTTTAGAACATATGTTCTCTCTCTCTGCTCCCCGCCCGCTCTCCGCTTACTCACACACACACGGTGGCCACAGTGGCAGCAATGCCACCACCATAACAGTGGCAGCGATGCCACCACGACCACCACCACAGTGGCAACGATGCCACAACCACCACCACCACAGCGCGCGCGTGTCCCACAGTCGAGGTGCATTTTATCAAACAACACATTCAGGTTTAGGGTTGCATACAGACTTCAAACACCCCCCCCCCCCACCAGACTCGGGGCAAGTGGTGTTAGCGAGCAGCTATGCGAAGTCCGGCACGGCGGCGTGAAGACAGAGCGATGTCAATCCCAGCGCGCCACAGCTGCGGTGACGCGAGGCTGCGCTATTCTTGTTATATTCAGAGATTTGTTGATAACCTTTAGGAGCCTGAAAGGGCGTAGGGGATGGGTTTGCGGATTACATACACATGACATGCGGTGGTTGCCGGTGGTTGCTGCTGCTGCTGTTGTTTTATTGGGGAGTGGTAAGTGATGCGAGGCGCGCGCCTCGAGGTACAGCTCACGAAGAGCCGCATTGAACAGCGCCTGGTGGTGACAGGGAGGCGAGTGGGCAGGTGAATGACCATGTCGGTGAATGGGCAGGTAGGTGAATGGGCTGGCGGATAGGCAGGAATGTGAATGAGAAGATGATTTCCAACAATTTTTTTAAAACACTTTTTTTTGTTATTTACCAGCTAAGGCCCATGTAGCTATAATCTAATCTTTGGTTCTTTCGGTAAAGTCACGTATACAGATAAAATAATAAATTAAATAATAGCATACGACGTTTCGATTGCAACACAAGCAATCATCATCAGGTATAAATGAAATAGCAACAAAAAATCTAACTAGAAAACTATAGACAGACATATAAGCAGACAGATATCACCAAGATACATAGAGAGAGAGTAACACAAGCACAGAGAGGGAGATCGTCTCTGTGGAGTGGCCTTAAATAGGCAGAGGGGACGGGGGCAGAGAGATTGAGGGGGTTAGAGAAAAAATTAACATGTCAATGAGTACGGAAAAAGAGGCGTAGTAAAGTACGCAAGCTTGAACATTAGGAGAAAGAACACACTAAATTAAATAACCGAGCAAAATATCGAAATGTTATGTAATACAACACAGAGAGTCGGTCAACACACAATTAACGCATAGCCTGGTCGATTACGTATTTCAAAGATTGCTAAGTTAGAATTTCACTACCGCTCCATCGCTCTCTGTGCGTATAATTATCTGAATTTTAAGTCTGGGTGTATCTGTGCGCGTGTGTCCGCATGCGAGTGCGTATGCCGATACGTGGGGGAGTGGTGGCGCGGTGGTTAGCACACAGCGCTACGAACCAAGCCACCTTCGGTCAATTCCCGGCCGCGGCTATTATTAGTGGCGAGCGACAGCAGAACTTTGTCCTGGGCCAAACCCTCAGTCAACTCCAATTGGTACCTGGTAACGGTGTGGTAACAAAACAAAAACACCCCATCAAAAGTCGGGATACAAAGACGGCCGAATATGATTCCATCAAGACCACCCAACCTAATGTGCGCGTCGTGCTGGCTTTAATAGGTGCTCGCTAACAAGACTTTGGCCACGAGTCTATTCGAATGCGAATCAGGCGTCTTGCCTCCGCACGTGTCCCCTGCCCGTGACGTCTTGCTGCGGCTGCTGCTGCAGATATAAAACGGAGACCACCAACACCATCGCCATCACATACCTGGTGGCACAGGCTAGCGCAGTTATATACGACGCACCCCCCCCCCCCCCATTACCTGAGGTCGATTGGCAGCCACCGCTTGCAATCAGTGCCGATTGGTGCTTGAACACTGGTGCTTTCCCCGAGGTCGGCTCAGCCTAAAATAAGTACCGGGTGAGGTTTATAAAACAACAACAACAACAACCACCACCCATCATCGCCATTATCATCACGACCAATACAATCATCATCACTCCCATCATCATCACCACCACCAACCATCCCCATACCATCATGATCACCACCATCACCCCTCTGCCTGTACGTGGTCTCGTCCGTCTCCCCCCCCCCCCGCCGCAGAGCGAGAGATCGGCTCGTCCGCCGGCCGCTCTTCCGTGGACACAGAGAGAGCAGCAGAGAGCAGCAGAGGGAGAGAGCGCGCGCGCGCGGGGAGTCGAGGGGGCATCCCCGGTTCGGCTCGAGGGGGGCAGAGTTTAGGGGGGGGGGTGCGAGGACCCCTTTGAAGGAGGAGGGGGTGGGGGGGCTGGAGGGGGGGGCGGGGGGAGGGGGGAGAATGAGGCTGCGTCTGTTTCGCATGGCGCTGTTCAGCTGTGGCTGCTCCATCCTCCTGGCTCTAGCCTACCTGCACGGCTCCCTGGCTCCAGGTAACGGGGCACCTGGGAGGGTCTGACGCGCACACAGACACGCGCACACAGACACGCGCACACAGACACGCGCACAGACACGCGCGCACAGACACGCGCACAGACACACGCGCACAGACACACGCACAGACACACGCGCACAGACACGCGCGCACAGACACGCGCGCACAGACACGCGCACACAGACACAGAGGGGCAGAAAGACAAAAATCTCTAATACAGCCCTGAACGGACTGTTCTTAGCGATCTGAAGGCCGGCACGGCACACACGAGGGTGGCTTGGCCAGCACCACGCCCGGCCACCTTTGTCTCCCCAATGCTGATGTTTATTGTCACTGATGTTGGCCGTGAGCGGGACTCGGAACTCGGGAACGCCGGGTTGGTATCGCAGTGGCGAAAACGACTGCGCTACCGCTCTACGCAGAGACACAGAGAGAGAGAGAGACTCACATAGAGACACACACAGAGAGAGAGACTCACATAGAGACACACAGAGAGAGAGAGACTCACATAGAGACACAGAGAGAGAGAGACTCACATAGAGACACACACACAGAGAGAGACTCACATAGAGACACAGAGAGAGAGAGAGAGGCTCACATAGAGACAGAGAGACACTCACATAGAGACACACACACAGAGAGAGACTCACATAGAGACACACACGGGAGACAAAAGAGACGCACACAAACAAACAAACAAAAACACCCATTCACGCAGAGACACTCACACACTCATATAGAGACAAATATCCCCCGTATAGCCTCAACAGATTGTTGGGGCAAGTGCTGTTAGCGAGCACCTTTTGAAGGTCGACGCGGCATACCAGAGTTAAGTGGCCAGCATCACGCGCCGGCTGCCTTTGTCTCCTAAGTGGCGACGTTTACACACCGCACCAGGTACTCATTTGACACTGAGTCGACCTAGGGGGAGGCCCAGGCCCGGCTCAGGTGATCGTCACCAGTGTTGACCGTGAGCGGGAATCGAACCTCGGGGCCAGCCGGGTTCGTAGTGCAGTGCGCTAACCACTACGCCACCAATCCCCACACAGGCACAGACATACAACAAAGACAAACATTCCCCGTATAGCCTGTAACAGACTGTAGGGGAAAGTGCTGTTAGCGAGCACCTATGAAGGCCGGCACGGCACACGAGGGGGTGGGTGGCCAACACCACGCCCGGTCGCCTTTGTCTCCCCAGTGGTGATGTTTACACAACGCACCGGATACTCATTTGAGGCTGAGTAGACCTAGGGGAGGCCCGGGACCTGTTCAGATAATCGTCACTCGGTGTTGGCCGTAAGCGGAAATCGAACCCGGGTGGCCAGGTTCGTAGCGCAGCGCGCTAACCGCTGCACCACCGCTCCCCACACACTCACACAGACACACTCACACAGACACAAACACACACCACACACAGACACAACACACGCTCACACAGACACACACACACACCACACACAGACACAAACACTCACACACAGACACACACTCACAAAGACACACAGACACACTTACACAGACACACACACGGACACAAACACACAGACACATACACAGACACAAACACACTCACACACAGACACACACTCACACAGACACACTCACACAGACACACACACAGACACAAACACACAGACACACTCACACAGACACACACACACAGACACACTCACACAGACACACACCACACACAGACACAAACACACAGACACAAACACACTCGGACAGATAAGGACACACGCGCTCTCCCTCGCCCTGAACTCTGAACCGGGGTCACCGATTCCACGAGTCGTAGTTTCAGACTCGCAGATCGGGACTCATCGAGAGTTCCACCCCGGGGTTCTCTGGCTCCAGGGACGCGGTCCCTGGCCCCCCAGGAACCCAGGTCGAATCGTGGCCCCCGGGTCGATGAAACCGAGTTCGTTGGCTTCAAATGTGGCTGCATTTGCTTCACTCGGAGCGGACGATAAAGACCCATAAGAGTTTTTTTGGGGAGGTTAGATCGCGTACATATATAAATGTGTCGTTAAACCCGCCACCACCCGACACAGCCAACTAGTAAGGGTTGCCACGTCAACAGAACGTGCCAATTCGTCACTAGTTCATCACACCGGTGTGTTGGAGAGCCAAGTCACAACATTTACAATCTGAATACGACATTAAAGATCCTGTCACGGTCTTCATCAAGAGTTAGGCCATCGCGTGCTGGTGTCACGGTCCAAATTTGAACAAAATGTGGAAAATGACACCGCAGATCACTCCGTCGGGATCACGCACCACAGCAGCAAGAGCAGCAATCATCTCCCTTCGACTGCTGAAAACTTGGCAGGATTCTTCTGACAAAGAGTCACAAGACTCGGTGAGGCTTTCCCGAGTGACTGCGGGTTTTTCGTCTGTGGCTCCAGCTGACCGAATACTGGATCCATCCGTGTCGACTGGATCCTGGCTCCGGTAATTCCTGCTCCCAGTAGCCTGATCTCTGCCTGGATCCGAGTTTCCGAGTTGATTCTCTGCGTGACACGGCTGAGAACTCGAGGAAACCAGGACATGCGTCTCGTTCGCAAGAGGGGCATGAGCCTGCTGCCAGTAGGGAGCTGTGCTCCCTGCTGTGTGGGATCACAAGCGAGTCATATGTGGTGTCATCTTTCGAAATTGGCAAATTTGAACGCCGGCACACAATGGCCTACTCTTGCGAATGGCGTCACAGGGGGTCTGTAACGTCCACTTTGAAACAGACGGCGCGTGGTTAATATGGTCAATACACACCACAGTATTAATCAGGGCGGCCGCTGAACCTCCACGGAAACTGGATCCAGACTATCGGTAACGGAGTCCTCTGCCTGGGACCTCGGCTCAAGGTGGCTGGGTCCCCGGGTCCCTGGCGCCAGCTATCTGGCTCCGTAGGACCAGGGACCCGAGTCCTGATTCCATACCGCTGGGGCCAGAGACCCAGGATGGCCAGATGACCCAGTTCGTGGGCCCTGACTCCAGCTGAGAGGGATGCATCCTCATGCCCGGTTCATGTGAGGGGGTGGGCACCCCCGCGACCCCCCCCTCCCCCGGTGCCCCCCTCCCCCGGTGCCCCCCCTCCCCCGGTGCACGGTGGGCGGGTGATTCTCTGAGGAGCGGTGGCGCAGCGGTTATCTCACTGCGCCACACGAACCATGGGACCCGAGTTCGATTCCCGCTCACTGGGGCCAACTTCTACGCAGGTCGTGGGCCTCCACCAGGTCGACTCAGCCTTAATTCAATACTTTTGTATAAACACCAGCGCTGGGGAGACAAAGGCAGTCTGGTGTATCGCTGGTCAACTCCCCCCCCCCCCTCCCCTCGTGAACCGCGATCAGCTCTCGTATAGCTGCTCGCAACAAAGGCACTTGCCCCTACAGCCTGCGTGGGTTTACACGGGGAACCTTTGTCTTTCCCTGTGTGTGTGTGGAGGCTAAACCCGACCCCGGTGTCGGTTTCGGCCGGAGGGGGGAAGGGGGGTGGTGAGGTGGGGGAGGGGGGGTGTAATCGTTTTTCAACGCAGGCCCGAAGCATCAAGCGGCCGGCAACGAACAGCACCGCCATCCAGGAGGAGATGTAAACGATTTAGAGTGGAACGCGTCTCTTGAATTGAGCGACGTTGTTTCTGTGGCAGCTCGAGAGAATGCAGACGACGACGGGAGGAGATTCTCGAGTTGAGCAGTGCGAGGGAAGAAGCAGCAGAGAGGGGAAAGGCAGAAGTGGGGAGAGTGGAGGGAGTGGAGGGAGTGAAGGGAGAGTGGGGAGAGTGGAGAGAGTGGAGGGAGTGAAGGGAGAGTGGAGGGGGAGTGGAGGGAGTGAAGGGAGTGGGGAGAGTGGAGAGAGTGGAGAGAGTGGAGGGAGAGTGGAGGGAGAGTGGAGGGAGTGGAGGGAGTGAAGGGAGAGTGGAGAGAGTGGAGGAGGTGAAGGGAGAGTGGAGGGAGTGAAGGGAGAGTGAGGGAGAGTGGAGAGAGTGGAGGAGGTGAAGGGAGAGTGGAGGGAGTGAAGGGAGAGTGAGGGAGAGTGGAGGGAGTGGAGGAAGAGTGGAGGGAGAGTGAAGGGAGAGTGGAGGGAGAGTGGAGGGAGTGAAGGGAGAGTGGAGAGAGTGGAGGGAGTGAAGGGAGAGTGAAGGGAGAGTGGAGGGAGAGTGGAGGGAGTGGAGGGAGAGTGGAGGGAGTGAAGAGAGAGTGGAGGGAGTGAAGAGAGAGTGGAGGGAGAGTGGAGAGGGAGTGGAGGGAGAGTGGAGGGGGAGTGAAGGGAGAGAAGGGGGGGGGGCACGTGGTCGGGGTGGAATGTTGGGTCCCCGCGGCAGGAGGAGTCGAGTTCGTGAAGGGGGGGGGGTGTTGGTTGGGGGTCACCGGGTCACGGGGACCCTCGGGCAACAGATGCCGGGAGTGGGCGCGGAGGTGCGGGGCGAGGGGGTGGGACCCGGCAAGGAGGGGATTGTGGACTGGGGACCGGGGCTCCAGTTAGGATGAGGAATGGAGTGTGGCTTGGTGATGAGGTGAGGGGTTGGAGCTGGGTTGAGGCTGGGGGTTTACAGGCGGTCAGACGGCCTCACTACGCCCGGGGCGTGAGACCCCGGGGTTATGGGCAGCGTGAGACCCGCCAGGAACCCGGCATCCCGAGTTCGATTCCTGCCCACGGCTCGGACTTAAATGATCAAGTCCTGGACCCGATGCGATGTTCACGCACTACCACTGGGGAGACGAAGGCGGCCGTGCGTGGTGTTCCGGCCTTGACGTGTGCTCGCCAACAGCACTTGCTCCAGCAGACTGTTTTGTCTACACGGGGGCTGATTGTGTTTTGTGTGCCCTCGTGTTCCCATTGCGTTCGTGGTGGGGTCCCTCGATCGAGGTGTCCTCCCCGACCATCCCTGCCCCTCCCCCCCTGCCCCTCCCCCCCTCCCTCTGATCTCCCTCCCAGGGAGGTGAGTGCTTCTGGCTTCCTGTGCGTTCACGACTCCGGAATTCCCTCCCTCTCCTTCCACCCCCTCGCTTACCCCCCCCTCGCTTATCCCCCCTCGCTTACCCCCCGCCCCGCCCCCACCAAGGCCCTGGAGCATGGAAACTCTTTTCCTGCCCCCCCCCTCTCTCACCCCAATCCCCACGCCACCCCCCGTTCTCTCTCACCCCATCTCTGCTGCTCTCCCCGCATTCGCTGTATCCACGCGCATTCTCTGCTGCCCCCCCCCCCTACTCATTCATCCCCGCCTCCCTCTTGCGACTCCCCCTCTCCCCATGTCCCCCCTACCCCTCTCTTCCTCTCGTGTTTCCCCTCTCGCCCCCTCTCGCAATGCCCGCACCCCCACTAACCCCCGTGTCTCTCCCCCCCACTATCCCCCGTGTCTCTACCCCCCACTACCCCCGTGTCTCTCCCCCCACTAACCTCCGTGTCTCTCCCCCCCACTATCCCCGTGTGTCTCCCCCCACTATCCCCGTGTCTTTACCCCCTCCCCTTCACTCTCCACGTGTCCCCATCTTTTCTCCCCCTGCCTCTCCCGCCCTCCTTTCCCCCTCTCTAAGAAAACCTAAATGGGAAAACTCCACCCATCGGCTATCGAGGACACACAGAGACAAGACTGTCCCCGTGTCTCTGTATAGACGGGGTTGTCTCCGTGTCTCTGTGTCTCTGTGTAGACAGGGGCTGTCCCCGTGTCTCTGTGTCTCTGTGTAGACGGGGCTGTCTCCGTGTCTCTGTGTCTCCGTGGCTCTGTGTCTCCGTGTCTATGTGTAGACGGGGTTGTCTCCGTGTCTCTGTGTCTCTGTGTAGACGGGGTTGTCTCCGTGTCTCCGTGTCTCTGTGTAGACGGGGCTATCTCCGTGTCTCTGTGTAGACGGAGCTGTCTCCGTGTCTCCGTGTCTCTGTGTAGACGGAGCTGTCTCCGTGTCTCTGTGTAGACGGGGCTGTCCCTGTGTCTCCGTGTCTCCGTGTCTCTGTGTAGACGGAGCTGTCTCCGTGTCTCTGTGTAGACGGGGTTGTTTCCGTGTCTCTGTGTAGACTTCGTGTCTCTGTGTAGACTCCGTGTCTCTGTGTAGACGGGGGTTGTCTCCGTGTCTCCGTGTCTCTGTGGAGACGGGGTTGTCTCCGTGTCTCTGTGTAGACGGGGGTTGTCTCCGTGTCTCTGTGTAGACGGAGCTGTCTCCGTGTCTCTGTGTAGACGGGGTTGTCTCCGTGTCTCTGTGTAGACTCCGTGTCTCTGTGTAGACTCCGTGTCTCTGTGTAGACGGGGCAGTCCCCGTGTCTCCGTGTCTCTGTGTAGACGGAGCTGTCTCCGTGTCTCTGTGTAGACGGGGTTGTCTCCGTGTCTCTGTGTAGACTCCGTGTCTCTGTGTAGACGGGGCAGTCCCCGTGTCTCCGTGTCCCCGTGTCTCTGTGTAGACGGGGTTGTCTCCGTGTCTCTGTGTAGACGGGGGTTGTCTCCGTGTCACCGTGTCTCTGTGTAGACGGGGGTTGTCTCCGTGTCTCCGTGTCTTTGTGTAGACGGGGTTGTCTCCGTGTCTCTGTGTAGACGGGGGTTGTCTCCGTGTCTCAGTGTCTCTGTGTAGACGGGGTTGTCTCCGTGTCTCTGTGTAGACGGGGGTTGTCTCCGTGTCTGCGTGTCTCAGTGTCTCTGTGGAGACGGGGGTTGTCTCCGTGTCTCCGTGTCTCAGTGTCTCTGTGTAGACGTGCGTTCTCCCCCGTGTCCTGCACGGGTTTCCTCCGGGTTCCTGGGCCTCCTCCTCCAATAGCTAAACCCACACACACAGTAGAACTGCTATTAGCCAAACAACATCAACACAACCCCCCCAGCCCCACATACTTTCTAGAAACACTTTGGCGGGACCCTCCTGAAAAAAAGGAGGTGGGGGGTGGGGGAGGCTTCCCTGGGCGACCGAGTGGATTCGTCCTTAAATAATAGCGGCGAGACGTCGGCGTCACTCGCTTCACGGCGTCAACACCGCGTCCCAGACGCTTGAACTCGGCCGCAGGGAGGAAGGTGGGAGGAGGGAGGGGGGCGGTTGGGTGGGGGCGTGGGGGTATTAGGGCATCGTGCAGGTACATGCGGGTAGCCGCACAGGTGCGTGTGGGTGTGTGTGGGTGGGTGTATGTGGTTGCGTGCGTGTGCGGGTGTGTGGGTGTGTGTGTGGGTGCGTGTGTGTGTGTGGGTGTAGTGGGGAGCGGTAGTGCTCCGAAGTTAAAGACCCGGAGGGAGTGAAGGGAGAGTGGATCCGCTCACGGCCACCACCAGTGATTGTAAGAACCGGTCCCGGGCCTCCCCTGGGTCGACTCGGCCTCAAATGAGTACCTGGTGCGATGTGTAAACATCGCCGCGAGGGAGACAAAGGCGGCCGGGCGTGGTGTTGGCCACCCACCCCTTCGTGTGTCGTGCCGGCCTTGCCCCAACAGTCTGCTAAGGCTATACGGGGGATCTTTGTCTTTGTGTAGTGGGGAGCGGTAGTGCAGCGGTTAGCGCGCTGCGCTACAAACCTGGCCACCCGAGTTCGATTCCCGCTCACGGCCAACACCGGTGACGATTATCTGAACCGATCCTGGGCCTCCCCTAGGTCGACTCAGCCTCAAACGGGTACCTGGTGCAGTGTGTAAACATCGCCACTGTGTGGTGCTGGCCACTCACCCCCTCGTGTGCGGCGCCAGCCTTCATATGTGATCGCTCACAACGCTTGCCGCAACAGTCTATTGAGGCTACACGGGGGATCTTTGTCTGTGTATGTGTTTGTCTACCTGTTTATGCGTCTCTGTGTGTGTCCCGGTGCTCGTTTCACCCCCATGGAGATGGAACACGGAATGCAGCAAAGCCGGACCCACGCAGCTGAGTGCACAGCTACAGGTGTCCCAGGTAGCCCACAGCCCCGCCCCTTACCTCTCTCCCCCTCCCCTCCCCACCTCGCCAGGTGTGGCCCCGTTCCGAACACGGAGCCTCGGAGACGTCGATGGAATCCTCAGCTGGGAGCAGGTAAAACACCCCCCCCACACTGCTCCCCCCAAACCCCACCCCCACAGCTCCCCCCAAACCCCCACCCCCACAGCTCTCCCCCACCCCACTGCTCCCCCTAAACCCCCACCCCCACAGCTCCCCCCCACCCCACTGCTCCCCCCAAACCCCCACCCCCACAGCTCCCCCCAAACCCCCACCCCCACAGCTCCCCCCCACCCCACTGCTCCCCCTAAACCCCCACCCCCACAGCTCCCCCCCACCCCACTGCTCCCCCCAAACCCCCACCCCCACAGCTCCCCCCAAACCCCCACCCCCACAGCTCCCCCCCACCCCACTGCTCCCCCTAAACCCCCACCCCCACAGCTCCCCCCCACCCCACTGCTCCCCCCAAACCCCCACCCCCACAGCTCCCCCCCACCCCACTGCTCCCCCCAAACCCCCAACCCACCCACCCCCACAGCTCCACCCCACTGCTCCCCCCAAAACCCAACCCCACCCACCCCCACAGCTCCCTCCCACCCCACTGCTCCCCACAAACCCCCCTTACCCCACCCCCAACCACCCCCCCTCCAACTACTGCCCTCCAACCCACGTCACAACGCACCCCGCCACCATCCTTACCCCGGACACGATTACGATACCAAGATAAGGCAGAGGGGCAGGGAGGGAGAGGGGCAGGGAGGGAGAGGGGCAGGGAGGGAGAGGGGCAGGGAGGGGGGCAGGGAGGGGCAGGGAGAGGGGGGCAGGGAGAGAGGGGCAGGGAGGGAGAGGGGCAGGAAGGGGGGCAGGGAGGGGCAGGGAGAGGGGGGCAGGGAGAGGGGGGCAGGGAGAGGGGGGCAGGGAGAGGGGGGCAGGGAGGGAGAGGGGCAGGGAGGGAGAGGGGCAGGAAGGGGGGCAGGGAGGGGCAGGGAGGGAGAGGGGCAGGGAGGGAGAGGGGCAGGGAGGGAGAGGGGCAGGGAGGGAGAGGGGCAGGGAGGGAGAGGGGCAGGGAGGGGGGCAGGGAGGGGCAGGGAGGGGCAGGGAGGGAGAGGGGCAGGGAGGGAGAGGGGCAGGGAGGGAGAGGGGCAGGAAGGGGGGCAGGGAGGGGCAGGGAGAGGGGGGCAGGGAGGGAGAGGGGCAGGGAGGGAGAGGGGCAGGAAGGGGGGCAGGGAGTGGCAGGGAGAGGGGGGCAGGGAGGGAGAGGAGGGCAGGGAGGGAGAGGGGGGCAGGGAGGGAGGGAGTTTTGATCTCCCTCCTTGCCCCGGGCTTGCACAGATCTCAGGAATGTAGTCGCCCTCCCACTACCTGGCGCCCTGCTCCACGCACCTCGCTTGGCGTTTCACAGCAGCACCCAGTCCAGCACCCAGCACCCACCCCACCTGTTCCCCCCACCCCCTCAGAGCCGGGAGGAGGGGGGCTGGGGGTGGCACAATGGGGGTGATGCCCCCCCCCCCACGACCAGAATGGTTTAGTTTTAATTTAAGAGTGGGGGGGGTCCCTGCTGAAAAGCGTCAAATTCAGGGCCTACCCCGTCCCCCCATTGTGAGTTTCTAGATTCCCCCCCCCACCTCTCTTCCCCACCCCCTACTCTACCCCATCCCCTACTCTACCCGTGTCTTACCTGAAACAGGTGCGTCTCTCTGTGTCTCTCTCTCTACGGAGCCTGATTGATGGTACGTGTCCTGGCTGTCTCTGTCCCCATGTCCCCGTGTCTCCCCTGTGCGCCCCCCCGCCCCCCTCGTATCCTTCCCGTGTCTCCCTGTGTTGTGCCCGTGTCCTCCCACGTCCCCGCATTACTCCCCCGCGCCCACTCCCCCCCCTCCCCGTGTCCCCCCCCCCCTCCCCGTGTCCCCCCCCCGTGTCCCCCCCCCGTGCCCCCCCCCTCCCCGTGCCACCCTCCCCGTGCCCCCCCCCTCCCCGTGTCCCCCCCCCTCCCCGTGCCCCCCCCCCCGTGTCCCGTCCCCCCCCCCTCCCCGTGTCCCCCCCCCTCCCCGTGTCCCCCCCCCTCCCCGTGTCCTCCCCCCCGTGTCCCCCCCCCCCCCCGTGTCCCCCCAGCGCGTGGCGATCGTCTCGGCGGACCCCGTGCAGCGCGCGAGGAGGGAGCGGCTCTCCCGGGGGTGCAACGCCATCCAGGAGGGGGGGCCCGGGGGGGGGCCCAAGCGCCGGGTGCTGAGCCCCGCGGACCTCAAACACCTCCTGGTGGACGATGAACACCGCCTCATCTACTGCTACGTGCCCAAGGTGCGTCCACCATCACCACCATCGTCACTACCATCGTCTACGCCATCGTCTACACCAGCGCCATCGGTGTCTCACGTCGTTATTGATGATGGTGGTGGTGGTACTAATGCTGGTGCAGATGATAATGCTTGTGCTGTTGCCGGTGATGCTGGTGCTGATGATGCTGGTGGTGATGATGCTGGTGCTGATGATGATGGTACAGGTGCTGATGATGATGCTGCTGCTGATGAGACCCCAGGTGGCGTGCATGAACTGGAAGCTCGTGATGCTGGTGATGCTGCTGCTGATGGTGCTGATGCTGATGCTGCTGCTGATGGTACTGCTGCTGCTGCCAGTGCTGCTGCTGCTGGTGCTGCTGCTGCTGGTGCTAATGCTGCTGGTGATGCTGCTGCTGATGGTGCTGCCAGTGCTGATGGTGCTGCCAGTGCTGATGGTGCTGCTGCTGGTGCTGCTGGTGCTGCTGCTGGTGCTGCCAGTGCTGATGGTGCTGATGGTGCTGCCAGTGCTGATGGTGCTGCCAGTGCTGATGGTGCTGCTGCTGGTGCTGATGGTGCTGCTGCTGCTGGTGCTGCCAGTGCTGATGGTGCTGATGGTGCTGATGGTGCTGCCAATGCTGATGGTGCTGCTGCTGATGCTGCTGATGTTGATGGTGCTGCTGATGGTACTGATGGTACTGCTGCTGCTGATGGTGCTGATGCTGATGCTGCTGCCAGTGCTGATGGTGCTGATGTCGGTGCTGCTGAGACTGCAGGTGGCGTGCACGAACTGGAAGCGCGTGATGCTGGTGCTGAGCGGGCGGGCGAGGGGCCTCCAGGCGCAGGCGATCCCGGCGCACGAGGCGCACGTGCCCGGCGCGCTGCGCTCGCTGGCGCACTTCAACACCTCCGAGATCAACCGCCGGCTGCACTCGTACCTCTCCTTCCTCTTCGTGCGCCACCCCTTCGAGCGGCTCGTCTCCGCCTACACCAACAAGTTCACCAAGCGGTGAGGGTGACGGGGGGGGGGGGGGCGACGAGGGGCTGTGCGGTGGTGAGAGGGTTAGGGGAGATGGAGAGAGAGGAGACGGGCGGAGGGTGTGGTGGTGAGCGTTTGGGGGGAAGGGATACAGGGAGAGGGTGCGGGAGAGTGTGCGGGGAGGGTTAGGGGAGAAGGCTTCAGGGGTGTAAGGGTGTGGAGAGAGAGTGTGTGGGGAGCGGCAGTGTAGCGGGTCACGTGCTGTGCTCCGATGACCCGAGTTCGATTCCCGCTCACGGCCACCGACACCAGTGACGATTATCGGAACCGGTCCTGCGGCCTCCACTAGGTCGACTCAGTCTTAAATTAGTACCTGGCATGGTGTGCAAACGTCAGCAATGTGGGCCGTGGCAGCCTTCATAGGTGCTCACCCAGCAGCACTTGCCCCAACGGCCTGTGAAGACTACACGGGGTTGGGGGGAGGGACCTTTACCTTTGTGTAGAGACTGCATCGTCGCGGTCTTAAATCACTCCCACCCCTCGCCGCCCCCCCCCCCATCTCTCCCTCGCCCCAAACCTCCCCTCCCCCCCCGCGCACCCCAGGTACAACACGGCGTTCCACTCGCGCTACGGCACGCGCATCATCCAGCGGCACCGGCACGCGCCGGGCGCGGAGGCGGCTCGGCGCGGCAGCGACGTGCGCTTCGAGGAGTTTGCGTGGTACCTGGCGGACCCGCGCACGCGCGCCGAGGAGCCCTTCAACGAGCACTGGGAGACGGCGGCGGCGCTGTGCCACCCGTGCCACGTGCGCTACGACGTCGTCGGCAAGTACGAGACGCTGCAGCGTGACGCCGGCCTGGTGCTGCGGCTCGCTGGAGCCGGTGCCGACGTCCAGTTCCCCCCCGCGCCGGCGCGCGCCCGGCGCGGCGGTGGTGACGGCGGTGGCCGTGGCGGTAAAGTCAGTGAGGCGAGGAGAGAGGCGCTGAAACACTTCCGCACGCTCGGAGCGCACTACCGACGGCGCCTGTACGCGCTGTACCGGCACGACTTCCTGCTCTTTAACTACTCGGCGGCGGCGTTCATGGACGCGCGGTGATGGTGGCCGGAGTGGTGGCGGTGGTGGAGGTGGGGAGGGTGATGATGGTGATGGTGGTAATGTTGGTGATGATGGCAGTGATGATGGCGGTAACAGTGGCGACGGTGCTGGCAAGCTGTTTGTATGTTGAGCTTCTTACGCACCTAGCCATCCGTGCACATCATAGGTGCTAATGATCACGCCGATGATGATAATGACGATGGGGGTGATGATGGTGACAATGAGATGAGTGAAGATGATGAAGATGATGATCATCACGCATCATCACAATCACCATCATAGATTAAATCATCACCTAAACGAACATCGCTGCCATTACCATCACTTTAATCATCATCGTAATCACCATCATCCCTATTATCATCAACACCATTATCACCATCATCACCATCACGAACATCACGGGTATCATCACTATCACCGTCATCATCACCACCACCATCGCAATCTTCACCACTGCCATTGCTATGAGCATCAACATAAATGTTCGATATCCACCGCGTGCAGTGATCAGGTCACGCGAGGTCATGCAAGGTCACGAATTTTTGGGGAGGAGCTCCCGCCCCACCCCTCGCCCCACCCCCTCCCCCACCCCCTGCCCCACCCCCTCCAAGACTTGAGGGAGAAATCCTGGGAAGCTCCGACACTGGCGCCCTCTGCTGCCTGCCTGCCACGTGTCGTTTACTGTCATCTGTGGAGGAAATTGTAAATGGTATTTTTTTAAAGCAATAGCAATAATTGTAATAAAAACTAGACTTTTGTTATATTTAAATTATTTTTTTTTACCTAATAAGCTCACTGTCGAATCCGGGAAAAAGGCGGCGTTTGTCTGCTAAATAGAATTAAACGAAGGTAAAATATTAGAAATCTGCGCAGCTATCCATCCTCTTCACCACCTCGCGTGAGACTCAATGTCTCAAAGCAGGAAGCTTGACGCTTCCGCGGATTTCTCAAGCGCCGAGCAGTGGACACCGGGTGGACCACTGTGGTGGACATTCGTGGAGTCGCTGCGGTGGACAATGGGTCACTGTGATGGACACTGGGTGAGTCTGATGGGTTACTGGTTGACACTGAGTTAGTCACTGATAAAGTAGCAAACGATATTGAAAACTTGAGGTTCATAGTTTCTCAGTCACTCGGGAGTTGAGGTTGTTGCATGTCTGTGTGTGTTCGAGTGCGAGACTGTGTGTGTATGTGGGGAGCGGTGGTGTAGCGGTTAGCGCGCTGCACTACGAACCTGGCGACCCAGGTTCGATTCTCGTTCAGGACCAACACCAGTGACAATTATCTGAACCGGTCCTGGGCCTCCCCTATGTCGACTCAGCCTAAAAAATGAGTACCTGGTGCGATGTGTAAACATCGCCATGAGGGAGACAAAGGCGGCCTGGCGTGGTGCTGGCCACCCACCCCCTCGTGTGTCGTGCCGGCCTTCGTAGGTGCTCGCTAACAGCACAACAGTCTGTTACAGGCTATACGGGGGATCTTTGTCTTTGTTGTATGTCTGTGCCTGTGTTGGGGATTGGTGGCGTAGTGGTTAGCGCACTGCACTACGAACCCGGCGACCCCGAGTTCGATTCTTGCGCACCGTCAGCATCAATGACATCTGAACCGGTCCTAGATCTCGCCTTGGTCGATCGAGTCTTGAATTAGTACCTGGCATTGTGTATTAATATTAGCGCCGGGGTCGTGGTTCTAGCCACACCACCCACTCGCAGATAAGCCGTTCAGGCCTTGCACGTATGTTGAATTTCTTTCGCATCGTATGTAGCCAACACGTGCTAATCGGAGGTGTGGGAAATAGGTGTTTGCTAACAGCACTTGCTCCAACAGCCTGTGTGGGCTACACGGGCACCTTTGTCTTTGTCCTCTAGGTTTACATGATCTAATCTGCGCTACGCGTCGCAACTTGTGTTAAATGTTGAATCGATTTTTTGTTGTTTTATATATTATATGGTCGAATAAAAAATGCGCATGGAAACAAGTTTAGAAGTGTGTGAGTGAATGAGTGGGTGGTTGGGTGAGTGGGTGGTTGGGTGAGTGGGTGGGCGAGTGAGTGAGTGGGCGAGTGAGTGGGTGGACGAGTGAGTGGGTGGGCGAGTGAGTGGGTGGACGAGTGAGTGGGTGGGTGGGCGAGTGAGTGGGTGGCGTGGTGGGTTGTGGGAAGCAGTAGTGGTTATCGCGCCGTGGTAGTGGTGAGTGCACTGCGCTACGAACCCAGCGATTCCCGCTCACGGCCAACACCAGTGACGATTATCCGAATTGGTCCTGGGCTTCCCCTAGGTGGACTCGTCCTCAAATGAGTACCTAGTGTGGTGTGTAAACATCACCACTAACGAGACAAAGGCAGGAGAGCGTAATACTGGTAGGAACCTCCTGGTTACACCAGCCCACAGGGGATTATTGTGTCCGTCCGTCGTGCAGGGAGGGGTTGGGTGGGGTCGGGCTGGGCTGGGTGGGGAGGGTGGGGCTGGGTGGGGAGGGTGGGAGGGGTTGGATGGGGCTGGGTGGGGAGGGGTGGGGCGGGGTGGGGAGGGGTGGGGAGGGTGGGGCGGGGTGGGGAGGGTGGGGAGGGGCTGGGTGGGGCTGGGTGGGGAGGGGTGGGGAGGGGTGGGGCGGGGTGGGGAGGGGTGGGGAGGGTGAGGCGGGGTGGGGAGGGTGGGGCTGGGTGGGGAGGGTGGGGTGGGGCTGGGTGGGGCGGGCTGTGTGGGGCAGGCTGGGTGGGGCGGGCTGAGTGGGGCTGGGTGGGGAGGGTGGGGAGGGGCTGGGTGGGGAGGGTGGGAGGGGCTGGGTGGGGAGGGGCTGGGTGGGGAGGTGCTGGGTGGGGAGGGTGGGGAGGGGCTGGGTGGGGAGGGGCTAGGTGGGGAGGGTGGGGTGGGGCTGGGTGGGGGGTGGGAGGGGTGGGGCTGGGTGGGGAGGGGCTGGTCACCGCGTGGTGCCCTTATAAAACTCAACGTTTAACCTACTCACGCCGGCTTGTGCCCGCCCTCACAGTCGGGCATATTTGCGGAATACACCACGCCGCCGTTGACCCTGGCCATTGCCCGAGCAACCCAACGTTGCTACCAGCTCCCTCCGCAGGAATGTGTTTCTCGCAGGCGTGGTGCGAGCCGGGCGTGGTGCTAGACACCCACTCCCTCGTGTGCCGGGCCGAAATTCATAGGCGCTCGCTAACAGCACTTCAGTTTTTCAGTTTTATTTATTTGGTATAGCCCTGTGAGCCATTCGGCTCTTGAATCGGGTGCAACCGCAACAAACAAAAACATGAACAAGAAAACATCTTAAAGTGACTATGTGACTATGCGCAAACAGAAAAATCCAGGAAAAAACTGCAAAGTCGTCCAGAAAAAAAG